CTCACTTGCTCGCCCCCACACTTTTCAGGCTGGAGCTGATTGGCAGAGGGCTGGCGCTGGCGGTCCACTGGCCCCTCATTCCCACAGGAAGCCAGATTAGATCCTGACAATGTTCAGGAACTTGGTTATCCATAGCACTGCTATGGGGCTAAGTGCTCATACCAACCATCCAAACACACACATTTCTAACTACTGATAAACACCTTTGTTCAGGGAGGTCCTGATGGAGATAGGATTGTAGGAATGTTTTTGAGTTTCACGTATTTGGGGCCTCGACCCCGTTGATCCAGTTGGGACATAAATGCCTGTGAAGATACCTACAACTTGGACATTTTTCAGGTTTTTATCTAGGAGCCGGGGTAAAGACAAAGTTTGAACTGCTGATGTGAAGGACATCCAGGTTCTCATTGGCAGGAGGGTAACACACAGGCATTAACTTGCAAAATGGGGATATCAACACAGGGAGTCACTTTTTCCATGAGGAGTAGACATTTGGCCCAAGGCATACTGGAGAGTCTGGCTCAGACAGACAGCTCTGGTTCTGCACGTGTGTATGTGTGTGTATGTGTGTGTGTGTGTGTGTGTGTGTGTGTGTGTGTGTGTGTGTGTGTGTGTGTGTGTGTGTGTGTGTTTAAAAGAAAGAGTTTTTGCAGCTGGGTCACATTTTCATCTTTTCCTTGCAGATCCTCCAGAAAGACGACCCCAAAGCCAAACAGCGCTATATTGGGGGCAAGAACGTTCTGACCAAGGGAACTCCTGAGTGGGTCTCCTTTGATGTGACAGAGACAGTTAGGGAGTGGCTGATGTACAGACGTGAGTGTGAGACCTCAAAGTTTCCTCATATCACACCTTATTACATGTCCTTTTTACATACCGTTTAAAGGGTTACGGCTGCTTTGAAATGAAGAAAAATGGCCTCAGGGGGAAATGTCAGCCGCTCACATCCCTCTGCTCCTGATTCCTCCCTCAGAGACCAATCTCGGGCTGGAGATCAGCGTGCACTGTCCCTGCCACACCTTTAGGCCTAATGGTGACATCATCGAGAACGCCAATGAGGTTCTTGAAGTCAAGTTCAAAGGTAAGACTGCAATTTATACCTGTGATGTGACAGAAATAAAGAATGATAGGAACTGTATCAACAAGAATTGTTGTTTCCTTGTTATTAGCCTGACTTTCTACAATATACATACTATATACACATTTGCTTGGTTTCATGAATGTGTTTAAATGGCCAGCGCTCAGCCTTCAGCCCTATGAGGATTTCCTTTAACTCCTGCTGTTGATAATGACATAAATAAGGGTATCATGAAAATAAGTTAAATGGCCAAAGATGTTCCTTTTCAGGGGCATTTGTTTGTAAATTCTTCAGTTATTTGGATATTGTGATGCATCATTATGATAGTCTTGCGAAATATCAATATTCTCAGATTCGCTACATCTCAAAATGATCATTATCGTGGACCATGTATTGTATTGCACTTTTTCGCGAGTTACCCTGCAATTCCAACCGCTACTTTTGAAGAGGTGACTTAAGATTCTTTGCCGTGATATTTAGTGAGTGCTCTTACTCTTACTGGCAATTCCTCAGAAACCAAAAATTCTGATTTCTTTTTGGGCTTTTTATGCCTTTATTAGAGACAGGAAAGTGGATGTCGAGTGGAGTCGGGGAATCAGGGAATGACATATGGCAAAGGATCCACAGGTTGGAGTCGAACCCGGGCTGTCCGCCTGAGTACCTTAGCCTCTTATCGTCTAGTCTCTGTGGCTAGATTGTGGTCATGAAGTCTGCATTTGTTTTGGATCCCTCTCTGCTTTTGATCTCTCATAGTTAAAATACACTCTACCAGTTTGTATTCACAGATAACATTTACCTTTGTGTCATTTGTCTCATGTTCCAGATAGGCATCTCATGTTTGTTGAAAAATGTGGTTTATTCTGATTAGCGGTGTTGAGGCAGCGCTCGTTTTAGGATGATTTGCATTAGTGGGTCTAAGGAGTAAGTATAGCTGTTAGACAAGGAATTTGTTTTGGGTTCCCGTTTAGGCTTATAGTGATTGTCTCAAATGTTTAAAACTTTTTTTTTTTTTCTTCATCTGCAATGGGTTTTTTTATCACTAGTTTTCTGTGAAAGCTTTTTATACCGTGTGTTGATTGGTGTACAGTACTTGGCAGGTGATTTGTTTACCTTTGAAGTAAATTGTAATAGTTTGTTTTCTAGATTTGTCTTTTTTTAACTGGAGAAAGGCTCAACAAAAGTTTTTTGTTTTATTGTTTTTACTGCCAAGTTAAGTCACTGTGGAGGGTATGTTATTATGCAATGGTTCCTTGCATATGTCTATTACACAATAGCACTTGGAATACTCTCCTTATTTTAAGTATAGTCTTGAAAAAAAAAATGTTTCTTTTCATCTTCATGTTCCTGCGGCAGCAAAGCCGTATTGCGGTCTTTTTGGTAAGATAATGGGTTTCCTTTCTAAGAGGAAGAGCAAGACACAGAGCATGGGAATACAATTGATCTGGTATCTCACTTAGCACAGGGGCCCTCGGCCCTGGGAACACTCTTGACTGGCTCGGCCACAAGGAATGTGCTGCCACGGCGCTCAGACACTTGGCCTCGAATTAAAGAGAGGCGTACACATCCACCAGCAGCATCTCTCCTGAGATATCCACTGCTTTAACTATCAGGGGCAGATTGGATGAGCAGACGTAGGTTAAGGGGGGGGGGAGAAGGAAGTTAGGGACCTGTATTGAAGGGATGAAAAGTGATATAAGGAAAGTTCTGCCTGGATATTACTGTAAAATTGACAGTCTTTGTGCAGTTTTTCTTTGTATCCACCAGACTAAACTGACTTGCTCCTGCAGGTATGGAAGCTGACTATGACGACGTAAGCCGTGTGAAGAAACAAAAGGAGCAGCTGTACCCCCACCTTATCCTCATGATGCTCCCACCCCACAGGCTAGATGCCCAGTCTTCCTCCCGCAGGCGCAAGAGGGCACTTGACACCAATTACTGCTTCAAGTAAGACACAGTTCCTTCCTTAATACACTATATCTAATGCTTTTTGGTGATTTCCTTTACAAAACAGTTTGGCTAGATGCACCTACAGTATTTGGCTGGTAAAAGTATAGCCAGTTAAAAGTGGCTGTTTTTACTGTCTCACAGGCAGGGGAGTATGTTGTTATAATAGCATAACAGCTGAGGTGACATGAAATGGAAATATCAGCTGTCACATCTCAAATAGATGACATCGAAGAGTAGTACATGGGCATAGAACAAAGTTGTTAATTGCTTTGAAGAGCATGACAGCTGTATTAGCTGATACATGTCAGGATCCGTCCTGAAGCTAGCAAACCCTACCTCCTCTTACATGGCGTCTCCTCAGCCTCGATTCCCTCTGTCAGCCTGACAGGCAGCACCAAAGACACCTGGGCGGACTCCAAGAGGGAAAACAAGGGCACACCTAAGAGTGGAATTTCTAAACGTGTCTCTCATCTCCGGCCGTGGGGAGGAAAATGTATACAACACTTAAAATATTCTGTCATGTGTGGAATGAAGTGTGTAACCCTTTCTGTCTTCTCTTGTTTTCAGCAATTACGAGGAGAACTGCTGCGTGAGACCACTATATATCAACTTCCGGCAGGATTTGGGCTGGAGGTGGATCCATCAGCCTGAAGGGTACTACGCTAACTTCTGCTCCGGTCCTTGTCCTTACCTCCGCAGCGCTGACACCACACACAGCTCGGTGAGACGAAGCACTAAAACATGTGATGAAACATGTCATAAACTTTATAAAAAGATGGATGACGTGAAATAAGATAGAGGCTAAACATTTGGAGCTCCTGACTGGCTGCAGTATATATATGCTCCGCCTCCTCCATGTTTACATATGGTTCATGGGTCAAATTAGACAAGGTTAAGGGTACACACATCCAAAGAATAAAAACAAGGGTGTTTGCTGTTTGCCAAAAGTTAAATTTGTGTTTCGATTAGTAAAAGGGGTGGGATGTGAAAATCATGGCAGAGTCTACAGCATCACTCTGGCTCCAAATGAAGTCACTAGCGCAATATGTTAGCATCCATTGTGGGGGGTATTTTGGCTTCACTTCTATACATGGAAGAAGGTGGCGATTTGTTGTCCATAATTATATATAGTCAGTTGGACAGGTCATGAATCTCTGAAGGAAGTTGGGTTCCTTATGATTATCTTCATTTTTGTTTTTATCAATAGCTGCTGAGTCTCTACAACACCTTGAACCCCGAAGCATCCGCCTCACCCTGCTGTGTACCTCAGGACTTGGAGCCCCTCACCATCCTCTACTACGTGGGCCGCTCCCCAAAAGTCGAGCAGCTCTCCAACATGGTTGTAAAGTCCTGCAAGTGCAGCTAGACTTCAGGGCTTTCAGGGCCTGACGAGAGATATGGGATGTGACTTCTACCGGCACTACTCAGGAGTGGGTACGAGGGGTTGTTCCAGTTCATTCTCCAAAACCCCTGCTTCAACCTCCACCTGAGCTCTCATGATTAAAAAAACAAAAACTTGCAAAAAAAACAAAAACAAAGATGCAGACCACCGCTCAGCTACATAATTATGGCAGCGTTTGCCAAGAAGACTCATCAAACACCACTTCACTAACAGTGCCCTCAAATCCATCAGACCTCATCGCAGTCGCTTTTTCTCGTGTTGTCATTTTCCAGCATTAAGAACAGCACGTACCTCAATGTTGGCATTCAAGGCATGTTGTCACTAAAAGAGGAAAAGAGCAGCAATCCTGCAATGACCACTGCATTCTTAAAGACATCTAATAATGAAGCTAAAAAGAGAACAAGAGAAAGAATGCAGACTGAACTCAGCATGATAGGAATATGTCAGAGAGGGTGAAAGAAAACATCCTTGTTTCTCACCTGACCTGAATGTGCACACCATGGCTCCTGACACTGTTTGCTTATGATTGAATGCTGTTGAATTAAAATGACTTTAGGAAAAAAAAAAAAGAATACATGCTGGAAACCAACGTTTATTTCAAAGTAGTATTTCCATGGTTTTGTTTACCTCTGTAATACAACAGGAAAGTGATTCCAGGGATTGTTTTTTTTTTTTTTGTAAAGTGAAGCCTTTCTGTTGTATGAGACTTTGTATGTCACTAAGTGAACACTTAACTAGATCACAAACTGTAAATCTTTTTTTCTTATTACTCTTGGAAACACCTTTTTTTTAATTAAAAAAAATGGACAGTTGGATGGAATTGCTCTACTTTCTTGTTTTTGATCTTTTTGTATTAAGTATTTTTTAACACTTTATTTACTTGAAAGGTTAATACATTAAAACCAACTGGAGGGGTTAAACATTTAAACCAAGGTCCAGTGAGTGTTCACTGCACATGCTGTACACTGGAAGTTGTCACATTTACTGATATGATATGTATGCTTCATGGTTTCTAGGTATAAATGTCAGTGGGTTTTTTTTTTTTTTCAATAGACTGCCAAGATTATACCAAAAATATTACATTTCCATGCATGTGTTGCAAACAATTGGCAACAAAGCAGAACAAAGGACAAGGCTGTAAACAACTTTGTATCACCACAGGAGAACATCACATGGATTTGGATTGTACTGTTGTATTCTTGTTAGACAGCATGCACTGGCTTTAACAGTAGAAATCCACAACATGACTGCAAGATCACAGTCACAGAAAAAAAAAACATACAAGTGTATTAAAACCAGTTCTGTTGTACTGCATTGAAAACTAGTCTGTGCAAAATCCCTCTGATGATCATCATCAGTTGCTATGACAAAGACATGCATAAAATTCAAGTATTTCTGACAAAGTCATCATAAACATTTACAGATTTTTTTTTTATAAACATCCAAGATAATTAACACACCCTGAGTGAATCACTATAAGGTCCCAAGCAACAGGTAATCCACAAGAACACTGGTCTGCTGGTGCAGCTTTAACCCTCATCATAGGAGAAGGCTGTGCGTAACCATGACTCCTCGTCATGTTATGCTTTCAGCTACAGAAACTGCTAAAACTGACGTCTGTTGGACAATTTACAATAAATAAATACTCATATAATAACAATTATTTACCTAAAATTAGTAATAAATTTGGTCCATCCACTAAAAATCCACATTAGCATCTCAACAGTAAATAACCACAACTATGATATAAAGGGCCAGACACCAGTGCTACATTGTCCTTCTGATGAGGTAACAAGGCTGCAACAAATCAAGCTCTAACAATCACAAACATTCTAAGCCTATAGGAAAAGGATGCTGTACTTTAACACATCATTCGGCGATGTTTATAGAATCTGATTTGGCAGCATTTTGGCCTCCAACAAGGACCAAGAGTTGGAGTGTTTAATGCCAGAAGCCACACATGAAAGAAGCGTTCTTACCATTGATGGAAACAGAATGAGAAGCTGCTCAAGCAACCTCTGCAATACTTATCAAAACCCACATTTTTCCTGTGTTAGTAACTTTTTTAAAGACAAACATCAAACATCGACTGTGCATATGCCACTACATGAGCAAAGAATAAAATGTTGAATCCTGTAGTTAAAATGCTCTGTGGGGCTTAAAGAACCATCTGCTGAAGGGCATCTGTCAGTGAAATCTCTCTGTGGCATCAGTAGCACTGAGAGAATGAGGGCAGACAACTGTTGGTATATAGGCTGTGTGTAATCAAGGGGGAAGGAGTGGAGGGGAGTGGGGCAGGGAGCTGAAAAGGCCAACTGATGTTGAGCTGCGGGAACAAAATCCCAACCTGCGTCAAAGCTTGGCATTCCTGGCGTCGCAGCCTCTCCTCTCGCATGTCTGTAGCTGTATCGCAGCGAAGTTCATAGAGCCCTGTTCGATGTCTGGCATGCTTTCATCTGCGTCTGTTGTCCTTTCCCAGAATACATCTCTGTGGGGATGTGGTTACATGCAGAGACACCTGTCAGGCCAGCAGAGGGGCAGGACGCGCCTCTGGTTGCCTTCTTGTCATCTGTGAGCGGGCTCCTGACTCTGGAACAGCTTTTGGTACACAGAAAGACCTGGGAAGCAACAGATGGAAGTGAAATAAGTACATTTGATTGAGAAGGTTTCTCCCACAACACCCACAAAGAAATGTTGAAGGCCAACATGAAAGAGTCTCACATCAAAAAGTGAACCTAAATCCTCCAGGTTCATGTTTTTGTTGATCTTTGAATTATTCACAGTCAAAGTAGTTACAAGCAGTGCTTAGTGCTTTTGTCCATCCGTCCCCTCCTCCCTGATCAAGGCCAAGCATCCAGCAGAAAAAGGCATTCCACGTACAGTTAGAGCTGCCGTGTTTGTGCTCTCGAACAGTATTCCCTTTCATTCCCCCCTACGCACACTCTGTTTATTTTGGTGCTCTTTTACACCATGGGGCCTGACCGAGCAGGAGAACGAAAACATCGCGCTGACTTCCAATCTGATGACAAGACCGCTGGAAGCAGCTTCCTCTCGAAGAAAGATAAGGGGCAATATTCTCCCTAACATATCACACTCCAAATGACACTACCATAGAGGAAATGATGTCAGCAGCCTGTTCACTGGACATTTAACCCCAAAAGGTCGAAAAGATTTAACTGTAATATATTGTTTAAAGAAAATGATTCTCCAAGAAAACATGTACCTGCTTTGAATCAAACGTCCAATAACTTACATAACACACCTCAAAAGGGGATGACAGCCAATAACTATCTTTCTTTCCCAAAAAGGCACCACAGTCTTGTTTCGACAGCAAGAGGGGCCTAAGCTATCCATCCCGACATAATCAGACTCCCATTATAAAAGGGCACAAGTGCAATAAATGCAAAAAAAAAAAAAAATGAAAAGAAGAAATCTCACAGTCGCCCTTAGAACTAGGAGAACGCATCAAGGGAAGCATTGTAAAACACATGTGGCTGATATAATCTGGGTTTGTAAGCTCTGATCGGCCTCGCATCATAGCACTCGCCCTCGTCTTGTTTCAAAAAAGCTGAGTTCAAGAGAAGAAGTGGGGAAGGAAAAGAGGGGGGAAAGGGGTGAGAGAGCAGTAAAAAAAAAAGTTTTCAGAGGATAAAGGGGGAGTTGTGTGCGCAAAGAGAGGAAGAGATTAAGAGAGAGAGAGATAAAGGGAGAGCGTGATTAATGATGGTTGACAGCTGATCATAGAGAATGCTCTCCATTTGGACCCGCTCTATCTCCCTGTCACAGTCGATCAGGCGAGCTCAGTCATCTCGCTACAAAAGGTACACTGGGCAGGCAGAAAGACCTGACGCACTCCTAAGCTCCACAAAGGCTGTGCCCCTTCTAATAACACCCTCCTCCCTCCTGCAAAACGCCACACTGAGTCTCTGTTCAACTCCCAGTCCTTTTCATGGCTTAACCTGCCTTACTTACTGGTGTTGCTACTGGGATTTTTTTTCTTCTTTGCTTCAGACAGTCAAGAGTGATACATCTCTCCCCCCCACCCCACCCTTTGCGCCCTGAACGTTTGGAAAAAATGCATTCATGAAATTCAGAAGCTTCTCCCAACAGATCTAGTTACAGTAATTGATGAGTTTATAAGATGTTTGTTAACCTAAGCCAGCCTTGCCGAGTTTGAGTGTGTGTGTCTGTGGCCAGAACATTTCTCTTCATTCTTCCCACCAATTTTTTTTTTTTGGGGGGGGGGATTTGGGGGTGGACTGGGTGTTGCCCAGCTACCGTGTTTTTCCGACAAGCTGATCTCTGTGACACTCATGTGATTTGATGAATGGTATGATCTGCTAATGCTAATGTATGGTCGGCCCATGGAAAAAAGGCCCCTTGATCAGACAAACAGATGTGTGCATCAAACTGCTTAATATCACTGTTACTGCAATAAGCTCAACACTTTGCTCAGAATGGAAACAGTTGTGGAAATAGGGCAGGATGACAGGGTGCACGTGAGCACATGTACTCACAACTGCAGAGCATAACCCATAATAAATCTAGCACAGAGAGAGTTACATTAGAGTTCCCTTACTGTGATTTTTTTTTTTTTTTTTGGGTTGCAACTTGCCAGCACTTCTCAGGGATTAGGACTGCATAGGATTGACCTATACATGGAAATCCCCTGAAATGTTTTCCATCACCTGATCTTCTCACAAACGAAACATCACTAAAACTGTCATAATGCAATGACTCTCTGTCCTGCTGCTGTAATCTGACCTTCATTCTTGGACAAGTACATCCGATATGATTGTGGAGCACTAACTGCACTTGACAGCTTGTTTATGTCTATTTAAATCCGACTGCTTCAACACAACTTGCCATAAATAATAATGAGGGTCATGACACAACTAAATGCTTTATTATAACCAATTAAACTTCACTTGCGCTCTTCTAAAGATGTTGTGATTAAAAGCTGTACTCTGTCATTATCATAACCATGCATTTAAGTCAATTGTGTGCAAATATATTTACACACACCGCCGAGCATCATGAGCAGGCTAAAAATATCTAGTGGTGTTTATCAGCCGTCCATGGGGAATGTCCACGATGCCCGGCTGTAATCACTGACACCAGCATACAGCGGGCATAATCTCTCCCCCTTCTTTTGAGCATCAATCAGGCCAAGTTACAGTGTGGTACAGAAGTGTGGTGAGAACTGCAGCATACCCACCTGTTTTACCACAGATGGCATCGTATGCTGTATGCTGGCTGCTAGACACACTTCCACTCGCTGAACTCTCTGCTGACGTCTGCCTGTAAATAAAAAATGGGTTAAGTGTCGATTAACAGCAAAATAAAACATTTCCAAAAGGGCTGACACAGTGACAAATTGTACCTGAAAAGCAACACTGTGGCTTTATCCAAGTGAATTGTTCTATTTCAAGCTGAATATTTAAACAATCATGTAAGGACGACTGCTTTGATAGCTTGGGATTGTTTTCAGTTCATTTTTGGAGCATGGTGTCTGATGAGTCATCTTCTGACAGGAGAAAAGTGGAGTCAATTTCAAATAGCCTCTAGTCAGCGGAGTCTAGTGGGGGTTAAGTGTTTACTGAGTGCCTCTCATGAGCTATTGTGACAAGCAGGGGGCAAATTCTTGCTCCTTGTCCTGGGTGATGCGATTTTCTCAAACGAAAGATTACTCTGGTGATTATTGACTATCTGGACCTGTGGCCAATCACTACAGAGAGAAACAGAAAAAACATAAACATACTCAGTACAGTGGTATATATCTTGTATGTTTTAGCCCACAGGGTTTCAACAGAAGTCTTGAGCTCATAGTCAAGGAATTACACAGCCCTTTTCACATAATCACACAGCGAATACAGTGTTTTCACAGAGTAAACCATTATTAGAGCTACTGAGGCGTACAGCACACGCACGGACACGTCTGTAACTTTATACATTAAATCTGTTAAGCATTTTTTAGGGGGAACAATAAATAAAGCTTAGCTGGCATTAACCTCTCGCCTCATAACAGCAGCTTGCCAAAGGAGCATTAACAAGGTAATGAGGGTACACACTGCCTCCTTGTAAGGGGCTGCACAGTTGTTCTTTCATAGCATTGCACAACCACAAATAGAACTGGCCCACTTTAAGCGTGGCATACCTCGACAGGAAGTGACCCCTTTCGTATTGAAAGTGAAAAAAAAAACAACCTAAACACTTGACCTCTGGGTTCTTCACGTCACTGTCTTTGTCAACAGTTTCTCACTCTGTCATTTTAAGAGGCAGACAGCACTGCAGCTGAAAACTAAATCTGTACTTGTACTACCTCAGAATGATATTTAAGCCTAAAGTTAAGGAAATGTCACACTTCTCAAAGAGAGTTGAAATCCTTATGTAAACATAGCTGATGTGCATGGTTTTTTTTGTGTGCTTTCAAGGTAGCTAATAAGTCCTAATGTTATTCAGACTTGCCAAAGGGGTCTAAGTTTAACCATAAACACACTTCTGGCAACTTCTGAGTATATACAGTATCCTGTGAAAATAACTACTGTTGTGGCTGATTAATAGTGAGCGAAAGCAGTGGCGGGCCTGACATTAATGGTGCTGCTGTAATTGTCACCCTATTAGTAATGCCACACGACAGCCCGCGTTTCCGTAGTTACAGCTATGTCTAGCCAAACCTTGCAAACAAAATACCAAACAGGCTCATTTATTTGTGTTACAAATTGGTCCTTTCAAAGCCTTCATTGAAGTCATACCACTTGAGATGTTGCAGCCCCTCCAGTTGGAAGCTGTGGTGTGGTGATTGACCAGAGAGCCCTGCCCTGCTGACTAGATACCAATGAAAAGAACATTTTGTCCAAATGTAGTGTTTTGAATGAAAGATGAAGTTAAAAATCATCATTTATTTATTCAGATCCTCGGAAAAACCCATTGAGGAGAAGAACCCTAATTTACAATTATGCCAAGGCACAGACAACAACAAAAACATACAAATACAATCAAGTGGATACAAATGCAATCATCAGAGACGGCTAGGGGTAGCAACAAGGTCAAAAAATGTTGAAAGCAAAAAACAATAAAAGTCAATTAGTCAGAAATTAAAACTTTGAATAGTCTCAATGTTATGAATGTGGTCAGTTTAAAAAACTGCAATCTCTTATTATTGCTAGAGCAGGAAGGCTAATTTTTGGTACACAAGACAATGATGAGTCTCATCTCCGGTAATGAATCTGAGGGCAGAGGGATAGAGTGCATCTAACGGTTTTAGAGTAGTACTGGCCGCAACTACCGTAACCATCACCAGAATCCAAAACAGAGGGGAAAACTGCACCGGAAATTATTTTCTTGATAATAATGAGACAATATCATTAATAACTAGGTAAGTGGAAATAGTGCTGTGCTTAGGCCTGAACCACAACTGTAATGGATTAAATATGGACAAGGGACTCAAGGACAACATAGTTTTGAAATGGGATGATATTTAACAAGAACAGAATTACAACCATCTTTTGAAGAGGAAGAAAAACTGTCGGGAGTAATGAGAGTTTAACAGTGAATGGCTCAGGTTTATCATCACAAGTAGTTTTTTGTACATCAATTTAGCATTTCAGTCACATAACTATACATATGGATATATGGATATTGGAGTCAGTCTAAAGGATTGGTTTAATCCAATAATTGACACAGGGAAAGATGGCCTTTGTTTTTTCAAAACATGTTTAGTATTATCACCAAGGCTTTCAAATAGATGATCAGATGAGGCAAACATATTGTTAAAAGCAGTGCAGTTTTCATTAATATCAGCTATCTAACACTGACCATTTCCAACATGGGTAGTTAGCGTAATGCTGGTTTTCTTGGAGGTAGATTTGACTATTTTCCAGAATTGACCAGGCTTGAAGGTCAGGAAAGTCTACCTTGTTCATCCAGGAGGGAGAGTTGTTTTGACTGCACTGAGGCAACAGAGCAAAGTTCCATGATCAACTCTCCTTAAGTTCACTCTGCAGATTGGTAACATCGGCCTTCAAGTGGGCAAAGGTAGGATGGCACTACACTCACACAGCCATACTGGTTGATAAGACCATGTCTTTAGCCACTGGGTTACAACCTGGTTTAAGTCCAGTAGCTAACCTGCAAGCCTACCACACGGCTTAAAAACAACACGGTTAGGCTAGCAGGAGCCGAGGTAGTCCAGAGAAGTAGAGGGGACGAGTAAGACCAACAGTAAAAAAGACTTAAGTCCATAAAAGCATATAAAAGCTTAAAACCAACTGTTTAAAATTCTTGAGCAAGGTTAAAACAATAAAATATTCTTAGATCATTCCTAACATGAGGGATGAAAATCAAGAAAATAAATGAAGAAAAGGCACTGTTTATCAGAAATCCTGCAAGTGTGTCCACTGGAGTGTAACCTTGTATAGTCCAAAGTGAGGTACATCTTTAATCTTCAGTTACAAATCGAGCAAACTCAGTCCAATAAATGGACACAAGTCAGCAGTTTAAGGAAAATGTTGACTGTATAGCACTATTCCAGGAGTTTTCAGGACTGCAAAGAGAGGAAATCATTTGCCTGAATCAACAGAAATCCTCACGCCATTTCCTCTGCTAAACAGGGCCGATAAAACCGCATGTCATTAAGATAAAAAAAAAAAAAGCTGTCTGTGATCATCAGTAGTGTTTTACTATGAGGAAAAGCCAGTGCTAGTTTGTATCAAACAGCAGTTATATAGTCAAACAGCTGGCTAGAGGAAGACGTTTGGAGGACTAGATAACCTTAAACCGTTTAAGTTCACCCATCTCAGTGATTCTATACAAAGCTGGAAAAGCTCAGGCTGATACTGAGATGTATTTCAGATGTGATTTAAATAACTGAGGTATTGAGTTGCCCCTGAAAAGAGTACTGGAAATAAAGGGAAGCAACTTATTATCCCACCATTCTCTGCAAACAATCATCTTTTTTTTTCCTCTCCTGGACAGACTTGACTTTTCAATTATTTTGTATTTTTTTTCTTTTCCCCTTCTCTTTATTCTTTCTTTTCATTGTTTCCATCGGTGCATTTTTGGTCCTGAAGCTTCCGTTTTTCCCACACTCTCCCCTGTCACACTGGTCGACCACAAAAATGCAGGACATAGGAGAGTGTGAGGGGGCTCTGGAATTCCACATGCAGAGGGTAAACACAGCCTCTGCCAGGAAGACACACACACAGGAGCAAACACAGCACCTTCTCGGCTGCCCTAACCTATTCAACAACCCCTGAGCTGCCCCTACTGCACTCTAAACTGTTTTTTGCCAGGTACAGTTTGTCCGGTCGAGTGTGATGAAAGCATTGAACACGTCAGTTGAGTTATAGAAGGACTGCAAAGTTACAAGAATTAATAAGAGAAAGAAATTAATGATGTAAAAAAATGTCCAGTTGTGCCCTTCCTTTAATGCATTAGAGTATTTCAAAGAGTCTTTCACAACTGCAACTGTGTGCTTAAAAAAACAACCAGCTCTAGTCACAAAGGTTTACTGTTATTGTGTAATATTGCCAGATGCTGGAGTAACAAAGCGCATAAAGTAATTGAGGGAAATAGCTAGCAGTTTAGCAGTGTTTCATTCCTTTCATTTTATTTTCTTCTCTGTGCTCCTCAGCTTATCTCCAAACCAAACAGGATCTAAACGACGCTTGGAGCCGGGGCCCTTTCACTGAACCAATTTTTTGTTTATGGTTCAGGCAGAAATCAGGCCTGTGATGAGGTTGTTTACCGAACAGGCAGATACACCCTGAGGCCAAAAGACTGTGAGCACTTCACTACACTCATACTCAAGATCTCATTGGCTTTGGCTGTGTCAGCTTGAACTCCCCAAACCCATGCACTTTTTGTCCTTGATCTACAAGCATAAGCTAAACAATGCAAACCCCCTGAAATGTAAATGTTCCTCAAATTAAATGGCAACTTTGTTAAACTCTTAGGTATAATTATAATAGGATGCATCCAAAGCCAGAAAGATAAAAATGAATAGTAAATCCACTCAGTTTTAAGGGTTAGTCTTACTTGATGAGGCGCTTGGTTGCTGTTTTCCTGGTGGGTCCCTCTCTGGCACTGCTGGGTGGCTTTGGGGTGTGAACAGGACTTCCACAGGTTTGGATATGGCTGTGACCATGACTGTGACTGGGCTGAAAATGAAAGCCAGGAGGGGGGCAGCTGGATGAGTTTGGGGGAGCCTGGGAGTGTGGAGTCTGGTCTGGAAATGGAGCCTAAAAAAAAGAACAGCTGTTAATAAAGTTCAATATTATTGAGAAAATCAAATTACTTAAGACACTTTACCTAAGTTAATTTACAATGATAACTAGTTAGTTCAACAAAAGCAGCTACCTACAACAACTACTCTCTCATTGCATCACACATTTTTGATCCAAGAACATGTGTACACAAGCTGATTTTTTTAATACTCATTGTCAATCAACAACACAACATACTTCAGAAGGGCTTCCAAAAGGGATTATTTAGGTTAAGCTAATTTCTCAATTTTTAGAACTTTCTGTTCTGTTATGGACTCAACGTGGAAGTGAAAGTAACCACCTGCAACTGACTGGTGTGAATTTCTTAAACTCATCTCAACTAAGTAAAAAAGTGTTGCTACTTGAAGAGTTAGAGCCAAAATACTACTTAGGACCACTAGTGGTGAGAAAGCACAGATTACTGAAGTGATACCAAGAAACGTGTGAAAATCCGTTGGACAGACATTTTGAAGGCAGCATTGCTCTGCCCTAGCAATGTCACCTAGCGTATCACCAACTATTATTACTGGTACATTTAAATCTTTTTGATATGATGATGTCAAACATGTCCTATAAGAAGTAGGAGCTCTAGCTTTTGGCGTTCCACAAGGATCAATCCCAGGACCGTTTATTATTTGCATATACATTCTTGGACGAAAAATGCTGTAACTGAATACCTGACAATCAAACTTTCTTAAAAATCTATGTAAGATGGAAGAAAAGCTTTTGTGCATCTATGTATCAATCAGGCAATCAAGTTTATATAACTTACACTATGGTAAGTTCCCAAGAGCTTTATAAAGGGGATGTAAAAAAAAAAGTTTGTCCTTGTCTAATGAGTGTATTTCTAAAGTATTTAACAAAGCTCTACTATTTAGGACAAAATAAAAAACACAATTCCAAAAGCGGAATAAGGAAGTGCAATCACTTTTGCAATGGGTTTGTCATGTGGAAAATATGTAGCCTCTGGCCATTAAGGTGAAATACCAAAGTGCTTGACATGAATTAAAGCAGATATAAATGAAATGCCAACCAGTATCAAAACAAGCTCAACATTTTTTTCTTGCAGTTGGCTGCACTGAGGAGGAAATTCTTCAGATTATTTATTTGTTTTTACAAGATCTCTTCAAAGGCTTGGGAAGGTTGAAAATGCCGTTTTCTTTCTGACATAATATTTAAGAGCCACATTTCACTCTCTCCTCTCAGCGCTGGGGAATGCTTTTTATAAATTCTTTCCACATCTCAAGCCTATGCTATTTTCTCTGCAGCTTTATACGGCTATCTAACAAGCTAACGGTTTTCCAGCTTCACAATGCTGCTGTTCAAAGGGCCGGCATTGTGACAGGGAATATCTGATGTAATTTGTGTGTTGACAAATGAGAAGTTGAGTTTCCAGGTTGCAAGGCCTATGGCCACAATTCAGTTTGAGCGGGGCCAGGAAGGGCACCTTTCTTTGGATGCCAGGTGGCCTAGGGCCAAGCCTGTAGAGGAGCCGGGGAGTCTGCACCCAGTAACTGAGCGTGGAGTGGACTGCAGGGCTGAACAGCCCCCTGTCTCTTTCTCTCTCTCATAGAAAAACACACTCTTACACATGTTTTTATATGAGCACTCATATTAACTGAAGCACTTCCTTTTGTGACTTCGGTTAAATCTTAAATGATTTATTAATTTTCCCATGAGGACAGGAAAGCTGTGTGAGATCATTGATATTTAAAGAAAAGTCAAGTCAGGTTACTAACTCTTGGACAAATCTGTGTCAATGTGCTTCAGAGAAAGTTTGAGACAACTTCCTAAGGACTGTCGTATTGGAGTAATAATGACGATTAAAGGGAAGGATGTCTTTTTCTGGTGGTGAGACAACTTTATTCAGTGTCACGCTTCTGATGACCTCAGTTTGTAAAGGTTGGACAGTAGACTGACTCTTATATCAAGATCACATTCAGTTCTCAGCTCCACAAACCTTTTCCAATTGTACTAGATTTTCCTGGCCTGGGAGGCTGGGAGTTTGATGGGACATGTTACTGATAAGAAAAAACTTGGTAAGTGTCTATCGACTACAGAACAAGGTGAAAGGAAGCATGAACCAAGGGCATGATAAAGGATCACTCTCATAAAGGTCTTTGCGTGAGGCTGAAGGACCAAGTCAAGAAAAATATGACCTTAGCTGCTTTAATTATGGCACAACCAAGATGATGAAAAACTCCAACTGCAATACTAACTGACTGACCAGAAAAAAAAGCAGGTGTATCCTGTTATCCCACTGTGTAAGCTCCCAAATGGCACTTTACAGTCTCAATTTCTCTCCATCCAAGGAAAGACTTCATAAATCCTCTGAAAGATAGAGAAATTCCAACTTTCTCATAAAATTGTCTTTTTAAAGCAATGTATAGAAAGATGGTATGCCTTGATTTGACTTATGCTATGCAGGAACCTCCGGTTCAGATCACTCTGCAGAGTAGGTTCCCCCGTGTAAAAGAGACTCGCATTGGATGCAGTTTTGACTCCCGGCCCTGATGCTGTGTGGTGCATCACATCCCTCATTCTCTCTCCTTACATTTCCCGTCTCTCAAGCTGTCCTGTCTAATAAATGCATAAAAAGCAACCCCCCCCCCAAGATGAAATAAAAAGTTAAAGCAATAAAAATGTCGTGTGACAAGACCACTCTTTTATCAAATGTCCATCTTAAACCAAACCAAGCCAAATCACATCTAGTTAGGCATGACTAAAAGCTTTTTAGTCGCTACATTACTTCTCCTGAGAAAATCAAACCCAAATTTGTATTTATGTTTCACTGGGAAAACAAATGGAGCTCAAATCTGATATGAACTATAATGGGAAGACTTCAAACCTATAATAGACTTTTGTACCAGGGTCTCTCTAGTGCCCCCATTGGCAGCATTCCATTATTATTCAACTTTCAATATAAGCCTAGACAAGTCTCTCAACCAAACAATGTACCGGTAATCTATAAGCTAGGAGTCATTGGCTCACCAGGAACTAGCTTCTGTTGAGGATTTTCCCACTGAGCACTATTGTGTTAAATGGTTTGGAAAAATATTCTCAAAATAGCTGTGCAACTGCTAACATAAAAGCTTTCCTCTTGACATACGTGTATTTTGGACTATTTTGGACGGCACTGTGCTTAAGTAAGGGAATATTTTGTACAGACACAAATATTAGGGTTTTCCTGAGTAATGGCTCAATAATTTCAGACATATTCAGTCTTCATCCAGGAAAAGACATCAAACAAAAGATGTGCCACAACCCATTTCTCCTTACCTTTTTACTAAAGCAAAATTGAACATTGGAGGTTTTAGCAGGAATTTAAATAGTATGAACTACAAATCCCAGAAACATGATTCTGTTGAGACTCACAGCTTTTAACACCAAAGGCAGTAATGAGAAAGAAAGAAGAAACTTGGCCTTTACCTTATAACCATGCTCTATGGACGAGGTGTTCTCCTTTAATTATAATCAAAATAATCATGTATTGTGAATTAATGAGGGGTTGAGGCATACAACATCTGTACTATACCTGGTGTCTGCAATGGCTTTGGTCCTGAAATTGTTGAGACTGAAGTCTTTGCTGTTGTAGTTTCTGGATGGCAAACTGAAGCTGGTAACTTCCTTGTGTGGGCTGGTAGTGCTGCTGAGGGTTCACCCCGGTCACCAAGCTGTAGGCATTCTGCATCTGGACATCCCAAAGACTCTCTTGATCCTTCACTGGCCTGTGGCTATGAGAACAGAAAGAAGAGAGAGGTCAGTGAGAAATTTCAGAGAATTAAAAACCACAGACACACCTGTTGCACTGTAATATAAATATGTATCTTTTTTTTTTTTTTTTTAAGAATTTTGGTTGAATTGGGGAAAATGCTCATCTTCTGTCTCGACGAGAGTTTGATGAGAGGATCTATACCACTTTAATTTATGTCGGTTCAATATGAAGCTTTAGCCAGCTTGTAGTTTATTTAACTAAGCCAATAAAGATGAGGCAGCTGGAATGGCTCTGGTCATGCTAGTAGATAGATTTTGATACCTTTGGACTGAAGAAAGCTAGCCGTTTCCCCCTGTCTGGTATTTATGCCAAGCTAAGATTATAAAAAAACTTTATTTCCAGTTCTATTTTTCATCTGGTAATTGGCAAAGAAGTAGAAGAAATTATTCAAAAAAATGTCAAACTAGTACTGCCTTACACCTTTATTTGTAACTATTATGACTACTAATAGTATTAGTAGATAGATAATAGTTTAATATAGGGGGATGAGGGTTAATCATTTTTATTTGAATTGAGAGAGAAAAGTACAAGCATAATGTTTAAATGATGACATACAAAAGTATTTCTTCTAATAAAATTATGAGGTTAGATGCTGGCAAATTAACAAATGCTGCTCTCCTTTCCATAAGGTTCTTCTAGAACAGACTGCTGGCTAAACAAATGACCTATATTTACCGTTGATCATAACCGGAAGTATTACAAGATGGTGCAAGCTCAGTGGCAAACATTGAGTCATAATAGTAGCACAGTAGTTGTGACAATCTTTTCCTTCTCAGTTATTCCATCATCCAAAAAAGTGAAAAGACAAGACAGCTCACAGCATCCCAGTCGGTGGCTACTGAAGCTTCAAGTCAAAGTGTGCAAATCAGAGTCAAAGTGGAGGGCAAGCCCGTGGCTTACATCAGCTGAGCTTTAAACCTTTCCTTTTTGCCTCAGCGCTCCCCGAACTTCATGTTCCATTCACATCACAAAGCCACAACCTGGAAAGAAAACCTTTTGACGAGCTCCACGAGTTTGTAACTGGATTATCTGTCATTAGAACTAAGCCTGTTTCAGCTTCTTCTTTTTTTTTCATTTCGGCCTCTGCTGAAGCAGTGAGGTGACCAGCTTCCCCCTCAAACATGCTGAAACTAAGCCTATGTGGAGTCTGGTGTGCTGCTGTAGATTGACCACCTCACCCAAAAATAATGCCATAGAAAGCCCTGTATCGGGAATTGCAAGGAAAATATAAATTAAATGTGAAAAAAATAGGGATAAACAAGAACAGCTGAAGTAATGGCAATCCTTGGGGATTATATGGACAAAAGAGATCATGGAAATTCCTTCTACATTACTTGCAAAAACATTTTTCTATTGGTCTGCAGTAAACGGAAACATTGTAGACTAAAATAACAATGGCTGCTTTATTTTTAGAACCAAGCCATGATAAGCTCTAAAATTAGAATTTAATTAATCTTGAACAACAATGCCCACTGTGGGATAATAATCCTGTGTCACTCAAGTGAAAACAGATTCCTATCCTGTGTGGCCAGACAAAGACACAAGGGATCTTAAGCTCATGTGAACATGCTATCCGCCCATGCATTTCTCAGTTCACAAAATAGCATATATATTACAAAAACAACTGGTGTGACCAGGGGCCAATTCATTTTTCTGGAAACAAAGACTTGTCTGTGAACCTTGCAAGGCCAGAGATCCTGGAAATGCCAGGAGACAAACAAAAACTGGTTCTTTGTTTACAGCAGTCATTTCCTTCAGCTTGGCTGCAGTTTGCACACTGGACCGCAGGGACCTTCAGTGCTACCATTTTATAAGTATACGGCCTTAAATGGAATCATTTTTCCGGTCAACAACATATGCTTTCTGTGAGTACAAGTTCTTCTTTTGCAGAAGGACCCCAAGGAGAGATCATTTCAAACTGCGACTGTCAACACAACACCACGCAAATAATACTACGGATCACCATTGGATGAAAAAAAAACAGAGAGGGATCTTAGTTCTACAAAGTGACGTACAATTCGTTAAAAGAGGTGATAGAAAAGAACAGCTTCACATCTGACTTTCTCATCACAGCACATGTGTGGAGCTCCAACTATCTGGGACTTCCCTTCCTGCCGGACTTCTGCGAGCTGGTGTCAGCTTTCTCCCCGCTGCGCTCCCGATCCTTTAATATGCTGATATGACTTACTGTAGAACAACACAGCAGTGCGAGTCGAGCACATGTGCCGCATCAATCTAACTCAGCGTGAATGTGGGAAAATGGACAGTTTGCGATGACATCATGCCACAGCTTCTCAAAGCCCTGCCTGCATGGTCAGTGTAAACATCAACTCGCCAAAGAGTATGATGGTATTTCCAAACATTGCCCAGTGTTTGCTTACCTTGTTCTAATGAAATTAATGACACCCAATAGAACGATAAGAAAAAAGGACCAAAGTTTTGGGATTCATTGCGGCATAAGTCTAGAGAGATGTTGTTGGTTTAGTCCTGCACTGAGCAAAATGGCATGCTAAAACTTCCAGAGGCCTGCATCAGGTAACAGGTTTACGGAGTTATTAGGATAACTTTACTGAGTAAAACATAAATTCTGATGATATATGAATAAAGTTCTGATGTCAAATGACCATTTCAGGGTTTGATGCAGGGTAAACAAACAATTGAAACTAACTTGCCAACAAGACCCCTGTAGATTGAAAAGTATAGAAAATATTAACACATCTGAACTTTCAACCAATCAATCAATCCTGAAGTGTATAGCGCCAATTCATAAGAAAAGTTATCTCAAGACACTTTACAAAAAGGGCAGGTCTAGAATGCAAAATAATAATAATAATAAAATAATTACTAATATAACAAAGAGTATGGCGCAAGTGTTAAGATGTTTTTACATAAAGTGATGTAAATATTTTCTTCTTAGCTTGTACTAATTCACTCTGAAAATTCCAAAAACAACGGCAACAACAATATTATTCATGAATATAGCTTGATCTCTAAGTTATTGGCACTAACTCTTAATGTATCACTTGGCCCCTGAAAACAGTTTTATTTGAAAAATGTACAGCTGTAAATGCTGTAGAGACTTAACTTCTCTTTGTACTTTCTTTTTTTTACTGAATGACAGTACAGATGTTTCCTTACAAGTCACCAGTTTTAAAGTTAATAGTTTCTAAAAAATAAACTTAGGAATGACTTAAAAAAAAAAACTTAGGTCTGGCTTAAGCAACTCATTCCTTAAACAACAATACTTCACACTGGGATGTACTGTCGTGTAGGTGCATGTATCTGCTGAATAACCTAAATCCATTCACTGGAATCTCACCAGTTCTTACCTTAAGGGTTCTCATCCGTTCAACCACATCTGGTTCAAATCAATGTGAATGAAATTGTCTTTTCGTTTAAATCCAAAGGAAGAGACACATCAAACCAATTTTGTGGAAACTTTCTCCACCATCAAAGACGTTTTAAATTGTCGCCTGATTAGCTGAGCTGTTGGTTCTGCGAATGGGCTGTTATAAAATCCTTTGGAATGGTAAATCCTTTTTAAAATTCGACCAAGTCAAACAACAATGTACCAAAATATTGAATAAGCTAAAAATACCTTGCACAGGCCGAGGTTCTGGTACCTCTTAATGTGTTTGGGGGAATGTTGCACCGCAGAGATGATAGTTACCGGTCATTTGTACGTAGAGGGAGAAGATAATAGGGGAGGCAATTTTTATGTCAAGGGTGCAGAGAGAAGCAGCCATGTCCTGCTACTGACTTTATAAAAGACAGACTTGGAGCTGGAATCCACAACTGTATAAGCAAACCAAACCATTCCAAACTGAGAGGAATAAGCCAAAAAGAGAAGAATTGACTTCTTAAAACACCAAATTATAACAAAGATGAAAGAGTTAGTGTTGTAACTGCTCAAATCATGAAACAAGTGGGTTGAATAGTCATCACCATAAATGTAACACAAGGCCAAACACCAGATAAGACCCCAGAGTTTGGTTGTTGTTGTATGAAGACGTGCAGAGGTGTGAGGCAGCAGCTCTCAGAGTGCTGATGCAGCATACCTGCTAGATCCTGGCAGCGGCACTTCAAAGAGCTGTGCTCCCCTTTGAAACCCATCGTACTTCACCCCCTGTGGTTGCTTTAAGAGCCAGTGTGCTTAACAGTTTCAGTATGTTTGGCACAAACCCTGAGCCTGAGTGAAGGAGGGGGGACGACTCAGGAAATTCTGTGTTATAAGAAACAGCGCCAAGGTGAAATCAAGGCAATTTATCCTTATATCTTATTAAAAAACATTTCACTACAATAAGAGGTGAAAGCCAAAACCTTTGCTTGCTTTGTACGGCAAGCCAGTGACTGATTGGAAGATGTATGGAGCTATGGATTTTTCTGGACTGTTTTAAAATAACTGAACTGCTACTGTATGTAACTCCATCGTTGATTTATTAGCCTGAAATTTAAAAAGCTGAAAGCTGTACTCATTTATTCTCTGATTTATGAAGTGTCAAAGCAATGTATGTAGAGAATTTTTTAAAGGGAAAGACTTAATACAAAGATGAAATAGAGGATCAGGAACAACAGAGCTCTAAAGTTTAAAAGAAGTATCATATTTTAAAGCTACAAAAGGTTTTCTTTGAAATCACAAATTCTATAAAACAGCTTTTTTTTTTTTTTTTTTTCGTTTGTGGAAATAAAAACGTTTTGAAAAAAGGAGAAGGCCAGACATTCCAGGAATTCTCTGACAGCTTGATACACAAGGAAGAGCTGAACTGGAAAAACAGAGGCCAAGATCAAGGCCAAGCTGTCTGAGACTTTGTCACTCAAATATCAAGACGAAAATAAAAAGGGAGTAGACGCTTATCCTTCAATGAATTACACTTTCAGTATCCAATAGGTTTATTATCCTGGCGTGGAGCCGTATAGCATGACCGTGGGATCACACTCGGCCCTTCTGTTTCCTTCCTCCTCTCTTCAGAGCAAAGTGAGAGGGGTGTGAGGGGGTGAGAAGAAGGGGGAGGGGTGGGGTTCAATGGGTACTGACTTTGTCCCCTTACTAACGCCTCCACCCCCGTCAGCATGCTTCACACACTCCCCCGTACTCAGCGGCCAATTCTACTTTTACTTAACTCCAACAAGCAGAGTTGAAAAAGGGAACAAAACGCCAGTTTCCATAATAGTGTTCAATGAGTCTGCCCAGAGGTGTGTTGGCACCCTGGAGTTCTTTTCCAAACACTAATAATGTCCAATCTAAAAAGTCGTCAAAGACCATTTAAAAAGCCTTTACGTTCTATTGAGTGTGACCAAACAGGCTTACACAATCTGAAATGGGTAGAAAGTTGATTACACAGGAAGTCTTCAAGACATTAGTTTGGCCAAGTGAATAATACTTAATGGATGAATATTTTAATTCTCACAGAGAAGACACAAACAGCAGCTCCCCTGCAGTTTAACACTGAACTAGAGCACCTGAGCTCTGCAGACCTCACTGATGTCATATTCTTAAAGAGAAAATGTACTGTGTATTCAAACTTCATTGTTGGTGTAGTTGTACATGAGCAGGTCATCTCAAACTTTAAGTTATAAGACCGAGACTTCAGCCGGAGAGTCTGTTTGCTTTTGTGTTTTGTAGCAGGAAGGATGGTGTCCCTGCTTTATGTTAGATCTTTCCAATATCATGTTCTCCCATATTTTTTCCCAAAGGAAACATAACACATGGCAGTATATCTATGCTGAAGCAGACAGAAGTATTTTTGTATTATGCTTAGGGACATTTTGACTTATATAGTACAGCTGATGAGAGACAAGAAATGAGTAGAGGAAGGTGGGCGTGACGCATCAAAGGTCCGACATGGAGAGTCAAACCTGCAGCCGATACGTCATTCTATTTATTATGGAGCTTTCAACTTCTCTGTTTGAATGATTTAATTAAAAAAGAAAATACCCCGTTTAAAGAGCTGATTAAAATAATAGTTTTGTAGGTGCAGTATTGCTTAACGTATGTTTTCAATTCAAATTTATGAAAAATATAAAGTCCCTTCATATGTTTTGCATAATGCGACATGTTTTCAGACTCACCTAATGCTGCCACAGAGATCCTTTCCAGAGTGAACAGCTTTGACTGGCCGATGGGTGGTAGCAGTAGCATGCCCCACTCGGTGGTTTAGTGTGAAGCTCTCTCTGCCCAGCATCCTGTTGGCCAGGTTCAGGTTCGTCAGCTGTGGAAGGAGGAGGAAAAACTTCAACAAATGATTTAACACAAACACTGAGTCACTTCTATCAAACAACAAAAACTTCTAGGCGTCCGAATGTCTAGAGCAGTGGACATGTATGATGAATAAGCACTCATATGCTGTTCCTCCCTACGTCCACCATTCATTCTCCTGTGTCTGGGGGCTATGTGAAATGTACACACAGCACATGGCACAGCTAGTCTCCACTCAGCACTAAATCCAGGTGGCCCCCTCCCCGTTCTCCATCTCGAGCAGGATCAGTTATCATGACTAGCCAGCTCAAAAGTGTTTACAGCAACATCAGGACTTCTGCAGCAACTGCCTCTCTGTCCTGCTCTGCACTGCCGTGTGAATTATGTGCAGAGAAATCTTAAGGGAGAATGAATTATATCGCTGTGGCATTTTATTTACTTTATTTCCTCTGGTGCACTTAATGGCGGATTGGGAAAGTTGTAATGCTGCCAAGCCTTGTACAATGTGAACAATCTGTAGATTACTTTTAAAAGGTAGACCGGTTGTATTAAAAAACTTAGGGTAAACACACATGAAGGTGCCAATATCTCTGTGTTTTTAGACAGCATCTCATATGTTACTGATGGTGTGGTGAGATTGAATTGTTATAGATGAATGTATTTATAATATAGCCATAATGTCCTATAATCTAAGGTCACATGTACCAGCCTGTGAGACCAAAGAGTTACACAGGTGTCTTCTACACAAAGCAGCCCAGGAGTATATTAATTTTATAAGAGGTGGCAATGCCTGGCTTAACTCAATTTCACGTTTTGTATACATGTGGCTTAGCATGAGAGAAACTAATTACTGAAACCTCAGAGGTCACCTACTTTAGTGCAACAGGGTGTTGTTCATGTTTACAAAGTTCTCCATTTAGTGCAGCAAGTGGTTTATTGACTTCCAATCTGAGCCCTTAAAAAAATAACACAGAATGTACCCTGGACCTATAAGTGCAGAAACACTAGATTATATAACTACCCAAAATAAACTGCTGCCAAGCCCTGGATTAAGTATTCATTTGAAATACAGAAAACACCCTTCAGATAGACAGAATAACGTACAGTCAGAAGGGAGCCATAAAATCAGCAGTATGTGTGGTCTGGTGCCATCACACACACAAAAAAAAACTTTGACAGAAAAAAAAACCCAGTGAGGAGGAGAAGGAGGGAGGAAAGTTTGCAGGGCTCCCCTGGCGAAATGACAAACCTTTGGGGAATATAGGAGGTGGTGGTGATGGAGCCAACTGAGCTGCCGCTCCTCCGCTCAGTGCCAATTTGCCACATTCCTCTATTTATAAGCATTAATTACCACAAAAAAGAGGCTGCTTTTTTAAGTATCAACAGAAATCACTCCCCCATGGTGAATCTGATAATGAGACCTCACACGGAGCGGAGGCTTGATGCGGCTCACCACTGTTTAGGGCCAGCCAGCTACAAACTCCCACTTCCAGAATCCCCCCTCATCCCCCACCTTCCTCCTCAACGGCTGGAGGAGGAAGGTGCACGGTGCGAGGCACTAGACCCTCTGGCTCCAACAGGTCTGCTGAATGAATGAATGAGCAGCTAGATGCGGCGAATCAGCATGGGGTCAGAGCCAGTTTTTACACATCGACAAAGACAAATATCAGAGACCTCACAGTGAGAGACTACTTCACCAGGGCCAGTTTCTTCTTCTTTACAATAAACATTACACATCTTGATTTACAGGTCGTTTAATATCTCTACATTCCTTCTTATTCTTGGCTGTTGTCTCAGGTTAGAAATATGATGAACTCACATGCTGTGTCAGCAGGTTGATGTGGCTGGAGCTGGCCGAGTGGCGAGCGACCTGCTTGTTGGCCAGCTTCTGCAGGGCGGAGATGAAGGCCTGCTGGTTAGACTGGGCTTGGGCAGACAGGGAGTTTAATTCCTTGATCGTCCCGGCTGAGTTTGACTTCAGCTTACTGGAGCTGCCCCTCTTGATCACTGATAGACAGAATAACAAATGTGAGAACATGGGATGTCATAAACAACTGCAGGTAGAGTAGAGAGTTTATATTTACCTTGTCCTGCTGAGGTAGGTCTGGAGAGCTTCTGGCTGTAAATGTGTGAGGCACTCGGGAGGGACGAGCCTGCTCCAGAGCTGGCTGTTGATGAAGTGAAGGACTGAATTCTCCGGAGCACCTGGGTAGGTTGCCCATTAGCGACTGTGTTAGAGCCAGAAGAAACAGCTGTCCACACCGCTCGCGGGGGCTGTGTTACCATGACCATAGATGAGTACGCAGGAGGGTTGGAGAGAGCCTCTGATAGACAGAACTGAGACTTTGCCAAGGACTGTGCATAGGACGGCGGCTGAGGAGGTGGTGGCGGCGGCGGACAATGCAGAGGCTGGGATGTTTGAGCCGAAGAGCAATGCTGATGATAAATATGTGTGCAGTCTAAAGTCGCAGGAAAGCTGGAGCAGTGCTGGGAGGCCTGGACCTCCGGCTGTGATTTAACCGTTCTGAATGCTGACTGATCTTCAGTAAGAGCACAGACAGAAGGCTGACTCTCAGCGACCTTGATGTCTAGGTCACTGCTGACTTTCCCCGTGGAGAGCGATGACTCTGAAGCGCTGGAATCCTCTCGGGCCACAGGAAGAGCTGTTCAAAGGAGGAGAGAAGCCAGAGCTCCTTTATCATTAGTTAGCCATTCTTCAGCCCTGACATACATTTGTTTTCCCTGGGTGAGTGCTAATCACTGTAAGATGACCTTTATCTTCACTCTAGATGACTCAATTTTTTCCTCTTTACTTTACAACTATAAACAATTCCTGTGTACTGTGCTTGAATGATAAAATATTTAACATAAACCAGACCTACAGTTAAAAAAAGAAGGGAAAAAACAGAAGTAACTCACTTTTTGGAGTAGAACTGTTGCCTGAATCTCCTGCGGCATTGACTTCATGAACCTCTCTCTTCACACTCCTCACTTTTGTTCCAAGGAAGACGGTGGCTGATTTATTTTTTTGGGTGTAGAATGTCAGTACTTCCTCAAGATCGTTTTCACTATATTAAAAAAAAAAGGCAACAGGGGATACATTTGTAAAGTAGATTGAACTGACACTTTCATCAGTAGCACACACAACTGGAGGAGTAAAGATCCAAGAACCGAACAATGGTAGGTGTGCTTGCCAATTCACTAACCTTGCTGTGGAGATGTACTCTTGAAAAACACTTGGGTTTACACAATGCTCCTCTTTGATATCCTCTTGTTTTTTCACCATACAGTCAGTTTCCTTAGAAGATGGGAAACAACATGACAGCAGGTTAGCTCCATATGCATCACCCGTTAGCATCGTGGCTCTGTGGTTAAGCTGTAGTCTGGACATGCGTACCTTCTTGTAACAGTGAATAAACTCCCCTAGTTGGTCGGACAGGATTCGTCTGCGTTCTTGGAGTGGAAGCTGGCGGTTGGGCAAGAGCACCTTAATGTCTTGTTGGAGGTTACTGGCTGCTCTCTTCAGGAAGCGAATCACGAGCTCCTGTGTGGATGGAAAACATCTTTTACTATCACTGCACTGAATCATTCATTTGTCCTGCTGCTCTTTTTTTTAAGCTGCCTCTGTGTGTGTTTTCTCTTTTCATGGTTTAAAGCCATTTAAAACATTGAGACACTGAATTTAATGGCCCAGAGATCCATTTTGCGAGTTTAAAATTGATTTTCCCCGAAAGTTTGAGGTCACAGACGACGATGACGACGATGATTTATGCCGTTACAATGCAGACTTTCCAATCAGGCTGACTTTAACAGAGACCACGTTTTCCTTCCATGGAGCCAGACGGATTTGTTTACATTTCACCTACAGCCAGGGTACTCATGAGTAAGTGGACGATAATAAGGGGAAATCTGGTTTATCAGGAGAGGGGGGATAAAAAAATATCATCACTGTACCATTTGGTCATTGTCCTTGTCTGGCCATGCTGGGATTGCATTTTCTCTGCTCTCTGCCAACAGTCTTTGCTGAACTCGCTGCAGGTAGGAGGAAAAGGCCACCCGGGCCTGCACTTTACTGGAGAGCAAAGGAAGAGAAAAAAATCATCAAGAGCATGAGCAGGAGAAGGAGTGAAAAAGAAAAGACGCAACAGTAGATTAAATTGACAATAGGACTGAATTTGCAAAACATCTGTTACAAAAGAAATACAAGCAGTCGTAGTCTTTCCACTTGCTGACATATCCTGCAGAAAAGCGAGAGAAAACAAAAACAGGTATGTATCACCTGCTGCCAAAAGTTTTTTGAAACACAGCGTACTCTGTTCTGCACTGCTATTTAAATGATAAGCTGTCTTTGTGGCCCAGGTGAACTTGGAGGGAGTACTGTCAGAACATTGTAGTAAAAAAATAAAATAAAAATGATTTGGAAAAAGCTGTCAAACGCAAACAATGATGATGGCGTACTATAATTTTCCTGCTTCACGCACAGTCCTGGCAAGTGCTGAGGAATTTATACAAAGTCAGACTTGTTATTGTGATTCTTTCTCAAATTATAATTTGGGGCACATTTTTAAAACAAACATTAGACCACATTCTTTGTTCCTGTTACTTTAAGAAGTATGTTTGTACACTGTATTGTATGTGTTAAACAGTATATAGCAAAGCTCATCAATAACATCAACTACTGTTGCATATCAAATGTTCTTAAAGCTGCCTGATCTTCAGCAAATGCAATGGTGGAAACACATAAAGAGCTACCTCTAATTGAATCCCAGTTGTCCTTGAAGTTATGTAGTCATAGAAAATAAATAAAAAAGCGCACCCGTTTAAATAAAAAAAACAATAATGCTATTGAAAATAAAAGCAAAAAAAATAGAGCAGATGGAATGACAATGAACAACTGAGACAATCTTTGTAAAGAACAGATTAATAATACAAAGTTGTTTTTGGGAGAGATCTACAAGATAATGGATGGAAAATCTGTATCTTTTTTCTTAATCACAAGAATGCTGCACACATGATAAAAGGAGGTAGTTAATCATTCACAACCTCTTTTATACTTCCTATTTAATAGGGAAAGGGAGGGAAGTGGGCCGAAAAAAATACAGTAGGGGAAGAAGATGAGAGCAGCAGCCAGCTTGAGCAGCAGCCCAGAATACCGACTGACCTGAGGTCCCAGCCCTGCTGAAGGATGTGGAGCAGGTTGACTGTGGGCCTGGCATTGTGCGCCGCTGCCTCTGAGCTGGACGGAGCCTCACTGTGGCAGCGCTCCAGTGGTGTGGCCACTTGTTTTCTTAGCTCTGCTACCAAAGCCTTGTGTGAGCCTGGCTCTAGACCTCGCTTCACCTCCTCTCCCTCCTGACTGCCGCTCGAACTCGGGGAGGCCTTGGCTTCTTTGCCTGAGGTATGCAGCATTTTAAGGAAAGACAAATGTCAGTTGCATCACTGGCATTTAGAATCAAATACACACATGCACTCGAAATAGAGTTTTTATGTTGCTGCAATGAAATGAACTCACTCAGAGTCATATTTGGCTAACCTTACAGTGACACAGGGGAGTTATTTATTGGAAACAAAAGTGCATTAGCGTGTGATGTTGTCCCACTTAGCTCTACAATCCTCAGTATTAGAAAAAAAAAAGCAGTTTCCTGAATGGAGGCAGAACACATCAGGGCCTACCAGATTTCTTCCTCTCAGCAGCAGAGCGATGAGTCAGGTGGCGCCGTCTCCTCTTACGTGCCTCCAGAGATAGCAGCTTCCTCTCGTACTGGACAACATGACAGCCATGGACGGCGTCCACCTGCAGCTGCACATTCCCATTCACATTTCTAAAAGAAAGAGCACGACACGTCAACACAGTGATAATAACAACAACATGAATGATTAATAAGTGTTTCATCAACAATTACAAAGCCATAGTTACAAACTCTAACTGGAGCCAGTTGTGAGACAGTGTGGTTTAGTAGCTCTTCCAGAAGCTGACGTGAGAAATAGTGATGGTCCAAAGGAGAAAGGATTAATGGTAAAAAAAATAACAGCAACCGAGGTCTTAGAGAAACAACTGTCTCCATAATCTGGCCAGCTAATGAATATGGAAAAATCATAAACAGGCTTATTCTGGGGACAAATCTCCATAAAAAATTGTGCAATAGTAAAAGCTGTGGTTAAAACTTGAAGGCCCGTACTCATTCAAATAACATAAACGCATGTTGAATAGCAATAACACAAATGTGGTTCAATAAAAGGAACTGCACATTTACAACTATCTCTCCCCCTCTTGCCCCCCTGAACTTGACGGAGCAACGCCACATAGACAAGCTGGAAATGTTGACTGTGCAACATCTCATCAGCTGTTCCTCTCACCTATCCAATGGACAGACCAAACAAACGCCACGTTAGAAACCAGTAGTTTCCACAAACTGATGGAGAGATTTATTCCCTCAAATCCCAACCACAATGGAAAGCTCACCTTCCATGGAAAAGTCGGTTTGCCAACATGGAGTTCATTGATGTCTTTGACTCCAGATATCCGCTGAGGGAAGAAGAAGACAATCAGCAAATGACAACAATAAATCATCAAGGAAGGAGCCCCCTGATTAGATTAGAACACATTGTTTGCAGCAAGTGTGTCAAACGAATGTCTGTGACATAGCAGTAAGCAGCCATCTATTATATCCTACAAGGCTCAATAATATGCTTTTACAAATGCCTGCTAATAAGATCAGCCAATCAGGTACCGGTAACTAAGGGTCCAATCAGGTGACAAACCTCATATAGGTACACAAGCACAGAAAGTTATTGGAACACATACAGAGTTAAATCAATGCCAACTATGTTTCCATGTTAACCTGGTGGTTCAATTAGTGACAAACAAGAGGTGTCATGTGTCTTCTAATTACATTTGTTTCTTGTTGAATCAAGCCGCTTGCTTGTTTTGTTCACTTTTTTCTCCTATTATTAAAAAAATATTTTATTTTTTACTTTCAGTTTAGAATGGTTTTAAATGTTGTGTTTTTCTCCATGTGATGTTGTTTTGTCAGTCTCTTTGGGCTGCATCCTTCCATGACATTTTCTTTACAAAGTTATTATAGTATATTTTATAATGAAAGGGTCTAGCTGTAGGTATTACAGCATCCATTTAGTCTAAACGCCCGACTTATCTAAAGACATATTTTAATATGAGTTTCTTCATAGAATCATCCCTTGGATCTTGCAAGTGATCCGTCTGTTCCTCGTTGGCTCAGCTTACCCGTAGAGCTCCCACGTTTCTGCGGTGGGAAAGATCCTGATGAAGCCTCCTCGTCTCTCATACTCTTCCTTTATCCTCCTCAGCACCTTGATCTGAATAAGTCAAAGACAACAAAAGACTCATTATGAAGCAGGTTTAAAGAGTCAATGTGCTTTGGATATCCAATAAGGTCTTAATTCAATCAAATCCACAGTCAAGGCTTTACCTCCTCAGCAGTTAAGCTCAGGGTGCTGTCTGCTTGCTTGCCTTTGGAGCCCTCTGTTTCTGAGTTACTGGCTGATGCAGGCCTCTGGCGCTACAGGGGAGAGACAATGTCACTCTCAACTAATGCAAACCATCTATAATCGTTCCTCTTCCAGCTTAACTTGAGCTAATGCTTAAAAAAAAAAAATAGTAAAAGTAACTTTAGAATTTAAGCTTGTAGGGGAAAAATAAATTCATATATTGTTGGTAAAAAAGTGTATTTCTGAAAACCAACAAATTGGAAACATAATTCCTATTAACATATGGAAAATGTTGAACCTACACAAAACACCCTCCCTTCTTTTCTCTCCGTTACATAAATGGAGCATTTTTGTTGTGCACTGGCATTCCTGGCTGCCTCCACGCTGCATGTACTACCAGGCTGTGATTGACAACTTTGGCATTTGAGTTGAAACCTGGCCCAGCCAAGGGGGGGCATAACCCCACAGGATCGCATACAGAATTTGTCATCCAAATAGCAGGGGGATTACATTTAATTTGTTCGACGTGGCTGGGGGGATTCAAAGGACGCCAAAAAGTGACAAGGCCTAATCCCTCAGAAAAAGACCCAACTGTTGGCCCTCATCAAAAGTAAAGGCAGAGGATGGGTTGTCTGAAGGCCCCTGGAGTGCTCAACATGTGTGACAGCTGCTGCTTCAGTGCCAGGCTTGTTTTAGGTACATCTGAGTAACTGACTGTATGAATAAAGTTTCTGAGTTTTTAATCAGGAGGTGCATTGCAGTATTAAAAGCACTTTCTTTATTAAGGCCACTAATGGAATGAGAACTCTCAATACAGCGTTAGGAATCAATATAAGCAATCTGTCTGTCACTGTGAAAAATAGCAAAGCCACATAATCAAATAAGCAGAAAGCAGAATGCAATTTCTTACCAGCAATGTAAGTGGCATCAGAAGGGTTGTAAAAAAAGGAACAAGGCAAAAGAAGATTAATATGTCTGAGTCTGAAAAACTCACCATTCTGCTGTGTGCACAGGCTGTGGGTGCAGAATGAGGTTTCTAAGAGGAAATAGGTGAACACAATGAGACTTTGACGTTAATGTTCCTGAAGGCAACATCAAACCCCAAGCATGCTACATTTACATGCAACAATGCCGAATTGTTCCTGCATGTCTAAATAGGCTCTTTACACAATATAAGGTGGGGTAAAAATCTGTCTGATTTAGTTATCTCCCTCCAGCAGACTGTGCGCCAACTCTGGGTGCAGTAGTTAAGGCGATGGAGCCAAGTGCATTTGCTGTTGTGGCATCATTAGGCAACAAGCCCTACAGAGAGCATTAGTCATTTGATTAGAAATGATAAAACAATAAGTCACAGAGCGTAGCACTTACAAACTGATGTCACTCAAACAAGATAATTACATTAGCAGTTGTTTTGCATTACAGTGGATTTTCCATGAGGGTATGAGAGGAGCTCAATGGCAGTGGCAGGAATGTAGTGTAAGCAACAGAGAGGTGAAGACAAGAATGGGAATGTTTCACAAGGAAGGGTGAATGAGTGCAGTGCTTGGCCTGGGTCTTTGCTCTGTGTGTGTGGTGGTGTGTGTGTGTGTGTGTGTGTGTGTGTGTGTGTGTGTGTGTGTGAGAGCATCCAGTACCTGTGTTCTCTGGGCTGCTGGGTGCTTCATGCTGGGGTCCAGGGTGACTCGTTCAGAGCGCGGCTGTCTCGACAGGGGGTCCTGACATACAAAGCCTGTGGAGACACACAAGAGTTATAAAAGCGTGTATATATATATGACATCAGATGTTAAATATGTTACTCATTCTGATGACCTTCATGCATTGCATCAGTTTTTACGACAGTGGAGGGAGAGAAATAGAGCATTTTACATGGACATAGAAACGTTAAGAAATATAATTTGAGTTTAAAAACATAATCATTGTTTCCTTAACTTTATAGAACAGGAAGAAATATGTAGATGTGGTTACATATTACTGCCTGATACAACAAAATCCAACAAACATGAACCCCTGATCTTGCTTAAAGGGAGGGTTCAACATTTTTGGAAAGCACTTATTCCCTTTCCTACCAGTAGTTCGAAAAGAGATTGATATCACTCTCCCATCTGTACATTTAAATGCAAAGCTGCATCATGAAGTATGCAAGTTTAGCCCATAGGAGAGGTATCGATCTTTTTCGCTCTTTCAGAAAGTACATTTCAAATATTTACCAACGCTTTGAACTATTCTTTAACTTTGTTGTCAGGTTAAGACGGTACCTTTATTTTGCAGCTCAACCCATTTACATTTAAGTGCACCTTTGTTTGTTAATAATAGAGCAGGAAAATTTTTGTAATTCCCATTTCCCACTAATATGTTTGCCCTGAGAACTATGATGAAAAATCTATGATGTTGTTTAACATTTCTCAAACTTCCTTGAAGCTAATTTGTTTAAAAGTGAAATGCTAAAGAAGAACGTTCATTTTATTTCTTGCAGTCAACACTCCAGTCAAATTAATTCTATTGACAGCTTGCAGCTTGAGGCTGTTTGTTCTACATCTTCCAAGCCGTCAGGTAAGAATCAGGCCCCCGCCGTGCTCTTGCTGAAATACTGCAATTATTACAAACATGGGTGACACACGGCTGACAGCTACACACAGGCAGAAAATAAATGCTAATGGAATGCTGTCATTATTTACAGGTCTGGGATGCAGCCCAAGTGTTATCAGCCAACAGCGACTTAGTTTGTTGGGTACATAATAGATGTGCTATGTTTTACATGCCACTGCTCATTTTCCCCCGACCCGCTGTAACGTCTCCGTCCAAAGATAACTGGCAATTTATGATTCTACTCTTTCATTTAATGAGCCTGAGGGGAGGGTTTCAAGCCACAGCACGGCCTAGGCTGAGACGCACATGCATATTTGCACTCTCACGCACTCACAAACACACAGACAACAGACAATATTGCCATTCCTATAATATCATTAGCCTGGAACCGCATGATAGATTTACAGTCCAGTGTCAGTTTAGATGGACGCCTGCAAATCAGGTGGCTCCATGCATCCTGTGAACAGTAACAAGGATCAATCATAGGATGAAGTGAAGTTAAATAATCAAGAGATGTGGAGCTTTGGATAATGTTTACTTCATGTTCACTTTGGACTTTCATCTACGAGGAAAAAGAAAAGATCTGACTGTCTGTGGTAGTAAAGAGATTATGAGATTCTCCTCTGTTTTAACTAGCATTTCAAAAATATTAAAAGCTCTTCTTCTGCAAAAGAACTGAGTAATTAAGAGGGGAGACGCAACAGAGACACATCTCGTTCCCTGCTGCAACACTTCAGTGTAAACAGTATTTATCTCTGCCTTGGGCCCGGCAATTTAATGTCTTCATGCTAAAGATTGCTGCACTTTGACAAGTCGGATCCAGTTTCTCAAGAGAGCTTAATGACTTCAGAACAACAAAGGCCTCTGTCAGATATTCTGTCCGCAAGTCATTAACTGTCAATTAATGAAGGCTGTGGTTTGTTCTCTCAACACTGGAGCTACAATTATGAAGCCGTACAGCTATTATCTACAGTTTGCACAAACTCAACAAGGGAAACATTACACAACGCACAATGGACGATTGTCTACACCTGCTTTAAACCTGTTGGTTACAAGAAGGGAAGACTGGAGTTTACAGCTTTGGAGTGAGGCTAGTAAAGAAAAACCTGCTTTAATTACAGCCATTTTTACAGAAAACAAAACATTTCCAACATACAAGCTAATATTTATTCTTAAATGACAAATTCCTTTTTTTAAAGTTTATTTTTGGGTGCTTTTTATGCCTTTACACGAGACTCGATAGAGTCAGAAATCATGGAGAAAGAGAGTGGGGAATAACATAGGGGAAAGGAGCCACATGTCAGATTAGAACCAGGGCCAACCACTTGGGCGACTATAGCCTCTGAACATAGCAAGAAGCTACCGACACACCCCCAAGAAATGTATTTTTAAGAATGGAAAAGATTGATCATTACAAAAAAATAACTGACTCTTCCATTACTCACAATGTTTTAAGTTAGTTCTACATTCTGTTCATTTATTTCAAATGTCTGTATTCGGATGAGGATGTTTATTTGTTAGGATGATGATGATTTCATGTATAAACCTTCTTCTTCTAACATTTAAGTGTGGTTTCTGACAGAACAGAAAAAGTCAAAGTGTAAGCTTTTGTGTTCTCAGATTTTTATGGTTCAGTTATTTGATATTCAGCATTATACACAAGCACATAAGTTACAAGTGTTTTCAGAAACATAACACAGCTATAAAAAGTGAATTTATACAAAGTGAACTTTTATCACGTGCAATCATTGTGCAAAACTTTGGAATCAAACTGCTTTGAGTCATTGTTCCAGCATGCACTCACCTACAAGCGATAACATGTCTGCAATCATGCTGGCCTTTATCTTCAGATCCAATGGAGCATCACTGTAAATAAGCAGAATTCTTTTTTTTTTCAAACGAGGCAACAAAGAAGACAAAGATAAAAAATGACAACACATACACAAGAACAGTGGAGAGCTGAGGGTAGAACTGTCATAGAGGTGGGGACAGATTTCTTGTTTCACCTTGAGCAGCTCAGATATAACATCGTTTTTTTAAAGAAAAACAACATTAGTTTGTAACAAGCAAAACACAAACAATCACATATTCTATTAAAAATGTGTAGAAAGTCCCCAATTTCCAGTAGCTGAGTAGTAACAACAGTTTCAGTAAGGAAGACTCTTAAAAATACAAAATGAAGACAAAAACAATCACAACAGTGTCACTCACCAGGCCAGGGAGGGAGAAAGGTTCACCTCTAACAACCAGGGTTTGAGGTTGGAGTCAATGAGCACATCAAAACCATATAGCTCTACAAAGGGAAACACAAATTAATCAAGTTTTCTACATAAACATGGCAACTAGCAGAGAGAGAGGCAGAATTAAAAAAAAAAATGTAAGAGCAGCTAACTCAAATGAAAGATGAAGGGTATCAAAGTCACAAGAAGGCATCGATGCTCTGTTATGTTGAAACATGGCCTTTATATCATTCTGCCTTTCTGCTACTGATTACATGCACGTTATATATCCAATCACTCAAGAGAGGAATATTAAACAAAGCCTGCTACCGAGGGACTGGCTCAATTACATTAACTAAGTACAAACACATTTCATCTGTCTTAAGACTGCTCACGTAAGAAGGCAGATCAAAAACACCCCGTGGCGGTATAGATGTTTCATACATACAGTCAATAATTTTCTCATGTCAGTGAAGGTTAAACAGTCCACATAATGTCAGTGCCTATTAACAAGAAGGACCGTGCAGTGTATGGGGACCAGATTAGTATTTTTCCCTCGACATAGAAGTAGTATCTTGCACAACTAGTGCAATAAAAGCTAGCTTTCAGAAGCACAACGTTGAAAATGTGACAGTGTGACCCCAAGGACAGAAATCAAGGGAAGTAGAAAACCTTGAGCCATAAATTGTGTAACATATGCCTTAGCATTAAGTTACACAATAAAAGGCTTTTAAGAAAGCGGTCAAAAAGTTCCCTGTATAAAAAATACACCCATTCTATTCCAATTTTGCCTCTCGTTTCACTGATATACGGCTCCCTGCGACAGAACTGGCTTATGTGCCCTATGAAAGCACTCAGGCTGCTCTGGGGAGTGTCACCATATGAGCCAACGACCCGCCGGCCCGAGCTGCAGCGTGCAGGGAAACCACAATATTTTACTGGGATAGGGCAAAGCCCCACCATCAAGCCAGGAGAAAAATCCTTATTGCACTTCAAAAGAAAAGACTGTGTTGAGAACAGGCCAGGGGGGTTGGGGGTTTCAAAGCTGCCAGAACCAGCGCTGTTTGTTCAGGGATCTCAGGTCAGTGCCAGTGTTAAGCATACAAAAGCCAGCGAGACAGGGAGCTATGGCTTGATACTGCACTAAGTTGAATAAAGGGGGCTGAGGAATTGTAGTCAAGCACAATAACTTAACATTTTTTTGAGAGAACAAATCTCCACCCTGACCATAAAGAATGCGGAGGCAATGCAATAAATCTGTAAGTTAAATTGTGCGTCTTATTCTAAATGAATCTATCTGGGGCTACACGGGTGCTGCTCCAGAATTAATGACCAGAATTGCAGTTTAAGTGCAAAACAGATTGTTTGCACAATCAGCTACTTTCAGACTAGTTGGATGCTTGGTCAAGTCTCTGCAAGTAGTTACATGCTATTCAAAGTCTAAGGCCACATTATCTGACTTTCCATTCAACAAGCACTGATTTTACACAAAAAGATTAGTTTACTCATCATGAGAACTGAGAAAACGGTTAGCCGATGATGTCATCGGGGTTATCTCATCTCAAAGACTACAAACCTAAACCAGATAGCCTGTGCTTCATCGAGTTTTAGAGGCATGGGCACCTACCAGACAGGGAGACTCTTACAAAAGATGATATCTTACTGCACTCAAGGAAATTTGGATCCAGTTTTTGTTTCCAGGCTACTTCCATTTAGACCACTTGATTTTCTAATCTGTCTCTTGTGAGTCCCCAAATGTATTGGAGTGTAATATTTAATCATGTGACTGTTCTTTTAATACTTAAACATATTTCCTGAAACCTTAACAGAATGTTTTTTCTCCAATTACGTTTTCATAACACGTATTATGAGAAGTAGGAGAAAATACACAGTGCATTATGTTCAATGGTTTATATTACATGGGTCAAGAGCAAGTGCTGCTATTATGTGAGGTCCAAATTGGTGTAACTGCAGACTTTATTTTTATGATGGAACTGAAAAAAAAGTTAGCCATACATCCCTGAGCCAAGACCTGCAACTGAATCTACCACTGCCATCTTTAACTTCTTTAACTCCCGAGGATGGACTGGACTCCCACTGCTAAGCTGTACGTGCTTAAGCAGAGCACTCAGGTTCTATTTTCCACTTGCAGGTTTATCCCTTTCTATCCAATTCTAGTATAAAAACAGAGAGAGAGAGAGTTTGTGTGTCATGCATTAGTCTTAAAGAACGGAGAGGAGAAATAAGTGGGCTTGAGCCTGCAGTGCCTCACCAGTGGCACCACAACAACAGGGGGAAAATAGGGAGGTGTTACGCTGCCTCACCAGCCCTCCGACAAGCAGGCTCCATGTGCCGTGCATTTTCCCCCAATTAGGAGCAGACGCCGCTCCTGCCCCATGAGCCTGCAGAGCCACTCGCTGCTGCTAGACAAGTTTGTTCTACGGCTCAACCGCTGCGGGGGGAGCGCTGTTAAATGTGCCCGCAGAGAGAACCACAACAAGCATCACAGACAAGGAGAGGAGAGGAGAGGCAGCGAACATCTACATCACACCATTAAAAAGGGAGGTAGTGAAGAAAAAAAAATGTGAGCGAGAAAAAAGGGATGATGAAGAAGATTTTTTTAGATTATTGGATGGGCGCTGCTGGAAACTTCACCACAAGAGACAAACGCCCAAAGACAATAATCTCCCCACCCTTGCCATGCAGCCTGTTGGCTCAAAACAACATAAAGAATCTCCTTCATGTGTGTTTTCTTCATAGGCAAGGACAATTGAATTACTCTTGCATCATGCAGGGGTAAATGATTGCTGCTGAACTGTTTCACTGCTGTTTCAGGGAGCAGCTTGGAGCCACAATCATTTAAAAACACTCTGAGAACAACAAATTAAAGCTACAGCTAACGCTCTACAGTCTTATTATGATAGCGAGAGCCAATCCATTAATCATCCCTGAAAAGATTTTTGAATAATACAGCAGCCACACTGTCATCACAGGCACACCAGCTCTGCGCTGCAGTGAATTGTGGGAGTATCTGACAAATGTAAAACAGAAAGAGTGGTGCACAGACGAGGGATTCGACCACACTCAGCACTTAATGAAGGACGTTCAGTGGAACACAGGACCAGTAAGTGGAATGTTTTGTGTGTAATAAAATAGGCCTTTGGCTTGGCTAATCAGATCTTAGTCAAAACATCTCGTAATCAGCATCCCTCAGCAGAAAGCCTGTCCATTAATCACACTGCAGCAGCAAGGAGCTGCATGGGTGGCATTTTCTCCCCACAGACACACACACACACACACACACACACACACACACACACACACACACACACACACACACACAGAGTTCTTACCAACGCAACACGAAAAAAATGTTTTTATTTCTTCCCATTTGAGACATTACAGAGCTATAAAAAGATTTTGTAACTGTATGCCCATCTAGATACAGATGTGTGATTTACGCAAAGGGCAGAAATCCCATTTGAAAACAATAAACAATGTATTTAAGCCATTAATAGACATAAAAAGGCCGGGTTTAATTTGCAGTAAATTAAGATTAAGGTGATTTACCATGTTACGTGGCTCCCTTCCAGCAAAGGCAGAGTCTGTATAAAAACAATAGCTGCTTTGATCTGTGCATTCACTGCCCTAACACACATGTACACACTGCCCTACATTCTGATGCTTTACCTGTTTACTATTACATGCAGCTGTTGAGGCCAACCGTTAATGCTGGGTGTACTGTGGGCTGTAGGAGGAGTGGGACCAGTAGATGTAGGAAAAGTGCAAGAAAAGGAGAAAGTGAACATGGCTCCTTGGTGGTTTTGGTGGGATTTATTTAAGAGACAAGAAACAGAACACAAAGATACTAGACTGGACTCCCTGAAGCTGAGTCCAACCTGCTTGTTTGTAAAACCGGGTTTTTTACACTGGTTCCTACATGTCTCTGTATTCATACAGTCCATACATTCTCACACGAGCACAGGGAGTTTGCATGCAATGGGACCACACTGTAGGAGGAGAAGGGTGGTCCTCTTGAACCGTCAATGTCTGTCTTTGGAAACTTAATCCTGCAGAAAGACTATGAATGCTGTAATTAACTTGCCTGGGGCCATCTGAAGACAACACAATTACACCAAATTCAATAGTAAAGTGATATGATTGAAGTGGGGTAACGTGCATGTTCACAGCAGACCACGGTGTATTATGTTCATAGTAAAAGGTGTAGAGCCTAATTGCTTTTGTACTTCACAATGACATCGCGAGAGTATCTATGTCTATACATGTCCCTTTAGGCTAACATATAAGATGTCAGGGTTGTTCTGCCAACACAGACATAAAAGATGGCAACAGTGCAACAACGCCCGTAATCTTGACTCTTTTAATCCATGTTCACAACCTTTCATTCTCCATTTTAAGACTTTTACTTTGTATTAGCTTTTCTACAGCATCAGATGTTTTTTTTTTTATGTAGAAGAATTTAGTTTAGTGAAGTATCTAAAGGTCATGCAGTGTGGAAATGAATATGGTATGACTTAACACCCTATGAAGCATTTATTTTGCGTGTAGGACATGTGTGTGATAGCAAATAAACCAGGCTATCCAAGTGAGAAACTGAATGAAAAAAAGAGCAAACTTGTTTTTCCATTCTTGATTTGGACTCTTACTCCAAAGATCTGCATTCCCTTGTTTATTCATGCCGATGAAGTGCGTATGTGATGAGCCAGGTGGAAGCTTGGTAAGCCACATATCCCCGTAAATACCAGCATGGTCAACTTTCACACTCATTGCCCAGGCTAAAGTATGTTTTTCAACCTAGCAATGATGCTCCAGGTGCAGATAACATCTATATGCAGGAGAATGTCTGATGGTGTGAGTCAATGCTGCTATGCTCACAGCATACAACCAAAACAATCACCAATCATGGGGGGCTATTATGTCTACAGAAGCCTGTCACATCTGCACAGCCCTTTATTTTTCTAACACGTGAGAGGTGAAAGAGAGTGTGAGCAGTGGAGTGTGGACAATAAACAAACAGAAACAGCAAGAAAAGAGGAAAAAGAGAGTGAAAGAGAGACAGCAATGCTGAGGGAGGTTTGGTCAATGGGCTTTGCGAAACCCCAAATCTCAGAGAGACCGCCAGACAGAGGGGGAGAGCGCAGACAATTAGTGCCAACACTAACATGGGTAATGGCTCCAAAATGGAGTTCACACGAGCCTGCTGCGAGGCAAGAGGAGCCAAGAAAACAGTCAGCCTAAATCAGGCAGACCTGAATGGCAACAAAGAGGAGGAAGCAGATTCCTGGTTCGGTCAATAGGCTCTCTGCAACCCGGCAGACAGTCAAAGGGCAAGGACGGGCAAGACGGCTCCACACTGAGGACTGACTGTCTGCGAACTCAGCTCGGCTCAGTGGAGAAAAAGTATAGAGGGACTGCTGGACAATGAATGTGAAACTGAAAGGAAATGAGAGGGGTGTTGCAGAATGGATGACTCAGGATGTGTGTCTTTGAACTGTGAGCAATAGAGGGAATTTGTGCAGAGTTCAGATTTTAATCAAAGGAAAAAAAATCTTGTAAAGCTGACTTTTGCAGGACTTTTAATTATCATGTTCCTGCACAACATGTTTTTCTTACTATCAGTCTACTCGCTGAGGGCTAAGAAGAAGGTTTTCTAACCACTAGGTCACAAAGGTTTCAGTAAAATTCGGTAAAATGAATAAAAAAGGATTACCAAAGCAGTTTGTCTTGTGAGGAACAAACATCTTGCAGGCAGTGGCGATCTGTAGCTCAGCACTCAGTACAGCTTTGATGATGAGGTCCTCCACCTGTCTCATCAGCACTGGAATAGACGAGATTAAGAGATTAATATTAATCAAAGACTCCTGTTGAGCAAGGACTGATAGAAACTTTGAAAAAAGTAGGTGTTAGAAACAGCAAACAGGAGAAATGTTATTTTATCACAGAACAAAGGAAATTATGAAAAACTGAGAAGGGAAGAAAAATGAAGAGTTGACTCACATGTGGTGTCCTTTCCCTCCTGCTTCAAATACCTCAACACTGCACTCATACTCCACTTGTTCCCATAATCCTCAACTTCAGGGTCATCGCAACTGAAAAGAAAGAAATGCACTTCAAATGGTCCAGTTATGATAAATGGATGAGTCTATCCAGCTTCCCATAACAGCTGCACAGTGGATGTATGTTTGATGTCTGATGGACATTACCTGACATAATCACTGCTCTTCTTGTTCAGGCTGTAGTTAGTCAGATGCATGAACGTGTTCTTTATGTTCTTTGCTGTCCGGTCATACTTGACTGTAGCAAATCTAAAGACAGAAATACATTTTTATTACACATCTATCTATTACACATTTTTATGACCACATCCAAAAAGCTGACACTTGTTTTTTTTTTTTTTGATAGGGGGCACTTTGGGGAGACATTAGTCTCTGGCAGCATTTAAGAGGAGTGGATGCCACATGTGCAATAATGAGAATTCCTTGGCACGCTCTGTGTACCTGAATACCAACACAACCCAAAGGAATGTCAGGAGATAAAAGTGGGATTCAGAATTTGGCTGTGATTTATTGCTCGCAGCTGATAATCAAACCAGCAAACAAGAGGGCGGTGGCACTCTGTTTCCAGCACGAACCTCAAGCCGACCTGTCGTTCCATAAATCATCCAACCTCTCCTGACCTACCTGCGCCTGTCAAAATAACCCCCTCTAGGATGAGTGGATTACAGTTTCACTAAATACCAGCAAACCAATAAATAATATGCAATCACACAAAGACACGATCAGAAATATTTGTTAAGCACATCCTGAAACTGGAACAATAGAGCGCTTTGTTTTAGAGTCCCCAACACAGTGCACACTTCTCATCAGCCAATGTGAAGTGTTAAGGCTGCCCTCTGCTGGGCACTGAAGGCGCACCTGTGACTGTGCCTTAAGTGCAGGAAACATGGACTGTGTATTTAGCTGTTGGACTCAATAGTGAAGCCAATGTAGAACTGCCTTTAACCTGCCTTTCTTTAATGGACTGACGGGAACACTTCACTAGATGAAAATAAATAAATAGTGTTTTTCTATTGAAACAGGAGAAAATTGTCCAACTTTTGTTTCTTATCGTATCCAATCATATCAAATGATCCTACTTTTCGGTCGATCCAATACATCTGTTAAAATTTTCCTAATGAGTTGCCTTCAAGTCCTCAGATCAAATAAACAATACAGCTATATACCTGTAGGGCATGTCTGCCACAGATTGAGAAGAAGCTACCACAGCGACCCGTCAACCATGATAGAAGGAGTAGTAATATGTATTCCCCTTATGTCGAGGTGACCGCACAGTGGCTACATCCACTCCTTTTTTTGTGTAGTCTTTGGTATGAACCAGGTAGATTCTAATGAAAAACTGCAACATGACTTACTTTTAAAGGACCAATATGTAAGATATCTACTGAATTAAATCATAAAAGTGAACTTACTACATCAGACATTAATGAAACACACTATGTTGCAGTGCTGGCTTCTCTGACAACAATGCAGCAGCCAGTATGTCCTCCTTCTAAGTTTCGAGAGGTTAGATCGCAGAAAGGTTTCAAGACCAATGCAGAGCTGGCTAAACACTGAAGCTTCTGTGTCTGCAACATGGCAACCTGCGTGTACATCGACTCTGGAGGGAGGGGGCGGGGGGGGGGGGGCAGCTCTCTTCAATGTTTTGAAATTGGACTGCAGTACCAATATCTAAACGCTTCATGTCAGAGTCACATATACTGTAGCTCCTTTGATCCACAGATGTGCTGTAATAAAAAAAAAGTGTAGTCTCAGGTAACTTCACGAGCAATGAAAAAAATCCAAACGCAGGTCACCTGGCGAGGCCCTCCTCATACACATAGATGAGGAGTGGATCGTATGATGTCACCAACACATACAGCCGCACATCAAACTTGAACTCTGTAACCAGAAAAAAAGAAACTTTCAAACTTCAGTCAGAATCCAAAAACACTGCTAACAAATTGAGCTCTGTCTGAGAAACTCACCATCTATCAGCAGTGGATTGTTTATGTAGCGAGACACCAAGATGTTTTCATCCATCGCAATCTGATTTGGCTGCAAGTGACACAAAAACAAATAGAAGAGAGAATAATAAGGCAGTATTTATTATGATACATTGTCATCAGTTAGACAAGGTTAATACTTGTATTATTATTGACTACAGTAATTAGGTCAGAAGACACTTTCAACTGGACAAGTTTCAAGAGCGCCTCACAATCTAAATCAACAGTATTAATAGTATGTCTCTGACCAATGCACTGTTTTGAATGTTTCCCATCCCTCCACCATATATTCATATAAAACAGCATTAAATACTGAATTCCAAATGCATGATGTGACGCTGCTGTTAACCATTAACATCCAACCTTCATTACATCCAGAAAAAGTTGGAGACTGCAATGACACTGGCTATGGCGGGTCAGCATTCAATAACAGCCTATAAAAACACAATCTGGTGGTGGGAGAGGGGTCATTTATGAGGTTGAAATGTGTTGCAGGTGGCGAAGTTGAGAGGACATGTGATGGGGGAGGGGAAGGGGGGGGGGGGGTGCAGTGTAACCTCAGTGCTGGCTACAGTTCAGAGAAAACCTTAACACACACCAAAAAAAATGAGCGTATTTCTTCCTTCTTCTCTCCAAATATCGCTCTGACATTCTTTCCACTCTTTCATAAAAATGCCTAAAGAGAAGAAGAAGAAGAATCGTGCACGTGTTTTCCAAGAGTGAGAACCTTGTTGAGCTCCCCCAATAAGCCCGGGCCTTGGAAGAGTGTGATTTACTCCACAAAGCCTATTAATGTCTGAAACACTAGTTGATATTTCTTTCAAAGACAGCTGCATCTGTGCGCCCCCATACAAACACACACACACACACACACACACACACACACACACACGCACACACACACACGCACACGCACGTAACATCTGGCTGAGTGACTGTTTCAGTTCACACAGTATTTTTTTAAGTCTGCTAACAGTTAACTCCCTCTAGGTTTATCATTAATGAAAATCTGTGTTAAAGCCTGAATTAGGGGGAACATTAAGCTTATTGACTCAGTGAGTAATATTTAGTTAGTGTAGCTTAGCATAAAGCTGTTTCCTGTGTTTCCTGTCTGCGAGGACCTGAGCAAACTGTCTGCTGGCTGTAGCTTCAGGGTTATTCCAAAAGTATGTGAGTGGTATCAAACTTCTCACCTCACTCTCCATATGCAAACAAATAAGCGTATTTCCCTTTATGTCAATTTCTTCTTTGAACAAACAGCTTTACACATAAAGATCTCGGTATGGACCCTTACCCTTCCTCTAGTGTTGTAGCACTCGACATCTGTCTTGGTCTTAAGACCGGTCTCGAGACCACTTTTTGAAGGTCTTGGTCTCATCTCGGAATCTTAAGCATTTTTACTCTGTCTTGTCTGGGACTCAGACTGGGCGGACTCCAGATTTGAAATCAAGACCACCACTGACAGGTTATTTTTCCACGTCTTTACTGTGATTAGAATGAAAACGTCGCTTTCAAAAAGAAAAAATATATATTTTTAACCCCCGGTTACAGCCGCAACTTCCCCTGTTAAGGTTTAAGTGACACTCTGCTGCACACAAGATGATGCATTTTCAGTGACATTTATGGTCTTGGTCTTGTCTCGATCCTGTCCCTAAATGTCTGGGTCTTGTCTTGGTCTCGGAGCACTCTGGTCTCAGATATGTCTTGGCTTCGGTTAGTATGGTTTCAACGACAACACTACCTTCCTCTCAACTCGTTTTTCTATTTCTGTGTGTGTAATAGTTTGCAATGTGTGCCATTTTACATTTTACATGTCAGTCAAAACGCTCAAACCTCTAACAGAGGTCTGCATCCGTGTTAAAGAGGAGATAGAGCAGTGCTTCCCAATTATAGTATGTATTGAAGAAGCAAATGTAGCCACCCTAAAGTCACCCAATGGTTTGAGGACTGCTGTTTAAAGCCTCAGCTCGGCATTTGTGCTGTCGACATGTTTCTGTGGAGCTAGAACTAACAACATTTAAATATGTTTACTTAGGTAAAAGAAATAAGTGTAATTCTCTTGAACAATCTTCTAAAGGGTTCAGATTTGTAGCTTGTCCTTGTTTTATATCAAAGAAAACTGACATAGAAATGATCTTTATTTATCAATATTACTATTTTCTGCTCACGTGGGTGCCAAAACTTACAAGTTACTTGAAAAAAACAATAGGTTGGTTGATCTGATTGTTGGTAAATTAAGATAAATTTCTGCCATCTCACAAGGCACCTTAAAAATCTTCATATTAAACATCCCAAACCAAACAAAAAGCTCTCATCTGCAGAAATAATCTGTGATGGGCGTACACTACTTTCATTTTACAAAAGGCTCAAAGAACTGAGAAGTCCAGTGCCTCAAATCACTCACATTGCTGACCAGGTAGATGCCCCGCCCTCTTGAAGATGCTACTGGTTTAATAATCCAAGGGCCTTTGTCCTTAGCAAAACAATCTGAGAAAGAAGAGAAAAGAACATTTATCAGGTCTATGTTTGGACTGGATGTGGACGTTTCATAAAGAGAGAGGTAGAGTTGGTGTGAGGTGTCTTACTGCAGAACTCCTGGTATTCAGAGGGAAGCACAAAAGTCTGAGGAACAATGTGGAAGTTTTTGAAGCCATGAGTCTGCTGCATTCGCTGGATGTTTTTATAGAGCCGGTCTTTGCGCGTCAATTCATACGACCTAGAAAATGAGCAGAGCTTCAAGTTTAAAATACTCCAGCAATCCGATAGGCAGCTTTGAAACTGACAGAACAAAAAGAAAAGCACACATAACAGCAATAGATCGCCCTCTGCCTGACAGTATGATTCATTTCATGTTTCAGAGAGGCACTGTTCCAAACTAAATGCGCTTTGCAGTGGAAGCCAACAAACACATTGCCTGAACTGAGTGGCTTAGAGTGGCTCAGGGCTGATATTTATAACACAGAAAACAGTGGCAGTGAACTCATACATTGGAGCTCTCTATCGTACCTGGGAAAGTGGTTGACCTTCTGAAAGTCTTGAAGGCTGCGGAGAATGTAAGGCTTGAGGTGGGATCCTGTCCACATCAGGTTAAAGTCATTACTGTTTGGGTGAACCTGAAACACAGACAGATGGACATGAAGAAGAAATATTTGAAAAAACATGTTTTAATATCATCAGAGAAAAGGAATCACCTTAAAATGACAGCAGCAGTATATTCCGATGTCTATCAAAAATGGCAGCTTTATGAAATCAAAGAAACAAAACAGACACTCTGACACCAACCTGAAGAGATACTGCCTGCTCTTCAGAAATTATTGCAAAAGGAAGGCACACTTGCAGATTTTCATTGCCCTCATATTATCTAATCAGTTTTGTTTTGTTTTATTCCAACAATTCCTTAAGGGGCGGAGCTAACACGGCAGCTCAGTGTCATGGGGAGAACCAGATGTTTGCAATAAAGTCTTATTAAGTTTGGCTCAGTCACGGCCGTGGTAGACACTCGTCTGCCTTTGATGATGGGTTAACGGGAGTCAAGCAGCATTGAAGTGAAATAAAAAGGGAATTATTGTAACTGCTTTGGAAAAGAAAAAAAAAAACGGGGATTTTGTGCCCTCGTGAAACAGGATTAATGCTCTTGAGGTCATTTCGTTTGTTTTTTTTCCATATGAGTGCATTGCCTGGTTTTACATCGACATTATCAGTCAAAAGAAATCAAAACAGTCCTACTATCACTGATCCTACACAGCAAGGAGGCACATAGATATCAGGTTTAGTGGAGAACGTTACCTCACTGAATCCATGATTGGCGAGTATTCCTCGTACCAGGCGGCTTTCTGTGCGCACAATCTTAAAGGCCAAACTGTATCGCTCTAGGCAAATGAAACACATGGGACAACAAGTGTTTATCCAACTTTTTGAAGGTGTCATATTCTGATGGTGTTATTATTTGTTTTCATTTCGGTTGTTTACCTCCAATAGAGCAGATCTTGCCATCTTTGGAAACGGCAGCTTCAGGGACAAACAAGAGAACTGGAATTTTCTTGCTAAGGCCACACCAGGCGATGCAGGGATGGTCTCTAGAGAAATAACAATGAAGTCACAGTTAGAGGCAGATTTTCTAAATGTTCCATAATAATCTGATAGGAGAAAGTTTTCACTTGGATAAAGTTCCCTGTAACGATATCATAGAGACGCATGCCGAGGTGAACTTCACAGCTTGAAATGTTTGGCATTCATTCCTGGATGATGTGAAATAGCTTATATGGGTGGTTTACCTAACGCCCGGGGAATGTATCCTGAGATGCTGTTTGTTTCAGATGGACAGATAGAGACAGAACCACACACATTTTCTGGAGCTGCTGGGCAACAACAAACTTATATGCTGTACGAATAAACATCCTTGTTAACCCTCAGACTATCTGATAGTACCAGACACAGCCTGCTTATCTAAAAGCTAAAAATAAGATAAGGTAGCATTATGATGGAGTAGCGCTCAATCAGGCATGGACAATTGTGATAAGAGGGAGAAGCATGTAAACAATTGCCGCCCCTAGCTGAGGTATCCAAGTATGACTGACAATATGGCAGCTTTTTCTTCCTCTGTGCTGGTTTTGTTGCAAGCCCTAGAACACTTCTGTAACATTTCAGCTGGTTGTTTGATTGAATATATAACAACATCAAGACTGTTGAGAGACTATGCACAACAAATGTTTCAAGTCTTGACAAAAAGGCCACATTGTTAGCAGCACAGTAATATTAATGCAGAGCTGTTTGAAATGTGAATGAAAAGAAAGGAAAGGAAGGAAATATGTGTAACACAAACACTAAGTGTGAACTCAAAGGTGAAGAGAAAATGCAGGATATTTTCCAAATAGTTCTTATCTCAAAATCTTTGTACTTCTTTGATGTTTGCTTACCGTAACACTTCAAATAAAAGCTCATCCCGATTTAAGGCCCAGTCTTTTAAAACCAGCCTGGTGTTGCTGCAAGTTTTGACAAATAAAGGCAGCTCTCTCAAATAGATGCCCACTATGTATTTAGAGTTAATTCATTTGCAGATCACAATTAACAAGAGTGTCTCCCTCTCTCACTCACAGCGCAGCAGCTTTATTGTGGGTGGGCTGTCTTACAAAGTAACTTCAAATCAGTGATTTGTGAGTTGTTTTTTTCCCTTTACCCTAATTTTGTACACATTTAAATGTTCTTTCTGGTGGTCTTAGAGTCTCTCCCAACTTTGCAGAGTTTTGTTTGACAGTAATTAAAGGCCTATCTTCTTTTGACGCCTGTCCCAAATAAAGGCAGGGTCATTTTATAGACTGTTGTAAATAAAAGCACAGGCTATTAATTGAAGGTAGTCTCAGCTCCCGTGTATAGTATTATGCCGATGCAATTTTAAACAATATCCAAGTTAAAATGCCAAAAATGCCCTGATTCCAGCAAAGATATGCTTCTTTTCCGTTCTTAATATTTCAGTGAACAGAAATATCCTTTAGTTTAAAGACTCTTGTTCTCTACTTTGTGTTAATCGTTTCCAAAATAGTGCCAAATTATTATCCATTACAATTTTTATTGACTGTTTCTGATATTTTACAGAAAACAAATACAAATAATGTGAATACCAGATGTGCTGTGTTCTTTTGGTTTACATAAAGGTCTTTTTGTACATGTGAATTCTTTTACATGTGTTTGTCTTAATGTGTGTAGGGACCCTCTGTATAGGCCTGTAATGCTACATACTGAGTAGGTCTTGCATTATTCAGAGATGTCTGTTGCCATAAACTTTCACCTTACGTTAACGTACACTTATATCAGCTCTTCCTAATGAATCAGGCAAGAAAATAGGAAATAGCCTTAAAGTCAGAGTCAATCAGAAGGAATCAACATCTTCTGCAAGGGATGTGTGTTTGCCGATAAGATGGACAGGGTGAACTGTAATATGCAAGTGTGTGAGTAGATATTTTTTGGACAAGCTCATCTACCGACAGTAGTATTTAAAAGCTTACCAGCCACTCCAGTTAAAACAACACTGGGCACCTGAAGGTTAAACCCTAATACTAAGCAATCCACACTAATTCAGGAGATGGAAATTGGCTCAAAAACAGGCACAGTCAGCTCTCAGTAAGGTATAACTAAGTGTAGCTCAAGTGGTGATTAGACCAACTGCTGTCATGATCCAAAGTTAGATGCTTTATAATGTGACATTACAGTAGAATATTTTGAACAGCTGCAAACTTGGGAGTATTAACACTCACTCTTGGTCGTCATCTGAGGAGGACTCGGAGTCTTCCTTATCCCGGGATACAGCCGGCATCTTCACAGTAAAAGTGGACGAGCTGCCCGGTGAAATGTCCCAGTACAGGCTTGTAAAGGCTTCTGCAGCATGGCACCTACCATCTCCAACTACAAAAACAAAGGTCATTGAATAACACTGCTCAGTTTAACGCCAAGTACATTCGTGCAAAAGATAACATTATACCCACGTTACTAAGGCTCTCTAACAAAGTCCAAAATAATGCTTTTCAGAAGTCAAAAACAACCGCTCCTAAAGGACTCTACATGTCTTATGAACGTAAATTAATTAACAGTATATTTCAATTAAAGGTTACACTCTAGTTAAGATGTAACCAAGACAGATATCCCAACAAACGAATATGAGACTTCACCGAGGTTACCGACGTGTTACCTTAGGAATGGGAAGCTAACCGGGCAAAGTGTACTTATTTTGAGAAGGTCTCATTGCTATTTTAAACGCCGTAAATAACACCAGCGTTGACTTATATCCGACAGCATGCTACCTCCTAGCTAGCTCGCTAGCTGATGTCAGCCCAGTTGATCATCGCGGTTAATCTTCCTGGTAACTACAACAACTGAGTAGCAACAGAGGACGGCGCATGCGCAGTGCGCACTCGTGGACAATTCTTTATTTGGCCACTTGACCAAACTGAACACTGCGTCCTGTAGGTGGGTGGCTGTGACTGTTTTCAAACGGCGAATATATTCTCTTGGATAATTTGAATTGTGTGCAATATACTGGAAGTAAATAATAAACCAACCAGCTTAAGGCAATGTGGGAATTTTTTTTATTTTTATGACGGCTTGATACGAATGTTTTTTTTTTTAACTAAAAGAGCAACGGAGATTAAATAAAAAAGTAAATGATGAACGAGAACATATGAAAATAGAGATTTAGTCCTTGAGTTAAGATATCATATAACAAGTTAAATCAGTTATTTATGTAAACATATCATATAACAAGTTAAATCAGTTGTTTATGGTGTAAACATATCATATAACAAGTTAAATCAGTTGTTTATGGTGTAAACATGAATTCAAAACAATTGAGTAGGACTCGGGCCAGGTCTTTACAGAGAACTCTCTCGTTTCACATGTACTCTTTGGTTGAATGCAGCCTAGTTTACAGTCTACAGGTGACTGGGTTTTCTAAAACTATTGGCTGACGAAGAAAATAGGCGGAACCTAAATGCCAATAAGGGCCAATCATATAAATGGTACGATTTGATGGAACCATTTCCTAAGCCCTGTTATTGGTCAGAGCCACAGTCCAAGCTTGACATGTTTTATTGTGACTATAACACCGCACACAGCTGGCCCGAGTCCTACTCAATTGTTTTGAATGCATGTTTACACCATAGTTAATAGACACTGAAAGGTAAATATACGAACCATTCATCTTATTTTGTCACAATGTGTCCTCTGGTTGTACCTACCAGGTTATAGCTGTCATGTTAGGTTTCTCAGTGCTGTATTACTATGTGAGCTGACAGTGACTGTGATGTGTAAGTAGGTCTGTTATTCTGGCTGCAGCAGAACCAGCTGCTTGCATAAGCGTTCAGTCTGATTGTTTTTTTTTTTTGTTCTGCACTGACCACACTGACTTTTCCTCAGGTGCGTTTGACAGAAAAAGATGAGTCGCTTTCTGAACGTCCTGCGGAGCTGGTTGCTGATGGTGTCCGTCATCGCGATGGGAAACACCGTGCAGAGTTTCAGAGATCACAGTTTTCTGTCAGAAAAGCTCTACACAGGCACACCTGAGTTTGGTGAGAAAAACCATGTTTGACTGACCATATTAAAATGACTTTAAAGGTGCCACTATAAATAACACCATATCTTTTTTTTAGGTCAATGCTTGTGAGATTTAAAATGATCTGATTTGATGTTGTCTTTGCTTGAGCATATAACATACACAATTAGATAAGACTTTTTAAAAACTATATGCATATATGACTTCATTCTAAAATGGACCATTGAGTCTTGTTTTTTTTATTACCTAAGCAGATTGATTGGGCTCTTATGTTAAAAAATGAGTTATGGCTTATTTCCCCTATTATTTATTCTGCTTTATTTGAACTCTTTTCCCTAACCCCTGCCGTCCTGACTTTCATTTTCTTCCAATTTCCTTAGTGAATGGTCTCCAAGCTCGAACTTTTGGTATTTGGACGTTACTGTCATCGATCATCCGCTGTGCATGTGCCATTGATATCCAGAACAGAACGTAAGACAGTTCTCAATTCCTAGGAGCTGCTTATGTTGGCAGACGTAATGTGTTCTTACTTTGTGTCGCTCTGGGTCCTGCAGGCTGTATCACATCACATTATGGACGTTTGTGCTGGCCCTGGGCCACTTTCTGTCTGAGGCATTCATCTACAAAACTGCACCTCTGACGATAGGGGTCATGGCACCTCTTATTGTGGCAAGTGAGTGAGGAATGAACACATTTCCAGTCTTTAAAAGGTTTTACCACATCTCTAAAAAATCTTGCTGTGTTTCTGTAGGTTTCTCTGTCATAGGAATGCTGATTGGATACCAGTGTATTCCAGAGTCACAGGAGGAAGTCGGAGCAAGACAGAAGAAGCGTAACTGAATCTGGGTTGTCAGATTTTCCTTTGGTCCATTGAACCCACCTCCCAATAACCACTGGACACTTGTGGTTTGGTCCCACTTTACTCCTGCTTGTTGCCTTGAAGAACATCAGATCTGGATGAGGATAACACTTTGATGAGGATAAGACTTTGTACATCTCTAGCTGGTCTGTATTACATGTTTTCCAAGTTTTGCTGCTGCAATCAGAGAGCTTTTTGTTACAGAAGCGTATGTAACACGACAGTAAACAATTTGTTCATCATGAGTTCATTCTCAATTTTGTAATATGTAACGAAGTTTGTGAATGTTAAAGTCATTGCTTGAATGACCTTCATTCATAAATAGTTGTGCTCATGGTTTCATTTTTATTTAATTGTAAACTTTTGGATTTATGGAAATGACAGTGATGTTTTTGTTTTATCAAATCATACAACAAGTTCATATACTTAATTTTATTCATGATTTTCTTAAGAACTCTGACAACTTTACAGTATAAAACTATGTTCTTCATTACGAAGACTCACATCTCTCAGCAAATTCTTTTCATGTTTGATCTGTGCTGTAAAAAGTTTGTAAAACCTTTAAGATGACCCACAATTATTGTTCCATAAAAGTTTTATTTAGTGATGTGATTTTTGACATATTCATTAACGTTGTGAACAGGTTGTGAGACATTTTTATTTCATTGGTGTAGACGAGTGCTATGCACCATATTAGAAAAAAAGTTGTTATTCTATGCTCCTCAGTTCTCATATTTGGGTAAAAGTAAGACGTTTTACTACATCATTTCTGTCTTAAAACTCTGGATTTGGTTTAGGATAGATTCAAACGCAGTTAAGAAGTGCACAGTGTTTTATCCAAAGATACAGTTCAAATATTTTAGGCCAGCCAGTAAAATATGGAGCAAACAGACTCCAGAAGAATCCTGTTTTTAATGTTGTCTTTTTAAATACTTGACTCGTTTTCTCTTCTCTGTAAAATTCAAGAAGAAATAAAACAGTAATCTCTATGCAGTCTAAAATAAATCTCACTGCAGCATGAACTTCTTTATAAACTGGGTAGAGGGTGTAGAAACCTTTTTAACAGCACAGTAAAATGTTCTAAAGATGCCACGGAAAATATGGCACCTCTTTAAATCACATAAGTCAAAATAAAACAGGAACTAGCCACATCAAGCAAAACATTGTACACAGCATGAACTACATTTCTCAGTAACAACTTTACCATCTAAGAGGATAATGCATCAAAAACATTTGATTGTGCAAAAATGATGATCAGAGCATGCTTTGCCTGATCCTTTAATCATGTTTGTGCTGTTCTGATATGCTTAATATTCCAGACACTGACATTGTGTTGATCCACTAAAGATCCCTTACAGTCTTACAAGGACATTCGCCTTTCAAAATTGTGATCTGATGCATATCATCGTTCATATTTAAAATCAGCAGTTCACAAAGAGTAAAAACATCCATGAGATCCTGATCATGAAAACCATGACCGGTCACACTCGACAGTCTGCATTAGACTTGCTCCTTCAAGCAATGAAACGACAGAGGCCAGTTACACAAAATATTGGTCCACTAATAGGACTTTAAATATTGCTAATTCATTTCAAGAACACTCTATAAACAGTAATCAGAGTAGGTTGGAAAAATCTTGGGAAAAGTCCATTTCAGTTATTGAGTGTGGAGTCATTTGGAGTCAGTGTGAAGGCATCTGCACAGCACTAAAACGTATCAAATGTCGACATTAAATAAAATAATAAAATAAACATTTACTAAATATGTTGTTTTAAAACTTGTGTAGTTCCAAGTGTGTTTCCCTTACGCATGATTGACTTGTGCTTGCTTTGGGATGAGTTAAGTTGCACTTGGGATATCAGCCTGTCTCTCTAGTGTTAATGCCAGAGAGGCGAGTTGTACAGTACATTTAAAGCCTCACACATCGCTGCTCAGTATGAACTCAGTCTCATGTGCTCAGTCTTCACAGCAGCTTCTATTTGCACATGTATGTACATTGACGTGTCAGTGTTTGGATTTTTTTTTTTTTTTAATCTGTGAGTGAGGTAGTGTCCTCAGAACTTCCTCTCATTCAGGGTTACAGGTGCAGAGACGCCTCCTTCTTCTTCTTCAGCTGTTTTTGTCTGTAAAGGACATAAGACAAAAAGAAACTATTATAAAAACCCACAGTTCAACAAATGGATACATTTTCTTTAATAAAGGACACAAAAATGTTAATTTATCACAGAGTTCAGAAAGACAACAAAACAATAACAACAGTATAGCAATAAGTAAGGTATTTTACCTGCTTTTTGTAACATAACAAAGAGTAAGGTCTTTTTACCTGCTCTTTTGTAAAGTGTCTTGAGATAACACTTGTTATGAGTTGACGCTATACAAAATAAATTGAATTGAATTGAAATTGAATAACGCGGACAAAAATTCAATAACATCCTATTCCCTTTCACAGTTCTTACCGTCATTCATTACAAATGTCAAATGATCTGTTACAAAAGTTTTTTTGATCAATGCAAAAAAGCTTTGAAACAAAATAACTTGAAACTGCTAGAAACATTTTTTAACACTAATTTATCTTTAAAGCTCCTGTGAGGAATTTTACCTGGTTATGAAATAGACCGAAACAAATTTTGATTCTTGTCGACGGATCATGTTTTATTCCACAGTAAAAGCAAGTGATGCTCTTACTGAAAACCTTGTTATGAACTGAAATACAATTTAACTCTTTTTAGTAGAAATGAACATAATGCCTGTCAATTAATAAATATTTTTTTTGTAAATTCAAACACATTGTGCTTTGTAACTATTTAAAACCATGGCAACAGGTTCTGTGGCACTTTGAGAAAAAAGTGTAAATTGTGCCCTTGTCCTTTATATGTGTGTATATAGTTTAACTACTGCAGCGTGTTTGTGCCCCTACCTTCCCAGGTGTGTTTTGGTTTTAGTGAGCTTGTGGGTTTATGTCAAGACTCCCGTTGCCAGGTGGCACTGCACGTTGTGGCGCCATAGTCCTGTACCGACGACACAGAGTCTGTAGGCTGGAACGATAGCTTTGGTGTCACACCTCTGAGAGCCACCTTCATGATCCTTCACACACACCATCTCCACTTTCAAACTGCCTAACTGTGAAGCATTACTGCCGTGCGACATGCACTGATATGTTGTTCTATCCTTTCATCACGCAGCAAATCATGCAAAATATCACATCATTTAGGTGTACTTTTATTTAAGGTTCTCGTTCTCATTTGAGTTCTGATATTTTGCAGGATTCAGCTGCTTTATTGTTAGAATTGTACGTTTTTGAACAGGCAAAGAAACACAGCAGCAGCTTTTTTTGAGCAAGGCAAAATGTGAGCAGCAAATTTGTTGTGAGAACATTAAAGGCAATCGTGAGCAGCTAGATGCCACTTAGTTTTATTTGGTATTACTTAATTTTAATCGGAGATACAAAACATATCAGCTATTAACAAAAAACATTAATCATAATGCATATCCCAGATTAATTAGATTAAACCTCTATTTTGTATTAAAGGTGTTTGTTGGTGTTATTCACATAATTTTAGTGACTTATAAAATGGATCATTTCAGAGTACTGATCTGATTGACAGCTGGCAACCGCACCCATAAGAAAGGGCAACAAAGCTCGTCTTTGCAAAAACTTAAAACAGAGTTTGGTTTTCACAGGAAATATATAAGAAACACGCTGTTATAGCCAGTGGCAGAGCTGTCAGACAGAGCAGAATTATGCGTTCTGCAAACAGTGTGTGAGAGGATGCTTTTAGTGAGATTAGAGGAAAGGTTTGAACCCGTGCCGCAGTGCCACCCTGCATTCCCAAAGACTTTATAATACAATTTATAATACAGTCTAAGTGCATTCCCTGGTTTGCATGCTTCAGTGTGAGGACTGCTACAGCGCAGAGTCAGGGCGGCATCTCACACGTTCCCTCTCCACAGGGATGTGAAGATCCCACCTCTGACTTTGTGTAACACACACACACATGTACTTACACTCGCTGTCTGCACCTCAGCCTGCAGGTTGGCCTTCTGTCGCCTGAGGTCAGATTTGATGAATCCTGTGGTAAGAACAGAGGAGAGGGAAAAGTTTTACGACTAATTGTGTTTAATTTGTAATCGAAGAAAGAAAGCCGATGAGTGATGACTCACATCTGCAGTACAGTGTATTTTAGGGCTCAGAAAGGTTGAAAAACAGAGAGGAGGCTGGAAAGTGCCATGCTATATCTCAGTGTTACGTCAAATTGCAAGGTATCTACAAAACAAATTAGGTCTCCTCTTTCCAAGATAGTTTAGGAGCCAAATTACAGCATTGATGTCAATAGCTTTGAAAGTGGTAACTAGCAGGTTGTTATGTTAAAGAATATCACCGACATTAATCATAGGCTTTGGCTTTAGGTACTAGTAAAAAGTTTCAAACGTTATACAGAAAGAGAATAATTTTGGAAGACACATCAACTCATGTTTGTAATTCAGCATGAACAAAAAGGTAAGTGACTATTTTTATTGACTTGTGCCTGTGATAAATACTGATCCTTCTTTTGGCCACTAGGGGGCAGCATTGTCATTAAAAATAGATGAGACTCCATGTGTAACTTGCTGTAAGCTCTAAGGATTGTGAGGATTGTGTTTTGCCCAACCTCTACACAAAGAAATGTTATTTCTTAGTGCCTCTAATAATAATAATAATAATAATAATAATAATAATAATAATAAATTAGATTTATATAGCGCTTTTCTAAATACTCAAAGACGCTTAGAGAGAATGTGACATGCTTTGTGTCCACAGCTGCTGATCTGAGGTCAAAGTTCACTTTTGTTTGGGATGTCGTTAAGTGTAGTTTAGTGGAAGTGTGCTGAGGAATTAGAGAAAGGTTAATATCTTACCTGTCATTACTGATCCTATCAGCAGAAAGATGCACAGGAAGATGTTTCCAGTTAAAGTACCCCATTTATCAATAATCTTCCCCTGAGCGATGGTGAAAATGATTCCAAAGATCTGAAATGAGAGATGAAAAACATGGTATCCGGTCATATGTTTAGTCCACACTTTCATTTTTTTCACACTAAAAATGCTAATAATGCTAACCTGAGCTGAACAGTTAAGCAGCCCCGATGAGGTTCCCTCTGATTCTGGATAGGTGAGCTCTACGGCAAATTCAAAGCCCAGGGGGAGATATCCTGTCATGAAGAAGCTACAGACAGACAGACAGACAGACAGACATTTTCATCAAAAGCCAGCAACAGAAGATCAGCTCTATTAATGTTAAAGTAGGCCGCGTGTATGTTCCTGTATAATACATTCTGTCTGAGTTTCATGGAATAAAAGCCAGACAGAGGATTTGCTATGGAAACCAGCTCTGGACATAATCAGCTTACCACAAATAGCAATCATTAGAAAGACATGGCAAGTAGACTCAAAAATGATTGGAGCGATAATTGGGCTTTGACAAAGTAGCACTAATGCCAGATGAGGAAATATAAAGAAACATGAGGTGCACCAGAATATGTTTATAATAATGACAGAAATCTCTTAAGGCATTATTAGTCAAATGAAGATCTTTACGGATCAAATGTGAGAGACAGGGGTGTAATTTTAACCTCCAGATTAGAAGGCTAAACTGTGTCATAAGATGTTCATGATAAGTGTATAACTGAACCCAAAAAGTGAAGCTCCTTATTCTGTCAACTTTGAAAGCTATATATCGAGACCTCTAGTGTAGATTGACCATAAGAGTTCAAGCTTAAATATCTGTGTCGAGGTTGCTAATAGTTTCCCTATCTTACTCGAAAATTTATTTAATTTCATGAATGGCTTTAATATTTGTCCAATTCAAGGACTCAAAAGTGTCATGATTTAAATTTAAAAAGGGGTGTTTTTCACATATATTTTGAAGGACCAATATTTTGCAAAATACATTTTAGTTTTTTCAAACACTAATTTGTGTCCCTAGTCAGTTTTTTTTTTTTTATATGAGAAATGTACATACTCTCCGTCTTTTGCCTGCTCCACTTAACAGAAAATGTGTGCTCAAACAGGCCATTTAGAGATTTTCACTTTGTGACATCACAAAGGGAAGTAACCCCTCAGCCAGGTGGGTGACACTCCCACTGCTGCATTCATGTGGTGTTGGAACACATTGAAAAAAAACGAGTTTCTGAGTTCTAAAATGCACATGAACACATTTTTTTATTAATTCACGTATTGCACATCAACTTTTTGCTCAAATATAACTTGTTACAATATTCTGACTTTCCGAACTGAAATCACTTGAACACACTAAAATCGGAAGAACAACTTCCCAACTCGGAAACCCGAGCAGCACAAGAATGAAGCATACTTTCTCACCGTAAACAATAGGGCATGGAGCAAGAAAGCCAGAACCACATCCCCCTACAGAGGGGTGTGGTCAGACCCAGCTCTTGCATTTAAAGCAACAGACACAGAAACAGCCTGTTCTGAGCAGGGCTGAAATAGAGGGGTTTATTGAATTAATGAAATACAGGATCAGTGTTTATTTTTAACAAGAAACTTCACAGACATGGTTTGGGGAGCTCTGAGACTTATTTAAACTGGTTGAAAAGCAGGATAATATGCAAGCTTTATATATAATGCCCATTACTATCTAGTATTGTCTGGAAGTTTTACTTGCAGGGGTTATTTTTTTTACAAATATTTTGCATGTTAAATTGCATGGTTTTGATGCGTATAACATCTGTAATGGTGACCTACCCTAAAAGTCCTGCCATGATGAACACCAACCACAGGTGACCCAGGTTGAGGGTGACGGCGTAGACCAGCATCCCAATCAGAGAGAGGAGATAAATGCCCAAGGTGGTTTGTCTGAGGAGACAGGAGAGGAAAATGCATGAAACAGTGACTCTCCAGCCGAGATGAACATTGCTTACAGTATTTCTGTGTCAACACTGCAATACTTTACTCTACAATCATTGAAGAAATCCAACTCAATCTGATTTTATCTTAAAATAAGAGTTTAAAATCCAATTTGTTTGCTTCATGCCTGGAAAAGATGATCAGGATAAAGAAATCAGTCATGAAAAAGCTGTTCTGTAAAAACATGCACATATCTGTAACGCCTTTTGATTTCTAAGGGGAAAAATATTTCCCTCAATGTCATGAGTTCTTAGAAATAAAAATAATGTAGACCTCAAATTCAATCTGGAAGACACTGAAATTGAATGTGTAACCTCTAGCGCTTATCTTCGACATTCAACATGCATCATTTCAATTACAACACAGTAAACAGATGTCATAACTACAAAAATCCTGCATTTTTTTCATGAAAAGATTACAACGTATCAAATGTGTTTTTCATTATAACTTTATGGTGAAATGCGTATGTAATGAGCGGTCCCTTTCTGAAAACTCAACATCAGAAATATTTCTGAATTGCTGGAAACCCCTTAACATAACCCAGACCACCTGCACAAACAGGCTTACTCTGGTGAAGCTCTCTCTTGCACAACCATGCGTAGAAAAATGCTGCAAAACATTTTCGTTCATTTAATAAAGTCTTTGTTCTCTATTTGGGACAATAGGAGTGTGAGGGTGAACAACATGGATCTATGGGCTCGGGGGCTTAAACAGTCAAGCATCCTGATGGCATTTAAGGAATCTGAGGACTGAAGAATTGTTTTCCCTGTCGTATTAGTTTGCATGCCAGTTCACTGAAGGTAGTATACCATATTTAAATGTACTGTATATTACTAAGAAAACAGATGAAAATGAGCCGTTGCTCTGAGGAGAAAAGTAAAAAGGATTGAAATTGATGATCAAGAGCAAAAATATAGCATTCATAATCAGACACCAGTTGAACATTTCAGATATTAAGATTGAATTATTACATTTTCAATGTTGAATGGAAATGCAGAAAGGCTGGGATCCGACTTGGGAGGAGCAGCAGAGTAAAGCCTGTCAGTTCAGATAAGCCGAGAGCAACTTCAGATCTTAAACGCAGTTCCGCAGGATTTCTCATTCGTGCGCTCGCTTTGAACAAAAGCTTGGATTCACTCAGACATCTCACAGTGAACGGTTGATTTAAGACAGCCAAACAAATGTAACAGCACAGTTAACAATGTAACAGCACAGTTCAACCACTTCCTCAGAATTTCTGGAAGTACATGAAGCGAAGTTGAGTTTTGGACAAATTAGTAGTGTGGATGGATTTTTAAACAGACTGTTATGGTCCCCCAAAGGGTTGATCCTAATGATGTCAAAACCATGACCCTTTCCTTAAGGACCATCAAGTATTAGACATTAGTGTAAACTTTTTTTTCATTTGGAAGATTAGCATCATTCCAAGCTTGCTTTTGTATTTAACTTGATGCTCTGCTTCAAAAAGCCTCTTGTCTGCCTAAGTTTTCTTCTTGTATTAAAAAAAATAACTTTGTAGTTTGCAGTACTATAAAATATAGAAGCAGATAAAGTATAGGCCTACATGGATGCTCCAATAAATCTCTGTGGACACTCCCTTTATGAAATTCATAGGTTTGTATCCAGCCTGAAAGATGATAAGTTATAACAATTGGAAACCCAGAGGTATATGTATAGCGGACCTACTGAATATACTTTAATGGAGAACATATATAGTTTACTGATATTTCCCCTATTTAAATGTAATGGATGTAGGTCCAAAACAGTAAACTATATACCAGCTGTTAAAGGATTTTTCTTTTGTTTCTTTGAGGCTTTCAGGAAATGTTGGGAACACGCTCCTCATCTTTAGCCTATAAGTTTAAAAAAAATAACAGTTTTATTTGCAATGGTGATCACAAAAAGATTGTGAAGAGCATGTACACTAAGTATGATTCGTGTTTGGGAAAGTAGAAAATTCATAACATCTGAAATGACTGAGATTTAATAATTAGATTGAAGAAGAATGTTTGAAGATCTGGTATCTTGTACTGATTGTTTTCTCTCACTCTATAGAGAGAGAAAACTCTATGGACAGTTTGAGTCTTGTTTCCTTCTAACTGCATTTAGGTATTTTTAAGCTCAGTTTGGGAAAAAAACATTTTACCCTTTCAAAGTGTATGGTTTAAAAGTAAAAATGTATTTTAAAGAAACATCTTACTTGTAGGTTTTGGTCTTGTCCAGCCAAAGTCCACATATGAGCGACCCTACCATGCCAGCAATGACTATTGTCAGACCAATTCTCCCAGCATTCACCTCTTCACCCTGAGAGGAACGACAACGTGAACCACATTAGAAATTTCTCTACCTACATTCATCTTGTCCTAGAAGCTCTGAGCCATTAACAATGAAAAGTCCCAGACCCCTTTTATCTGTGTCAGGGTCTTCTACAGTGCAGCTTTACAGTTATTACGTCAGCCAGCCAGGCGTGACACTGAGTATATGAAAGAAATGAATTTAAAAAACAAGGTAAAGAAGCTAAGGAGGCATAAGACTGTAGCACTTTTTTTTTTTAAAGAGGGACACACTGGGACTTACAGGATACTGTTCAATGATCATCCGGTTCAACAGTGTTGAAACAGCATAGAAGCAGCCAACGTTCAGACCTGCAGACAACAAACACAAAACTATTATGAGAAGGCCTGAAACACAAGGACAAGGTCCAAATGTCTAAGTGATCCATTTGTAAAAGTTCACATTTCTGTATTCTTCCTATTAGCAATCATTTACATGACGTCATTGTAATGTGACCTTTGAGCAAAAAGACGTGACGACTCAAAGTCACACATCGGCCGTGTACCAGATGTCCATGTGTTACGATGACACATCCTCATATCTGTAACAACAGTTGATAAAGACGATGTGTTTACACATGTTTGTGTAAACGTCTATTTTGAGTCTTGTATATCTCTATTACCTTTCACCTCAATAATGCTCCAACATTCCAGCCTGGATTAACGATAACATAGTCATCAAAACGACCTCCGCCTTAAACTTTTAGCATGAGCGCTTTTCATGATCAGGTAGGAAAAACCTTCCACTTCACATATATTATTTTATCTATGTATTAAACACTCATTACACTTTATTCTACTTTGAGTTTATTTGAAAATCTTGTTCGACAGGTGTCTTCTTTTTAAAGAAAATGTGCTTTATTAAAACTGAGAGGGGACATTACATTTTTACGCCGTGTTATTGAGACATGCTACACACACAAAGGCTGAAATACACACACATGCACAAACAGGATGCTGCAGACATGCACTAATGGAGAGATGTCAGAGTGAAGGGGGCTGCCCACAGCGGGGAAAAAGGTGCCTTGCTCAGGAAGTGAACTGGCAACTCTCCAGCTACCAGACCAATTTCCAGACATGGTCCACACCGAGAATTGAACCCGCGACCCTCCGGTTCCAAACCCAACCCAGCCAAACCCCTAAAGCACCTTTCGTTTGCCTTCACAGAATTCATCCAGCTCTTATTATGGCTGCCACTTGTTTACTTTTGGGTCATTTCACTCAGCTCTGAAGGGGTCAAAAAAAAGAGACTATACTTGTCTGCAGCATGTGAGATGTTGTCTGACCTGCATGTCACAACGATGTCATCAAGACACACAACCTCCTCCTCTCATATCTATGTGATAACGTTTAACATGACCTTCATATGACCCTACAGCGATATCACGCTATCTTTGGAGGTGATAAGACCTAAGTAAAGTCGTGTATGCTTTGATATTACTTCATCCAATGTGACGTAGGATGTTCCTCTGTTACCTGCTTCTCACATGTGAGGTTCTGTTTTTTTTTCTGTTTGGATCATTATGACTTTAACTATATAACTTAATGACTTATTATCTCTAAGATATGACTGATAGAAAGATAAAAACCGACTAATGGTGTCATTATGGGACGGATATTTTCTTTTTTTTAAACTATATGGCCTTACTGACTAAATAAATAATAAATAATACTGTAAATAAACCATTAGAGGCACAGATAGACAAGTGTGTAATGTAGTGTGTAACATTAACCTAAAACAAGTCTGTAAATAAAATGGAGGGGCCCACCATAGCTGACCACCAGGAGCATGAACGGTTTGTTAGTCAGCAGTCTCAAGATAGAAGCCATGTACGAGTAGTCCTCAGGGGGGATGTTCCTGGCCTGAGCCTGGCCTGAGTGGGAGGGATCTCCGGTCGCTCCTGAAACACTGGATAAAACACACACACACACACATATTTCACAAGATTACTTTTCCGTTAAAGATATAAGAGGTTTATGATCTTAGAGAGAAAAGTATTCCTTTCATTTAACTCGAAGTGATCACCTGTTCTCTTATGGTAAAGAAACTGGTGGGGGGAAGGAGGACGAGGGGAGCAGCTATTGCTACATATTGTGAAGTCATTTGTAATGCTTGTTCCTCCGCTTTTATAACTGATCTAATGAAAATATAAATGACTACCTTCAGTGTCAATGTAACCTGGCCCAGATTAGCTTCTGCACACACAACACACTCAACATAAACATTTACAAACATAAACTCCCTAATGTCTTTAGTGTTTTCACATAACACTACAGTTGCTGGATGACAACTGAGCTGGATAAATCCACACTGAAAGACTATAAGATGCAGTAAAAAAGCTTCTAAAATAGCTCGAAACTGGACTCGGAGTTAAATTAACTTATCTCTGCTTCAATCCCATGTGAGTGGTTTCAAATGTAGACTATTCACTTTGAAACAAAGTTTTTCTTTCATTTATTATAATTCACTTGCTAAATCTGTTTGCAGTTCTTCCTCATTTTAGAGTCTCTCTGGTTATTAAAACTTAGTAAGTAGTCATGAAAATGAAACTATGTCTTGTGTTATGTTTGGAGTCTTTAAATGGGGTTTATTAATCATAGAGTCTTGAACGCAGTGAGCAATTCGTAGCAGATTGCAGTGTTTCCCCTAGGTTTACAGCTTTGGGGGGGTGGGGGGGAGGGGACACACACGCCGACGCGAACACTTGAAGGAATCTTGGTGTTCATGCGTTACTTTTAATGACAGCTGTCCTTTTCTATCGGAAAGGTATCCTTAAATGACTTCTTTCCCTGATTTCTGACTGTATCCACTATCCTATTTCTACAATAAAGGCACAAACAGCCCAAAAATAAATCTAAAAAAATATATATAATATAATATATAAATATAAAATAATATATAATGGTAGGGTTAACACTGGATTATGTATAAAAAAAAACTGCAGTTACATTTACTCAAACTCCGAGTCAACATAATGTTGTGTTACATACTTTAATTGTAAATGGTAAATGGACTTGAGCTTGTATTGCGCTTTCCTAGTCTACGGACTACTCACTTTTACACCGCAGGTTACACCTACCCGTTCACACACTGATGGCAAAGGTTGCTACGTAAAGTGACCATCAGTATTGACTTATCACATTCATACGCATTCCGAAGCAGCAGGAGCAACTTGGGGTCAAATGTCTTGCTCAAGGACACATCGGACATGAAGCTGCTGGAGCCAACTGAGTCACAGCCTCCCAAAACTTCAAAAAGTTCAGTTGTCTGGGGAAGGTAACTCTTGTTTGTATACAATACAATAAATCAAATCACTCTGAATAATATATTAACATAGCACAAGGGTTACGGTGCAACAATGAATCTGACCAGTGGCCCTTTTACCTTAACCAAGGATCTTTCTCTGTAACTATCAGGAAGAAAAACTCTCTAACTCTGTCAGTGAGTTTTAGTGAAAGGAGGATTTATCTGAGCTGAGGGGAAAGATGATTACATAAAACACTTCCATGGCTTCCTGACTCCTTGCTTCTATTTCACATTGTGTCAAAGCACATCCCATCTAAAAAGGTGGACAATTACAGCAATTACTGCAGCTGCTGCTCTAGTGAGCTGCAGCGATGTGGAGCTTTCAGTAGAAAGCACAGCTCAGCGTTTCTTCAGCGCTGCATGAACAGGCCAGCAACCAGACAAGAAGCTGGACCATCAAGTAATGAATGACACTGTTAACAAAGAAGACACCCTAAAGCTGCAAAACAAATTCACAAGAATAATTTGTTGCCTAGATAATATTACAACACAAATTAAAAACACAACAGGGTTTATTATATGAAACTGAAAGGAACATGCAGTCCTACTCCCCCATACTCCCCTCAGGCCACAGATACAGATCTCTCACTTTCCGGACTAATCGAGCCATGTCAAGCTTTGCTCCCACATCTATCAGGCTCATAAACAAATGATCTATTTCTTATTTATTTTGTAAGACCACTCATTTAACCGCTCATAACAATTATTTATGACCTATCATGCTTTTAATAGAGCCACTTGTATGTCTGTGTTTCTGCTGTTGTTTTTGTGTCTAGCTGTATGTGTACTGATGCTCTTTTACACAAATGAAGTTCCTAACGGATAAATAAAGTTATTTGAATTGAGTTGTTGTTCTTGGCATGAGTGAGCAAAGAGCTCTGACTGCTCTGATCTACTCTATGAGCCTGTATGTGAATGGATCTATATTCAGCTTCACGCGTGGACTTACCGATGATGACAAGGATGAAGATGACGGTGGCCACTCCTGCACTGATGTAGAACATGATTCTGATGTGTTGTGCTAACTCATCCATGTCGTCCACATTAGGCACAAGGATAGGTGGGATCAAGAACCCAATGGCAATACCCAGCTGTAGGCAAGAGATAGAAAATGTAAAAAAAAAAAAAAAGACCCTGCACTACTAGCTGATTAGTACACACAGACACACAAACACACAGTAACAGCAGGTAGACAGCCTTAGAGGGAGAAAGAATCATTACAAGTTCAGAAACAGCAAACATATAAACAGAAAAGTAGTAACAATCACAAAAGGGATGTGTTTGAGTCTCTGTTATACATAATTTGACATTATGGAAGGCATGCTTATTACTTGGGGAGGTTTATGACTCTCACATCTATCCTTCAGTTAAATGCAAACAGTCAACACTTGACCTCGGTCTGTCCATCGCCTGCAACAAAAAATGATTTTGTAATGCCATGAGGAGATGAAGTGCAATGAATAACAAATATATGTGTACAGATTAGATATAGTCTACTGTTCCTTTGTCTTACTGCTGTTTTACAAAGTGCATATGGTGTGCTGTTCTTCTTCAGGGCAATGCATAGTATAGCCCACGTAGTAATGTATCCATCTGATAAGTCAAATGTTTGCATGCTGACTGTGGATTAATGGAGTCTATTTGTTATTTAATTCAGGTAGTCTTTTGCAATGTGTACATGTACATGTCCTTAATTTGATCATCAATCTTTAATTGTATTGCCAATTCATAACAAATGCTATCTCAAGACACTAAGCAGGTAAAAAAAGACCTTACTCTTTGTTATATTACCAACAAAGACTTAACATTAATCCATCATGAGCACAGCACTAAGCAACATTTAGCGAAGTTACAGTGGCAAGGAAAAAGCTCTAACAGAAGCATACTCAGAGGAACAGCCATCTGAACTGTGCTGGGCTTGAAAAATTTGGATTGACGGAGGGAGATGCAGGATGATGTGCGTTTGTTGTGCAAGCCTGGTCCAAATGTTACAGGATTCAAATCAAGGACCCGCATCAAAACATCATGGTCAAATGGAGGGAAAACAAAACTATCAGTTTACTCTTTATGTAGAGATACCAGACTTTCAACAGTGACAATACAAATTATTTACCCCTCCCTTTAAAGGTGCTAGGAGGTCAATTTAGTTTCAGTTGGGGTCTGTTGGGACCAATCCTAATGCCAATCTAAGCCAACAAGCTGTTTCAATACGTATGAGAAAGGCAGCAACCATCTCATCACCATCTCAACTCTGTCAGAAAACAAGCTTCAAAATGCACAGATAATCCAAGGGGACATACAGTATGGGTTAGGACTAAACTTTCCAAATTTGAGTACCACATGAGTAGTGCCAACTTCCTCAGCTTCCTACAGCCTCAAAAACATTCCAGAGGGGACACCAGCCGCGGCCCCTCTGCTCTGAGGGAAAGGGGAGGGACAGAAAGGGCTAAAAGCTGACAAGAAATGTTCCTTAAGGTGTGTGCAGGAGGGTATGTTACAGCTGCCCAGATATATTGACCTGTCACTCGCTACAGCAAAAGGACACATCAGAAATTTTTGCTATATTGATGTTATGTGTCAATGGCTAAATGAACAATCATGACTTCACCCTGTCGCCGTTTGCTAGAGATATCAAACCGTAATTGTAAAGTCATCTGTTTAATTATAGTGACGTTTTTGAAGGGAAAGAAAAAGACAGCATTTCCCTATTCTGAATGAGTAGAGCAAGTCTTGATAACTTGTCCTAAATGCAAAGCTTATTCTTGCCTCTTTTATGAAGTTATTTTTGGAACACAAACCCTCATTCTGTCTGATCTTCAAAGCTTTGCAGAAATCCTGCCTACTCTCTGCTAATGTGGACTACTTATAAACATCCAAGTGGATATGAAAAAGAAAGGAATAAAGTCTTGGTGGGCAAGTCAACAGCATCAACCATGTGCCCTTTTGTCTTAAACAGCAGGGTTCAGGATTTAGGGACAAAACAAGAACATGTGCAACAATGAGCGGTATGCATTGTTTGGACTAAGGCAGGTGAGAGAGGACAAACTTCAACGGAAGGGAAAAAAGGTTGACGAGGTTAACGACCATCAAAGGCTTTATGATTATGGTGCAACCACAAAAACAACAAAACAACTCCTTTCGGTGGACTGTCACTCTACTGCAAATTGTCTGCATCCTCTGCATGATCTTTTAAGTTGAAAGTCATGTGACACCCAGGTTTTTTCCATTCCCACAGCAAGGTAAACAAAGTTCTACATGTGAAGTTGAAGGAAATATGACCTCAGACCACATTGACATCAGTCCTGGCTAGCTTGCAATGGATGTAGCTTTCAAATTTAATCATTATTTTACCCCAACCATGGAAGCGTCGGCGGTCCAAGCAGTACACTATACCTGCCATAAACATCTCCACTTGTTGGGGAGAACAAAACACACATACACAAACAAACTTGGGACAATCAGAAGAAACATCACCCTCTCACCTAACTCTTGTTTGAGTTTGGGGAAGTTTCTATCACACACCTGTTCTCCCGTGTTCTTAGGGAGTGTTTGAAGAAAGAAGACCTGACATTTCTTTTGTCATATAGGAGGTAATGTTCAAATTGTTTTACTTCAAGGAAACCTTTGAACTCATTCTGTTAAAGCTTTATTCATCACCTTGTCTTATACTACATGTGGTAGGGTACAGTAAAGTAATCTGAGAAAGCCTGAGGCAGTTGTGAAAGAACTGATAGGAAAAATTATGAATGCTTAAACTGCTTGCCTCTGCAAGATGGCATACTTATAAACCGAGGTAGACCCCATAAGCACTTTGAACACATGGACACTTTCGGCCTCCAACTGCAGAGAGAATGGTTGACTATGATCAATGCTGACTCGTGACTCAGTCAAACATTCAATGGCAGACGCTGACATGTACTTGCCTGTTTTAAACACACTTACATTAAGATTCAGGGTAAAGCGTGTTAAAGTTGAGCTCTCTTTCACTCTACAAGATTTGAGCCTCAAAGGTAAGAAGACACACACCTGGCTTCCCAGAACTCCAATGGCACAGGCAGTAGATACCTCCTGCTGCCCAAACCACAGGGAAGCAAGTTTGGATGGGATCCCCAGGAGATAAACGGTTGATACTGAACACACAAATTGTCCGAAGAAGGTCATGGCGAACATGCTGGGGTGGGCTGTGCTCGTCTTGATCCAAGCTCCGATGCAGTTGAAGGCCGAGCCGACCACAACCACATCCCTCATTCCCCGGTTGTCGAGCAGCCAAATGACGGGCAGGATGAAGGGGATGTAGGTGAGGAAGTAGATCATGGAGAGCCAGTCGATGGCCATGCTGTCGATGTTATAGAAGCGCATGAAGATGTTGCTGATGATGCTGTACTGCAGCCACATGAAGGCGTTGCTCATGGAGTAGGCGCTGAAGATGAAGAGCATGACCCATCGCCGCTTGTAAAGCTTTGTCTCCATCAGAGGAAGGAGCTGTGTGGTGTCCGCAGCTGAGGCCTCCAAACTGTCCTGCAGAGGCAGTTGGTTGTATTCTCCCAAACTGGTTCTCTCTTTTGTAGTTGTCCAATCAGTGTCTCTGGTTTTGACACATCCATCTGTCCACTCACCAGAGAATTCATCTTCAGAGCTCATAATGGAATGCATCCCAGGTCCTCCAGCCATCTCCTAACTGCTACAGGGAATAGAAAAACATTTCTTCTCGGTTGCACACTTTTAACACTGTGGCAGTTTACCTGACTAACCCCTCCCACCCAGCAGGTATTTCCTTCATGCTGATCAAAAACAAGCGCTCCTGCTGTGCCTAAAGTGGAGATTACTGCTAATTAGTCCTTCTGAGTTAGCAAAGGTGGATCTGGTGTGCAGTTTCAAATATAATGAGAGGTGTTGGCAAGTCATCAGCCACAGACTGAAGCTGACAACGGTGACAACGCTCTCCTGCCTGCTCTGGTGTTCAACACCTCTTTAGTCATGTGATTGGTCTCTTTAGTTAGTTTCACTCCTCCTTTCTGCTTATGTCATGGATTCAACTAGTACTTGACAACAGCTCTCTATGTGAATCTGGAGGGACAGTCAAAGAAAGCAGCTTGATTTTATTGTAAAGGTAAGGCACATGGTACTCACACACAGTCCCAGAGATGTGCAAAGGAGCTAAAGTCCATTAAGCAAAGACAAAAATGATCAACTAGAGCCTGAGACGTTTGTGGTTGGTAAAGATGCAGAGCTTTCAGCCACATGTAAATAAGTGAAAATATGAACCTAAATCTGCAGCAGTGTATACTTATATTAAACCATTTAATCATGAGAATAAATCTTTATGTTTCAACTGTAGATTTAAAAAATGTAAACAATCATCTTAATACACTATAAAACAAGTTAATGATTTGTGTACCAGTGCATGTCTGAAGAGAGGAAGTTAGCCTCTTTGCTTAAACAGAAGATGACAACATGTGGCTGTTCAAAGACCAGTTATTAAATCACAGTGTTTGTGGTTCATTAATTGGATTTAATAATGCCCAATCACTTCTTATCACATTGTTTGTCAAGGGCGATAAAATACTGGCAGAGCTGAGGCTAACAGATTTTTTAAAAAAAAAGTTGGATTATAATATTTATGCTGTCAGGGAGTCTTGGCACAGTGGCTGAATTTTTACTCTTTTGGCTTCAGTGCACTGATTAAAAAACACCCCAGGAATAACATTTAATTTGACCAGATTATCAGAAAGGAGCCCTTTTATATGCCGTCCTCCACAATCCTACATAACAGCCATAATCAGCCACAGTGATGGAAATGCTATCCCTATTCCTCACGTTTTAATTCCCGCAATAATTATTTACAGGCAGGATAGTTAATTTAAGCATGAGTACCAGAGATATACATGTATATTATTAAAAGAATTATCATCATAGGCATAATTAGCATGCTATTTATGGAAAAAGTGCTGCTTTATGAATTACAATAGGCCTCTTCCATCAAATACACTATGTATTCCCTGTATTTATACTGTATGCCTGATTACACAAAATGGATTGACTTGGGTAGAAAGTCAATACACTGACATGGTTAGATGAAGACAGCAAGTGCAAGAAGTCACTGATCGTTTCAAGCATTCGGTTATTGTCTTTCTTGTAGATAGAGACATCAGACTGATCGTTGAACACTCTATAAAGAGGTTTTAAGTACTGAGGTGTGAGAGAGCATGATCAGAGTTTGAAATGAGATGTTGTTGTGGTTCTAAAGGCTAAAGTGCGGAAGCATATTGCATTCATGTGGGGAATTATTTTTCTCTTGGTGTCTTGTTATGACGAGATTTTTATCTCGTAATAACGAGAAAATATCTGGTTATTATGAGATAAAGATCACGTTATTACGAGATAAAGATCTCGTAAAGATCAGGCATCTGAAGGCGTTAAGGTTGTTCAGACGGAAAGCAAAGCACACTCTGACCTACTTGACATAGCGTTATTCTTCAGGAGCAGTTAAATAGATATGGTATGCTTCACCGATATAAAGTCATGCATCTGAATTGCATTCAAGCTGGCTATGTGGTGTCTCAAGATACGCTTAGGCATTTACTATAAATACTTTAACCCCATGAAAAACAACTGCGGCGCTGGAATCGCCTGCTATGGTGTTTCTACTAAAATGTTGTTATGAGCTGCCACTGGTGTACTGTACACTCCTATAAACAAAACCGCACCTCTTCATCACCACCACCCTAATACTTTTCCAAAAAAAAAAATTCCCCACATCAATGCAATATGCTTCCGTACTAAAGTGTGGAAAACAGTGAGTCAATATCAAACAGAGTGAAAACTTATTTTTCATGGATATCTATTTCTTTGTGCAGGATTACCACTGTGGTAGGATTTAGGATACACACCATTTTTTTTAAGATACATTGAGTTAATGTTGACAATACCAATCAATCATCAAATATGGAACATTTAAAATACCTCGTATTTCTGACTACATGTTCATTCTGCAATAAAAAGTTCATTCATTGATTACAAAAACAAAGAAACAAGGGAACGTTGTAGTCCATTGGAATTACTAATCACTACAATACAGCTTTTTCTATATTGTGAATTTGACTTAAGTTAAAAATTGTCATTTGAAAATGCAAGATTTTTACAGGATATCTGATTTTTAAGGATTATTATTTTGATAATTGTGTTCTTATTGTGAACTCAAAGAAAGAACAGTTCAATGTACTTAAATAATGGGAACAATATGTGCTTGTAAGTTATTTGGAGTGGACATTCATATTTTGATATTTTTCTATCTCTATTCAGAGTTTTAAAAGAACGGCTGAAATGATTCTGTAGGCATGTGTTTTCTCTGTTGTAGCTGTGCCTGTCTAAAAAAGTAACTTAAACTGACTGAAAGTTTCCGATTGGCAGCAAAGTGCCCCTGCTGCCTGTAGCCCCCTGCTAGACCACGTCTACCTGCATGGAGCCATGAAGCCATGAATGGAGGGAGTGAAGGGAATAAAGGGAGAACCGAACAATCTCTCACACAGAAACTGCAACCCCAAATCCACATTATGTTAACTATTCTCAGAAGTTTGAAAGTGAGTTGCTACACCAGGAGCCTCATTATTAAGTCCAGGATACAACATATGTTGAAGGCGGAGTAATCGCTTTGTTGGCTACGTACTCGCCGTATTTCCGCCAAAACAGCGCAATAAAACGCGTAACAACTGCAGATAGATCGATCGATCATAAAACAATGTCATGCTCCTTAAACTCCATAAGCCTATTTCAAACACTGTCGCTATCTGGGCTACAAACTTCCTCGCGATCATATTACGCTTCCTGAAAGTCTCATGAGTTGTAAACATGGCTGCAACCCCCCCACATGCTACGACTTTATGGACGTTTCTCCACAATAACACTCACAAAAAGGTTAAAAAAAAAGAAACGTCAGATGACCATACCTGGAGCTCGGCAGTAGCCTATTTGACTTACTACGATACACAAACATTACGGACTGTGCCAGCACAGGATGACTAAGGTGTACACGTCATTTCCCATTTGGGTGCCGGCCTCAAAACAAACAGGCATGGTTTAAAGGAGTTAGAAACTGGTTTCCAAAATGAACATATTAGTCCTACAAGTGAGGGCCTTTTGTGGAAATACAAACACGAAAAAGAAAGGAGACCGGGGCATTAACAATAATCACTCAATGCGAAAAGGGAGAAGTGCGTAAAATCAATGCGCAATCTGTTTCCCTCGCGCTTTCTCTCTCTCTGAGTGACTTGCTGTCTGTTTACAGGTGAGAGAAGTCATTCTATATGATGACGTCATTATATGTGCTGGGCGAACTCCTATTATTATTCATTCATATGAATCCTGGGGACTATTAATAATTATTAGTAATACTTATTAGCAGAAGCTCATACAAATTTCGAACATTTAATTTTACACTTCAACAGCCAACAAAATTCACACTGAAAGTTCGCACAGACGGGTCCTATCATCAGTTTATAGTTTATAATAATAAGAGCAGTGAGGGCGCAGTCAATGCGCACTCATCGCTGGTTGGGGCTGTTTGGACAGCCTCAGTCTGTTAACAGTAACTACAGTCTGCACTGAAGATCACACTCGTCTCTGGTAAACTAAGTTACGTTAGAACAGACGATTGAAGTTTCTGTTTCATATCTCTCCACCTCTGTGCGCAAAGTTTCAGTGTCCCTCCACCTCTGTGCGTAAAGGCACACTCTCGTACCCTACTGAAGAAGTGCTAAGTCCAACCGCTTCAGGATCATGGTGTATGTATGTAAGAAAATATTTTTAAATGATATCAATGTTAGAACTTAAGACCCAACAACATGACATATTAAAGGGACTTTGACAGTGGATTACTCAAAAAGTACACAGTTAAAGTACTTTGGTGCAAGTCGTCTAAGTATTTAGTCCAACCATGTCAGAGCCATGCTGTACTGAAGGAAATATTTTTTTAACAGAAAGTTCACAGGAAAACTGTTTTTCCTGTGAATGTAAACACCTTATTTTGAAGAAAAGGGTGTTACCGCAGACTCACACTTACTTCACCGGAATTCGAAACCATTCCTTGTACAGTATTTTGTGTGCTCCCGTTTCATACACGAGAATCTCAGTTTTATTCCTTTGGCCCATTTGCAGATGTCTGATTTTCTTTGGCAGTTACATCAAAGAGAGACAACCTCTTCATTTCTCAGAAGAAAAAACAAGTTAGGTGGCCCATAGAGGACTAGTACTTCAGATTAGCTCTACTTGGATCAGCTGAATAAAATGCTTATTAAATTGGACTATTGGTGTAAAAAAGACTATCAGTTACAAGGGTTTTTTTCTGTTGAGCTTTGCTACTTGAAGTACATTTTGTTGTTAATCCATCTGTTCTTAGGTTTAATTTGATTCTAAAAAGCTGACAGGATTTGTACTACTAACTGATTGATTTACATTTGATAATAACTGCTTTGCTTAAGTAAAACCTCTAAGTAATTCTTCCACCACTGAAGAATGTTGGGCTCAACAGGAAGTCAGTGCAATGCTCCAACAAATCCATCCGACACAGCCCACCAAACCAAGGGAAATTCATAAGCCCTGATAAGCTTTTTCAACATAAGCAGGCATTGTGAGTATACAGATAAGCTTCAACATGTTAGCTTGAATACACCTGGCTGTCTGCTTCCTTACCACAGACTATGAGAAAACAAAAGTAAAACATATCCGTTAACTGCAGAGGGATTTTACCAGAATGCATTAAGGCTCAAATATCCCTTGAGCTTATTCTCACTTGATACACATTTACTCCAATGGTGAAGAATAACAAAAAGTTAGGCAGTAATATAGATGTATCAAAAAATATTAAAAGTCAAAAAATATGGTGACAGCGTGATATACGAACTTTTCAATATCAGACAAAAAAAACAATTGCTTTATAGAACACTGTAATGCATTTAAAGTGATGCTCCAGCCTCACACTTTACTCTAGGATCATTATGCCTCAGTCATTTTTGGTAGATTATCCTAAACTTCAATATTTCCCAAATGTGAGGTCAAAGGATCACTACAGATCTTTTTTTTTAAGGAATCTTCTTTGTTAGGATTACAAAAAAACATTTTGAATCAGATGAAAAGCACAAATGGGTGCCCTGTTCAGGTTTGGGTAGAGAACTGGGCAAAGCAGCAGCATAAAAATCAGGTCTTGCAACCATTGATGTTTAGAAGTATTGAAATCTTTAACTTCTTAGAATATCAATTGATTTTGAGTCGATTGCATTAAGTGATTGCAATATCGACTGGGTATTGTCCCATCAAATAGGAACCAGTCAGTTTCTGGGTGTCTTGGTAAGGGTGGACGGTTGGGGCCAAACAGACAACATTTGCCCGAGGCCCACTAAAAGGGTTCATCCAGCCCTGGGGTTTGGTCTACTTAACGCTAGTCTGGTTAAAGATGCACATTATATAATTTCCCTTCTGTTTTTTGGAACCAATCATATACATCCGAAAAAAAAGTTGTGAGTCACCTGATTTCCAAAAACTCCAATTGAGCAGGCTGTGGACACTTCATCTGCCCCAAACCACTCGGACGCCAGGCGGGAGGGCATCCCGAGGATGAAGACCTGGCCGAGGGAACTTGCAAACTGTCCGAGCATGGTCACCCAAAATAGGTTGGGATTTGCGCTGGCCACCTTGATCCACGTCCCGGCGCAATTGAGCGCGTTGGCAAGCAGTGCCATGACCCGCAGTCCCTTCTTATCCAGCAGCCAGGTGACTGGAAAGATGCAGGGAATGTAGGTGAGCATAAAGATCATGGACAGCCAGTCTACAGCGAAGGCTTCCACGTTGTAGAACCTCATCATGATGTTGCTGATGATCCCGTACTGGATCCATTGGTACGCGTTGCTCAAGGAGTAAGAGCTGAACAGGAGCACGATCATCCAGCGCTTCTGGTATAGACGCGTTTCCAGCGGGGGACTACTCGCTCCGTTTGGGATGCCGCTGCATTCAATGTGGCCAACTGCCTCTGGATCCTTCGTCCCCAACTGTGGACATGTATCCCCCGTCTCCTCTAGGCCCATGTCCTTTGTAAAATGAACATTATCTTCCATTTTTCAATTAAAAATAGATAGACAGAAGTCCTCCTCCACTGTGAACACCTACTTGGAAAAATGTTAAAACTTATGTTAAAACTTTAGTTCCCCTACACAGTCCAAAATCATCCAGCTCTCAAAGCCTTTACCACAGGACTGAGGTAACTTCAGGTTTATCAAATGCTTGCTCCATACTAAAGGACTGACCTGCTCTCCAGAGGTTCATTTAATAGTCGTGTGTGAGCAACCCCTACACAACATGCATGAACTAGGTAGAAGCTGATGACTTTTACTCCACCCAGCTGCTGAGAGAAGACATGACAGCAAGTGGCACACATTTCTATATCAGTGAATCAAAACAGACAAGTCAAGCTAATAGACAAAGACAAACTAAAACACAGATTAGTTCGCCTGTGGTACAACATTTTGTGACTATTTTCACCTGTTTCAATGTCATCTCCCACAGTAACACGGTCGATTACAGATGTTAGCATTATTCTATACATATTGTAAACACATTATATGTTTAATCAGTTTTAATGTTACTATTAATACTGAAATCGAAGTCTACAGTCTAACTTGTTCCAGTAATCCTCTTCTTAATGTCACACATGTTTAGCACATGTTTCTAGGACTCATGAAGTCAAGTAAAAAGAAACTAAACATTTATTTTTGAGTGGAAATACAAAATGGGATTTTTTTTAATAGCTTATATGCTTATATAACATCATATACAAAAGTATAAAAAAAAACATAACTGGCAGTAACAATATGGTAACAGAAAATAAAGTACAATGTAACCAGTTCATATATATGTGCATACATGACGCCTGCGCCAAAACATAACAAAGAAAAAAAGATCAACTGCTCTGAAAAAAAGAAATATTAATGTTTTACCTGTGGGTGTAAGAACTTCCTTTAGAAATATATAGACTTTACTATTTTTTTTGAAAATTTGAAAAAAAATATGTATGTGATAGATAATATACTAGAAGTTATTTTTGAAGTTCTCCTAAATGTATCTATTTAGTCCAGTTACCCCAAACTGCCCTCTTTGAGTTGTACTTCAGGTATAATTCCTATGAGACCCAGAAAGTATTGTATCAATGGCAAGACAATCCAAGAAATGTTAGCAACTCCTCATTGAACTAAGATGATGATTTGTAGCCTGATCCCATTCAGAATTACTTCACTATTAAGTTGTCACCAACTATCTCACACAGGAAACAGTTTTGTTCTGCTGTAGAAACAGGTAGATGTAAACTGAGGTGTAACAACACGACAATACAGATCTATAACGGCCATAGGGTAGGTTCTGTAACTTATCCGTAGGATATATGGGCAAAACTGGATCAAGGGGAGTCTTCACTGAACACTTATCCTTTCATTAAGGCACACATATCTTGTGTTGATTTCAAACTATGAATCAATCCTATGATTGACAATTTAATATCATCCATGTAAAGTAAAAACATTGATCTGTATTCTTATCTGTAAGAAATGCCAACTGATACATTGGCAGATCATAAGGAATTTACATTTTCTTTTCCTTATATTAAAAAGAATAAATCATCTCTTTAAATGCCTTGATGGGTTCAGTAACTGATCACATTAATGTTGTTGTTGTGAGTTGATACAAATGTAACTGATTGTATTGAATGGGTTTAAAATACAGAAACATTGTAACAACAGGCTCCCCGATTGAACTGAATCTTTCTTTGTGTTATCTTTAAGATATTAGCATATAAAGTATTATTGTCTAAAGAATCAATACATTATGCTATACAGATACAGTAACCATGGCAGCGTAATCTTTACTGCTATTTGATCAACTCAAACTGGCAATAGCAGGTTTGATTTGTTGTTTTTTTTTGTAAATCTGCAAATAATTCACAGAGAAGTAAGCTGACATTACCCTTCTGTGCTTTTGATTGGGGAGATTTTACTGCAAACAAACTTCATTTAAGTGTGATGTAAATATTTTGAAATGATACCATGCTAGCTAATGGCTAAAGCTAAGCAAAGACACACGTAAAGAACCTATGTAACACAATACAGTGAATGTTTGAAATGTAAGGTCATCATAAGGAGTTGTTGCTTTCAGGTTCACCTTCATACTGATTGATGCTTAAGCTCTGATGATCAAAGTTAGAAATAAAGGGGAAAGCAAGAGAGGAACAAAAAGAGTAATGTCCGATCTTATTGGATCTACATTTTTTTTTTTGGTATAATGCTCTTTGACTTAAGGTTGGAGGATTCGGCTGGTTTCTCCTCCGTGACCAAAGGCCAAAGCTAAGTGCTGTTTTTCGATTCTTCTTCTCTGCTGTAAACTTTACTTGGCCTCCAGCTGCTGCAGCAGTGGGTTCACCTCACTCTCCGGGGTTTTGACGCTATCAGTGCTGACAATACAAGTGGGGCGATGGCGGTTCAACATGAGGATCAGCTGCTGTCGTTCCATCTTCAGCTCCTCGATCTGGGCTTTAAGGTCAGAGTTTAACATCTCTAGTCTCTCTGATTCCTGCGAGAGGAAGGAAGGGGAAGAGGACAGAAAGACTCAGTTAAGCAGAAAGGTTATTTGGGGATTTTAAATAGAAAATAATAAATATACAGTATAAAGTTGAAATTACGACTGAATAATACTCCAAGTATGTCTCACCTTCTGTAAATAATCGGTCCGTTCTTTCTTCTTGTTTCGACATCGAGCTGCAGCCACTTTGTTTTTCTCTCGCCTTCGTTTCCTCCTGTCATCCTCTTCATCTCTCTGAAAATCAGAGCATGTCCAAATGTTTGAGGTTAAAGGTGTGGAGGACTAGGCTTTACTTTCTGTGACTTTCAGTGTTTCAGTACAACATTCTGGTAACATTTTCAAAAAGTATCATTTTACCCTCTTTAAATTACATTTTCACAAAACTATATACTCATTGGTTAATTTTCCTCATATTCAATTTTTATTCTCACATTATTTTATTCTCATTCACTGTATGCAGTAAAGCACTAAACTAAGTGACCCATTAAGTTTATTATTGTCCTTTTACTTGCTTTTTTTGTATCACCACCTGCTTACATGTGAACAATGGAAACACAAATACTTGAATACACAAACACCAAGCGAAAAACTTGACTCAAGCAGAAACTCCGAAACTGTGTGGCTGCATCCTGGCGCTCTCTCATACCCGACTCAGAATATTCAAGGTTATCATGTCATACTCTGTCCATTAGGTGTCCCTGTTGACTAAGACAATGCTAGAGTCTCTCAGTTCAAGCAAACCTGTTTCTTATATACGTGAAACATTTTGAAAACATTTTGGCCAGAATCTGATAGATTAGTTCAGAAAACTGAACTTTGGTTGTTATATCTGTGCGTCTCACTGTGACTTAATCCCGTAAAAATATGGAAGCGACTAGTGATCAGAATTCAAATGATAAAGCTGAAATGATACACATTCTTTGACTAAATTAAAATGAATAAAATGACATCTTCTTTTTCGTTTTAATTTAGTCAAAGAACGTGCATTTTTGAAGTTGAAAACTAAAATGCAAATTAGATAAATTAGTCATCATTTTATTTTGGAGTCAAATAATACCCCCCTATTCTGAAAATTAAAAAGCATTTCTGTTAATGCATTTTCATTTTCAAATTAGCTTTATCATTTGAATTCTGATCACTAGTCTCTTCCATAGTAAAAAAGACCAAAAATCTTCAAACCCAATTAGGTAAAAAAGCAGTTTGATAGTGTAAAAATCCAAACACGTTGTCACATAAATATTGCTTATCAGCCACTTGTTTTTCTTCCTTTACCTCTGTCTTGATGACTAGGGGCCTCTTCCCCAGACTGTCCAGGAAGTGCAGCGGTGACAACATCGTACTGAACTCCTGGAAGTCACTGAATTTGAGCTTGTCAGTCAGCGTGGTGGCTGAGATCCCAGCCAGTGGGCCAAGGCTGGGCAGGGAGCCTGCCGTCACCGAGGGATCTGGAATTTGTCCTGGCATCGTGTCAGACTTGGTCGTGACCACAGCTAGGAGGCAGAGGGAGAGAATGGGAGTCATACTCAAGACTGCAACGAACCAGATCAATGAAAAACACAAAACACCCTTTCTTCAGTTTTTTTTTTTTTTGTCGTACAAACTGGAGCATTATTTAATGCTTGAAGCTCGGAATAAACATTGAAATCAATAAATTGGAGGCAAACAGATTTGTAAGTGTGACTTTGACCCACAGTCTGTTACAGGGCTTCTGGAAGGTATTTGCCTGAGGTGTGCTGCCTCTTTCCATCAATCAGACTCACCTCACTCTGATGAATTGCTGGTCTGTGTTAGGAGCCAGATACTGAGGCTGCTCTCATTAAGTAATTTTATTATTTTGCTTCTTTTTCTGGAATGAATATACTACCATTTACAGACATCTTGGGGGAAAAAGTACCTTGTGTGTACAAAGAATTCTCAGACAAATTCCCCTTTATATAAAGAGAACGAAAGCTAGCCTTTGCCTAGAAATACCCGCTGCACACAGTGGTTTCCTCCTTATTAGAATTAATGTCAGGGGTGTAAAATGGGGCCAAATTGAGCATAATGTATTCAAGTTGGATCCCCAGTACTTGCTTTGTTTAGCGTGTCAAACTAAAGATGACACTGTTTACTTGTGTTTATGTTTTGGAACAATTTTGAATAGTTCCACCTCTGTCTTAACAGTCGTCTTAATTTTCAAAATGCTGAGCCTCAACATTTAAATACGTTCAAAACAATGCAAGAGGAGTGTGCACAAAGATGGCCAAAGGCACAGGAAATGACTACAACAGGTCAGCAGATCTCCAAGCCACATGATGCAGCCAAAAAGATATAACGATCTGAGGCCAATTACAGACCTTTAGCCTCCACTGCAATCAACAGACTATATCTGATAGAGATATCACAATGAAATGAACACACCTGGTAAGTTAGCACTTGCAAAGCTGATTCTAAAATTCTTTTGAATTTAGGTCTAATAACGTATGCGTATTGTTATGCAATGCACAGGAACTTAAAGACCACATGAGAATTACTTTCAATTTTAACACTTCCCCAAAAGGTCCAAAAACAAAAAGTTGATCTCTGCATGCTTTTTTAGCCCATGATGGCCAAATGCAAAATTCACCTTCAAAGAGGTGCAAAAACAAAAGGAAACTTGAGGCAATGTGTATTTACGTGCTTCAGAATTTCTTTAACATTGGCCAAAGCAAAATATAAAATGATTGTTCTTCAATATTTAGTATAAAACGAAGACCCATGTATGCAATTATTACTAATAAATGATATCCAAATACTTAATGGTCCACGGTGGAGATGTGATTTTAGCAGCTGTTAATTATTCTCTTAAAGATCAACTTTATTGAACACTCATAGTTCAAGAAACCAATGCACTTCCACTCTGGCTATTATCACCAGAGCTGTCCATTCAGGATAGTGAATAACAAAGACTTCTCAGTAGTTCATAAACACGTGTAGAGTCATCTTGGATCAACTGTGTTGCAGCATGCACTGAAGCCAATTGGTCAACGTGAAAGCGGAAGTTTTTCTTCAGTGCGGCATTCATCTCGACGTTACGTAACTTTGTCATCCCATCAGAGAGCTGCAGTGATAAAAAAAACGTTACAGCTTCACGTTCAGAGGCGATTTCTCCTCAGAAATAAATCACATTATCAACGATCAATGCACGTCGTCATTAATAAACGACAGACAACTCTGAATAAGGACATTTTGTTCTGATATGTGCACGCCGCTGGTCCGCTGCAAGAAGCATGCAAACAAAAGAAAGTGGTCTATGTGAAGCATGCTCAATAGCATGTCAAGACTGCCTGGCACACCAAAAAAAACGCGTTGAACTCTGAGAATGGAGTTAATAGTAGTTTATAAGTGATAATATTACAGACGTGCTTGCTGTCTGTTCACAAACTCTGCTCGTTATGACCTGTGCGCGGCGCGGCAAGAAGCTGTTTACTATGCAACAAATATTCAGCTCTCGACTTATGAAGTTTGGTGTACTGACCTGACTTTGATCCCAGGTGCCAAAACTGTCCTTTCTTGTGGTCAGCCGAGGGTCGAGAGTAGATTTTAAAAAGTGGAAATCGTTGCATCAGCCCGATTTAAAACGTGATCCCAATCTGGGAGGATTTGGGAATGCGGAACTTGTGCTATGCCAGCCAAACGTAAGCAGGGATGTAAAAAAAAAAAAAGTACATAGTGGGGGCAGAAGTGGGGAAGTCGCGCCGCTCCTCCCATACAGACACACTGAGGCTGCGGACAGCAACGACATAACGAGGCTCAGATGAAGGCCTGCAATAAAGATACAGTGCAGTACACTCCAAATCCTAAGGCACACGTCAACCAAACATAAAGCTTGATCATTTCAAAAATGATTTAGTGACAGTTTAAGTTACTCTCATCACACCATGTCATCCTTTGTGTGTTATCATGACATTATACTGAAAGCACATAGAACTAATGAACATTTTCCATCTTGATTTCTACAAAAACAAGCACCAAACACCACTCTGAATGTAGGTTTATTTTAATTTTTCAGCAGCTTAGGTAAGCAATCAATGCTCATTTCACTTTGAAATTTAACAAATAAGTCAAAATCTGAAAGGTAAAAAAATAAATGATAAGTTACATCTTGATAAGATATATATATATATATATTTATATATAGCACTGGATGTTTTCATGGAAAACTTTCAATGAGGTCAAACCACAGTTGATGACGTTGAGGTATGCAGGTACTCAAACATGAATGAATATGTAAATACATTTACTGCAATCAATACACTGTTGACACCAAAACACTAAACCATACTGTAACATTAAGTCTCACATAACATCTTAGATCTAGTAACAGATCAGATATATATAAGCTTTGAAAATTACATGGAATTTCTCTGCATGCGTTTTTAAAACGTACTTTGTCCCTTCTGTAAAAGCAAAAGCCATGCTTTTAGCTACATCACTTTGTGGGCTATTAAACTGGAGGAAGTTTATGAGTTTTGCTTCATCATCCACAAGACATTTCAGGAATCCTTCAAGTGTTGTAGCACACCGTGGTATCATTTCAAAGTCATGAACCTGCAGAACAGAGAAACCAGAGAGGTGAGACAGATCACATCCCCCCGTGCATTATAAGGCGAGGAGAGTTGGAGAGTTAAGAATATCAACAGATTCAGCTTTGCCTCCTCCACCTTTATGGCTGTCTAGTCCCTCTGTGAGAGAGTCCAGCTCCGGACATGCAAACGTGAACACCGACAGGTAGCTGCTGCAGGTGGGTGTGGAGGTCACCACGGGAGTGCTGAGAGGCTCCAGGTCGCTGGAAACAGACTTGTACAGGGTCTCCCAGTCCGAGACCCCGAGAGAGCTGCTCAGGTCTATGTCTGGCACAGATCGAGCCGTCTCCATGGGGGTTTTATCCTCCAAAATGGGCAGCATATTCTCCAGGAGCCCTTCCTTAATGTCCAGAGAGGGCTCCATATCCCAGAGGTTGATATCAGCACTGGCACACAGGAGAATATTTGAGTTCCCAGAGATGGCTGTGGAAGGATCGCTGGGAATGTCCATGTCCTGGAGCGAAGGAGCTTCCTGGATGCCATCCTCTGGAAGCCGGTCGTCGTCTGGACTGGGTGGTGGCTCTGGGGACCCCGTGGGCTCCTGGAAAATAGACTCCGGCTCTTCTGATATCTGGCACATCGGTTTATGTGTAGAAAGCATACATTCAAGCCTTTCTTTCTCCTTGAGGAGGTTTGCTATCTCTGTCTCCAGGGCTGCTTTTTCCTCCTCCAGCTTGTCGGTCTCCTTCAGATAGATGAACATCCAAAAATCATCCACATTGAAAAAAAAAAAAAACACAAAAACAGTGTGGTGCTAAATCACAGCTGAGAAAGTGCTTCACTGTTTACTTACAGCTTGCAGTGTGTCTGTGAGCTCCCTTCTTCTGTTGCGACACTTTGCTGCGGCCATTTTATTCCTCTCCCTCCTTATCCTCTTTCTCTCCTCCTCCTCTGGAGACAGCTGGGATGTGACAGAAATAATTCAGTTATTACCTTGAAGAATCCAGCCATTTCATCTTCTAATCCGCTACATCCGTTGCCAATTCCCCCTCTGAAGACTGGCAAAAGCATGTTTCGCTGCAATGCATCTAAAAATAGACCATTGTTGTAGACTCTCTGTGACCTGAATACAAATTGAGTGCCTAAGGAAGGCACACAGCCGGCGCACACTACCAGAGCGGCATGCACAATAGCACTGTTGCACACAAGGAATTCAGATTGGCATATGTAAATATACATTGACTCTTCTGTCCAATAGCAGGTAGACTTCATCTGAGCAAACCTACCTGCTCTGTTTTTCCCTTTCTGACAGCATTTTTCCCCTTACTCCCGCCCTCTTTGGGTGTTGCCTGGTGAGAGCTTTGTGCTTCATTGGCTTGCTTGCTACCTAGAGATGAGGAGACAGCTGTAATGATCGTAGGCTGGACCATCCACTGGAAATCTGGGGTAGAGGAAATTGCAGTAACTGTTGGCACAAATGGAGTGTCTTCAACGCTCATGTCTCGACAGAGCTCCTAAAAAAAAAAAAAAAAGGGGACATATATTGACATTAGAACTATAATTGAGATTCCTTTTTAAATAAATACATATATTTCAGAGCTATTGGTGGATTCAAATTGTTCTTGTTGTGAGATCAAACATCACTAAATCATCCATCGATATGTTTAGAGGGTAAATCAGAGAGTGGCCTGCATGGTTTTAATTGCGTCTTTAAATAAACCAAACCAAAAATAGCCTTCTCCAGATCAATATTTGACTTTATCATTGTTTCTGACGTCAACACTGACGCAGAGATGCTGTGGAGTCTCCTGAATGGATTTATTTTTCTCAATGAACCGCTGCATCGACACGCTCACATTTGGTCCCAGGACGTCGGAATCAAAACAACCTGACCAGCGCTACCATGAAGTCACGTCTCCATCTAACTTCACATCTAGTGTGACAAATCATCAAACGTGTCAAATAAAGAAAAGATGTTACAAATTTAAGCGCACCCAGTTAATTAAAACCTTATCAATCAGTAACCCCCCCCCCCTCCCCCCCACCATGGAAAGCATCTGTGGATCACGTTGAATGGGATATTTCATTTGCCTGTCAAGTGCCCCCTCGGCTGCATGTTGAATACATGAACATCAAAATCCTTCCATACCTTTGCATTGCTCTCTGAGGAGGGAGCAGGGGAGATCGTCTCTTCTGGCGTCTTCTGGCAAAGTGTCCCGGTAGGAGATTCTGTTTGGCAGGTGGGAGAGACTGAATCCATGTCAAGCGTCAGGTTATGATGCATCACGAGGAGAACAAATATCACTGATCAGTGACAAATATAGCTCTGGCCTTCCGCTGGGCAGAGCGGCACGGGTCTTTTCTCCAGGTATATACCTGGTAACTGGACGGCTAGAATGCAAGCCCCTCCTTTTATGCTCTGCTAGAATTTTATGAATGAACCAAGACTGTACCATCGCGGAGAAGGAGGGAGGGGGGGGGCGGTAGACTGACGGTCACACGGGTCCATATTTCTGAGTAACAAAGCAATATTTTTTTTACATGTACGCCTATCGTCTTGGTTTTTTTTTTTCCTCCCCCCCTTTATTTACATTTCTTGTTTTGACACATTTTGTTTTCATTTGATTCGTAACGTCGTCAGAGCACGACAAGAACCTTTAACTCCCATTCACAATTATCCGCTTAATATGAATGCATGCGAGGTGAGAAACGTGAGACTATTTTAAACACACATGCGACCATTTCCTGTGCGATTGGTGCATTCATCAAGTCAAAGGTAAAAAATGATATAAATAGATAGTTAATAAATAGTTATTATTTAATTGCGACTCTTACCACCATATGTCGACTATACGTATTTAGTTTACAGATCAACTTATTCCCACATACATATCCCCATATCGGTTTTTATGGGGTGAAACGTGCTGCATTTTTTTTTTTTTTTTTCAATTCACAGTCTGGCACATGTCTCGGTATAAGCTCAGCAATTTGGGCCTTCCTTTCTTCAAAGATAGGACTCGATGGCTGCTAGCAGACATAATGAAATGATGCTGAGTTGTTTACTAGGGGAGGAGGTGGTGAGGAGGAGGAGGAGGAGGAGGAGGAGGGATTGCACATGTGGGGGCGGAGATGTGACGCGACCAGACCAAGAACTGAAGGGGAGGAGGAGGAGGATGAAGAGGAGGAGGAGGGGGACTGCCTGTGACAGGAGCAGCATCATCCTTCACCTCCCTCACAATAGAAAAGGGATTAGCACCAGTCGAGACTTTTCCCCCCCACTGATCTCTGTCCTTTTCACAACTGGTGTTCAATGCACAAATCCAACTGTCGACCAACTCTTAAAAATGTCTTCAGGAGGACAAAAAACTAAGACTGTTCTTTTCACAGGTAAGCAGGAAGTCAGCGAGCAAGAATCTAAAAGTGATGAGAAGGTTCTTGTGTGGCACATAAACAAATGACAAACCTGCTCAGGTTGTCATGCAATGTTCAAGTCATTCATTCCTGTCAGACATTTGGTCACCGCATCCTCAATGACAGAGTTCTTGTTAATATAAACTCTCTCTATCCACTTAAATTGAATACCTTTTTACCAGAAGCCAAATTACAAAGCTCTTTCTCTCTTAATAATAAACTATTTCATAAAATTCAGAAATAAATTGTCAATACTGATTGACAATTTTGAGTACAGTGTATTAATCCAAACGGGCTCCAATGCTTCAATGCCTGCTGACAATTGTGTCAACAGCAAATAAGATGAGGCAGAGAAATCCCAAAATCGAAACACTATCAATACTTTTCACTCTTACAATCTCTTTGCCAGATAGCAAGAGTAGAGGAACGGATTCCTCTTACACCAGGTGCATTTAAGACATTTTAAACGACATTCTCCAAGTCATGAGCGGCAGAAATGTTCAACACAATAAATGGAGTGATATTCAGTGCTTCTTGGCATTAAGAAACAATTGAATGCATGTGAGCTTTCCTGATTGAACCGCTGTATCCTGTCCTAACCAGCTTCGGCCACTTCAATGAGACCTGCTTTTTGAGTGCACATATTCCAGACAAAGAAACTGATCGATTGAAATGTTTGTCAAGAAAACCAGAGGCGTAAAGCTTTGTCATCAAATGTGCAGCAATTTTTTGAAACATTGAGACGATTACCACAATGCACATTTTAGTATTTACCTGATGATAATGTCATCAATGTATACTTGTTGAAGTCTTGTTTTTATGAGCTTACAACACAAGGTGTTACTCATTTCTGGTTATGAAGATCACTCCGTCTTACTTTGAATTTGCGGTTGCTTTATTAGCACACAACATTTTTTACACTAAGACTTTAGGGCTTTGTTTGAAGTTTTCAACCATTTGAGCCATTTAATGTCACAATTCATAAAAACTGCATATTTCATTTAAAATGTATACCCACTTATCTATCTCCATATAGTTTCCATGCCTTATATAGTCTTTTCAGCCTTCCGAGGTTGGGTTTCTGCAACTCCTGTAAGAGAAAGAGTGCTGAGTCACCACTTCACTGCTTTGCTTTACAATAACCTAAACACTACATTTAACATAAAGTCAGATGTGCTCCTCCACAGTTGTACCTTCTGGTCTTTGTCCAAATGTAGGATGTCTACTAACGGAGCAATGGATGGACGACCATGGGCACACTGGAAGGGCAGCTGGCATGAGGACAAGGACGCCACCAAGCTGCAGCATTCATCTCTGCTCAGGCTGTCATTGAACTTGATGGCACCTGATCAGTGTGTACATGTTTAAAAATGATTTGCATGAAGGTTTCAGTTGGACACTGACCTATGACGAACCACAAGTGCACAAACAACAAAATGAATGAAGTTGAGGCGTAATGAAAGCTTACCATGGCATGCTATGGAGGCTAGCACCTTCAGCACAGTCAGAGGCAGGGTCCCTTTTACTCTTCCTGTTGTGCAAAGTAACTGAGACATGGAAAAGAACCATGGAAATAAATAGTTATTGTTTGTCTTTGTTGATTTATAAGATACTTTTCAGTCAACGAGGTTAAGAAGCTCAAGAGACTTTTCCAGCTTACCTCTATCTGCTCTCGAAGATACTCCTGATTCCAAGGAAAAAGCAGAATGTAAACATGAGGGCTCGAGTAATACAATAGATGTTCTTCAGACGGAGGTTTCAGAAGTCTTACCTCCACAATAGGCTTGATTACAGAAGGTCTCCCTCGCCTGAGCTCATTACTCTCCTTTTCCATGAAGCACAGAGGTACTTTCCCAACAAAAACGTGTGGCGCTACTGCCCCGGAGAACGTCACTTCCAGGCCCAAACTCCGCAAATTGGGCTGCCAAGACCTGTGAGAACAAGGGTCAATGATACGTTAGCGAAACAGAATACACTGCTTGAAATAATGTCCGTAGTGTGACACAAAAAGGTAAACAAAACAAAAACATAACAATGGGCAATTATAACCATTTTGTATGTAATTGTGTCTAGTTATTCCACAGAATTGTAACGGTTGAACAAAATAAAAGGACACAGACATGATGAAAGTGCATTTAAATGATTTAGAGTCAGGGCGCCTGCTGAGTTTAGTTGGTGGAGCAGGCGCCCCATCTACAGATGCTTGTAAGAACAACACTGAAGTACTCTGGAGTACTGAAGCTACTCAATGATGGCATATGAGCCAAAGTGCTCCACAACAGCTCCGAGTTAAGACAAGGATGAAATGAGGCTGCGTCACTACACCCACTCTTTCTGTCATCTTTATTGCTACCATCCTTCACCTCATTGCCAAAATCTTCTGCTGGCTGTCTCGGATGTTGTAAAGAGGGGATTGCAGGCTCTTAAATCCCAATGAGTTTAAGACCAAAATGCATGGTCAGTAAATCCGTGAACCAATGACAATACAATTAAACAGAAGAAAAAAAAACAGATTTTTCTAAACACCTTCAACAATTCATAATAGACTGTAGTCCCTGAACAAACAGCAGAAGGCAAAGATCCTGCATCATTCTCATTTAAAGTGAAAATGTAGACTTTTCCCCTTAAATAGGAAGAATACTCTGTTTAAAATGTAGTCCTTTTCTTAGAGATTTGGTTAAACAGGGATTTCCATTTTCTTGTTGCACTTATTGACATATTGAAGACCAACCTGAGAAGCCTTAGCTCCTCCTCTGTAACACTCATCTCAAGAGGTGGAAAAATGGTCGATGAACACAGACGTCTCTGTCCTGGTGCATCTGGATCATCTTCATATGAATCTATGAACAGACATACCATTAAACATTATATTCTCATTGTTATGCTTGCACTATGCGTTTGTTTTTTTTGGTTTTTTTTTCACCTGCAACTAGATTTTCAAGACGAACCCTCTCGTGTGCAGCATGTTGATCCACCAGCACCAGAAGGTTTCCTGGGATTTCAAAATAAAAGCGCATGAGATGTTGTTTGAACAAAACAAAACAAGAACTGTGAAGTTCTTCTCCATACCTTTCATTTCAGTAAGTGTTAATGGCTCTTCTTCTCTCTTGGTTTCTTGCGTGTTGATAAGACAGGCAAGAAACTTCTTATCCACTTGATGAATAACCTATAAGGGTAAAACAATTAGGTCATGATATAAATGGCAAAAGGGCGTATAGTAAAAGAATATTCAATAGAGAAACACGCCTTCATTGAGAGAATCATGTCCTTTGAAAAACGGTAGGGAAACAGGATGTTGTGGACTTTAACAGCTAGTCCATCAGCTTGCCTGCTGGATATGTCCACACCAACCTGTCAATACAGCAGATGTTACAATGTCAATAGTCTCTGTCCTCGGAACACAAATAAACAAACGCATTTTGATAGTACACACAGAGTTCTCATTTACCATAGGAGGGCGGATGAACACAGGATTATTCCATTTCGAGTACAGTGAGGTGAGTGAGTTTTCTGCACTGTCTTCTGTTAAAACAGAACAGATTATAAATGAACACAAACAAGCCAGAATCCATCTTGTTAACACGTACTGTGTCTTATGTTGGCTTCCATCTATCGTCTATCTAATCTGCCTGTGAGGTACCTCTGTCATCAAGCCCTGAACTAATCACTCTCTCTCTCCTGGATTTAGGGAGGAAGGGCAACACTAGATCCACCTGAAACGGGTAACACCTGTGCTCCATCCCTACAGTTTCAGGAACAACAATGACAGTGACAGTGAATGTGTTTTGATGTAGAGATCTAGACTTTGTTAAGACGCAGGAAAAAAAAACTACTCACCCATTTCAGAGATCACACTAACTGCCATATTGGTGACATCAGATGTACAGCGCACTTGTGTTTCTTCAGTATGTGGGTCCGTGTATCGGCTGAGCCCGGTCACTTTGTTCACGTAAACCATCTTTCCCACGGACTTATCATAGTGATGAAGCCAGTCTCCAGATGTTGTGGCCTTTTCTCTCTCAGCTAGCAGGGGATTTGTACTGCAACCTGGCTCAGGGTCCAGTGCAGAGCACCAGGGATTTTCATTGTCATTGCGGTCTTCGGTGACGTCATTACTGTCCTGTGAGGCGGTCTTGGACAGTTTTGGAGATGCATTTGAATTGTCTTTTCTGTGTCGTTTCAATTGGCAGAGTTTGGTTGCCAACGTTTTCTTGGTTTCATTCTCGCCTGAGACTGGTTTTAACTTGGTGAAAACTGAAAGGGCTGCTGGACTTCCCGTTTCTTCTTTTTTTTTCCTATAACGTCACCATCTTGCTGTTCTTTCTGGCAAACATAGAAATTCTTGGAATTTGGAGCAAAGCTGTTTGTCTCTGGAGGTCCAGCATTATTCTCTTGCCGAGTCTCTAGAGAAGGTAATTTCGGTTCGGCAGATTTACAATACTCTCTTCTAAACTTCTCAAGAGATCCAGACTCCTTACATAAAGATAACTTGTGACTAGAACCAATCCTGGGAATCTTGGAGGGAATAATAGGAACAAAGTCTCCGCATCGTTTCTGACAAGATTGGTCATCGTCTGCATCCAGTGAGATTTTGTGTTTTGATACAAAGGCTCTAGCTTCACATTTTCTCTCTAAACTCTGCTGCTGAAACAGGAGTGCGTACTTTTGGGATGAACCCTGAGTCTGTAGACTTTCATGAATGTAAGGATCACTTACACTTATCTTTTTGTTGCTTTTAATAGACTGTCCTTTAACCTGGAAGTCAGGTAATAGTCGCTCAATTCTGTTTAAACCAGGCTGAATTTGTTGAGTGATGTTATGTTGTAAAGTCAGATTGTTGACTGAGGTAGTATTCTTTAATTGTATCTCTCTGCCACATATTTCACTTTCTGGTTGTCCGATCCGATTAGACATACATACATTTTGAGGGTCTTCTCCAGCCTCACTAACCGTCAGCTCCACTTCTTCAGTAATGTTTCTATAAGATTCAGGTTCCACTCTGTCCGGATCACCACCACACTCTTTGTTCCCTTCACCTTTTTCCCTTTCCAGCCCATCTGCAGTGACCCTTTGCTGCCCTATTTGCTCAGTCTCTTCTTTTCCCTCCGTCGTACCAGACTCCTGGCAAACAGTGTCTTCGGATACACTTTCATCTTTGTGCTTACGATGAACAGAATCAGATACCAGTTTCATCCCAACACTGCAATCTAGTGTGGAAGAACTGTTAGCTTCTTGGCCGCCATTGCTATTTTTTTGTCCCTCTTGGTCTAAAGTGTGAGCGCCAAACAATTTGGGAGATAAATAATCCACGTCATCTTGAGAAAATTCAGCCACCAAGTTCTCTTTACTCAGGAAAGCTTTCACCGCCTGCTCCATGCAGAGCAAAATGCCATCCCAATCGCTGAACTCTATTAGAGTTTTGGCAGGCTCAAGACATATGTCATACTCTGAGTAAGAGCATTTAATATTGATGATATATACTCCATGCTGCTCTTGGCTTCGTTTGAGCTTTGGACTCCTTATGGCGGACTGCCCATCTGGACTGTCATTTTTCTTACTTGAGCTGCTCAGCCTGCGCAGGAGAAAGTTCAACAGCTTGTGCAGCCGTGTTTTCAGGAGCAGTCGGTCATTAACATACAAGTACTGCAAGCTGTTGTTGTAGTGGCCTTCTCTGCCTATGTAGCCAATCACTTCAAACTGTCCATGCGTGTAGCTGACTTCTCCAAGTTTCTGTGCTCGCCCGAGGCCATGCACCTGAACAAATCTGTGGTAGGTGTTTCTGGCTTTAGGAAGCTGCACCATCATAGCTCCTGTGCAGTCATTCTTCAAAGTGAAAGACACCGTGGGGTGCATCAGAGAAATAGCCTCCACTCTGTGTCTGATCCTCTCACCCTCCAGGACAGCATCCATCCTCTTCCTGCGGACTGGCATGTTGTGGAAGAAGCTACAAATGACAACAGTCGTCCCTGCAGAGGGTCGACTATTCTCGGCTTCGAACACCTCCATGCTCTTGCCATCCTTGAAAAGTTTGACGTGAGTTTTCACTGATGATCTTGTCCGGGATGAGATTTCCACAAGGGTGGCTAGAGACACTAGACTTGCCAGGGCTTCTCCTCTGAACCCATACCACCTGAGGTGATCCAGGTCTTCAATGGCGCTGCATTTGCTTGTGTAATATCTGTTCCCCAGATTCTGCATATCTTCAGCGTTTATCCCAGATCCGTTATCGATGACCTGCACCTTTAAAGCCTCCATGTCCAGTCTGACCCCGACACAGGCCGCCTCTGCATCAATGCTGTTGAGGATAAGCTCCTCTACGCACTGCTGCAGGGAGGGCACGGCGACCCCGGAGCGAAGTTTCCCCTGAATCTCTGCAGGTAAACACTTAATCATTGTATCCACTGGGATTATCACCTGTCCTGGTCGGCTACACAGTAAAGGTTAGAGAGTGAGTGAAGAGGAGCTCGACATTGTTGTTAGGTAACTAATTCCATTAGTGCAAAAAAACCGTTAAACATTTCAAAAAATACACACTTAAAAACGAGTTAAAATATATTTTAAAAAATGGTACCGTCGAAAAACCTAAACTTAGCTGATGTTTACAATCAACGTGAAACAACAAGAGATACCCGAAGCAGCGTACAGGCGAAACTAACAGTGCCCCCGTCTGGAGCGAAGGACGAACAGCGTCTCTTCTTCTGTCTGTCTGTCGTTGTTTGCAACAAGCGTTTAACGTCTACCGCCACCTAGTGGAGCAATGAGGGACCCGCTGGCTCTTGTTATTATGGTTTACAGGGACTTCAACTTTTTTTTGTTCGTGTGTTTTTTAACCGCCACTGTATAAATGTATTTACAAGTTAAATTGTGTTGAATAAATTCGTGAATTAATATCAAGTCGATCAAGTTTTTTTTTTTTTTTAGATGTGTCATATTATCAGTTTCATCCTTCATATAAACAACACAGTTTCCAAAGGTCAACACTTTTTTATTTTTTATTCAGGTCTAATTACAGATTTTTTTTTCCTCAACTGTTTATAGGTTCCTGTTTAAATGTCATATATTTTTTTGTACATTTCTTCTATAAGTCTATTTTTTATTGCACAGTTTAAGTTTGATTCATCTAGAGGTATTCTTTAAATCTTTTTTTTCGGGTTATATATATATATATATGTATGGGAGGGGGTGGGGGGTGTCGGTTTTGTGGTTTAATTTTTAACAAATGTTTCATGTCATGTACGTCTTTGTAACCTGCTACTGGATGCTTTGAATTTCCCTCGGGATCAATAAAGTATCTATATATCTATCTATTCAAGCAAGTTAATGAGAAATCACATACATTGATCCTTTATCTTTGGCTATTTTAATCAGACTTTTTTAAAAATATCCAGCTGCAAAGCTCATTCCTTGCCAGAGGAGGGCAGCAGGATTCTGACGAGTATTCATTCAGCAGGCGCCCACATCTTCCTTCAGTCAGTCTTTGTAGAGGCAAATGAAGACTCTGGTGACAGACTTTGGTCATACTACTGCCTGTTTGTGCAGAGAGATGCTTTCTGGTATAGCTGCTCAATCTAGGTCTCTATCAACCCTTTTGTTATGCTAAATCGAGTCATTTGTGCTGATAAAATACACACTCAAACACTCCAAACACTTTGAAGTATTCTGGAAGCAATTCCTCATTTATTAGTGTAATTACATACTGTAGATGTTAAGGAGGCCTAACATAAACAAAATCTTGAGCTGCCGTCCAACCAATAAAAATCCTAAATAAATATTACATCTTCTTCTACCCCAATATTATAAGCAAACTGTATGGGTTATTCTATTTTACAACGTTAAAAGATGAGTGTTCTAGACTTTCAACTCCTTTCTCGTTCTTGAACTCAGCTTTGGTTATGTGTGACTTGGGGCTCCCCGTGGATCTCAACCATTCTTGCATTTCTTTCACCTTGCTGCTTGGCCCTTGTAGCTGCCCCTGGACCGTTCCTGCGCCAGTGTTTTGGACCCATCCTACGAGGCCAAGCTTCTTCCCTTGTGCCTGGCAAATGAAACAAAGTGAACAAGAAGATCGGCGAGATGGGAAACTTGGAAGAAATAAATGTAAGAAAAGTGAAACTGGATGGGTATTGAATCGTAATCATTGCTGTCATTAAGCATCATAAAGCCTTATGTAGCCCATAGGTCAAAGACTACTTGTATTTTCCAACACATAAGAAATAATAACCGAAAAGATGCCTAGCAAGAAATGTCAGGCCCCTACTCTTGTATTTACATCCTTATTTCTTCATTACCCTTTAATATAAATCAGTCACAACAAGGACACTCCAGAAGACCATGAGATAAGATGTAAGCTTCAGGAAAAAAGCGTGTAAGTAAACTTGATATAGCCTAGGCCAGGGATGGGCAACTTTGGTCACAGCAAGGGCCGCATTCATTTAATTCTGACTGCCAGGGGGCCAAATTGTAGGATACAAAAACGATAACAGTCAATTATGTCTCAAATTTAACTCAACATATACCAGTGAATGGAAATATTTCTGGTTTTCATGATTTCATGGCAGATTTTGTCATGTTTTCTTCATGTTTTGATATATAAAAATGGACCTGAGGGCCACATAGAGGGGTTGACGAGGGCCGCATGTGGCCCACCCCTGGCCTAGGCTATACACCTTACTGCTCGAAAACTACTTTTACCAAGGCCACATATGTCAAAGGCTTCCATGTCAAACTCACTTGAGTGTATTTCCGAAAAAATACACCTTGTACTTTTCCAAAAATTTCATAATCCACTGAAATGAGGTCTTCGTTGGACATACTGGACCTAGAAAAAGAGGTGTACGTTAATGACGGTGTTGTACGATGCATGTTATTTGGTCAATATAGTCTACATTGTATTCGCTACTGCAAGCTATGCTAACGCAATTTCTGAATGCTAAAACGAGTAAAAACCTAAACTATTCAAACGCGCAGCTTCATATTCATTGAGTTTTAATGAATAACACGTTTAATAGCCTTAACTATTATTCACCTGAACGCCGTCTAGAAGCAGTGAAACAAGGACGCGGCTCCGAAAGATCTCAAAACAAACGTGACGGTGCTTCCGGAAGTGATGTTAATAGACCAATCAGAGAAGGTCTTTGGTTTCTAGGCAACGAATGCAAACGGTGAGGAAGAGAGGGAGTCATCACTGTTAGTAGCCTATAAACATATACCAGTAACCTATATATATTTGAAGCCAGCTTAAATAAACGTGTTCAGCATTTTCACAGACGACAGACAACAAACAAATCGGTAAGTGTCGGACACTCCAGTTGGGTTTAGGGGACATATTTTGAGTTCTAAGTATTAGCCTACAGCTTATCTAACATTGACCTGACATTTGGCAAGTAGCTAAATAGTATAACCTACATGAATTACAAGGATGGATGGATTAAACATGTAGTTTCACATGCCTGTTTTGGGGCTAAATCAGACCTACTGGGCTATATTGCAGATATCTAATTTTGTCACTGAACTACAAGACAACAACCTTTCAAAATGCTCTTACTTCCATATTTTGGTACTTTTGAGCACATTACATGGTCATCATGTTCAGAGCTTCATCTAAAAATGTATACACCGATAACACTTAAGCCAAAAATGGCATTTTATTTGGTCAAAAGTTACAGACAAAGTTGTGAAGAGTTTTGTTAGTTGTTTGGGTCAAGAGAAAACATTTCAACCTAATGCCCTGCAGAATATTGTATACGTAGCGCATGCTGCATCATCCAATCAGGCTTCCTTGTTGTCAATCATTATTGGTCAACATTAGGATTATAGAGATTTACCTGAAATTGCTTCTGTAGCTTGAGACTAAAGCAAAGTACTTCTCATTCATGTGGCCTTATTTTATAATCAGTCATACATTTCAGCTCTGCCAACCGGCAACAGTTCTCTTTCTCCTTTGAACTTACTTTATTCATCATTTTGTTCTTTCTTTATTATCCCATAAATTATACAGGAATGAACCTCCAGCAGCTGGTTTCATCCGCAAAGATCCTTATACGCCAACAGCACACAACCTCAGAGATATGATCTTCAGCAACTGATGAAACCATGAGCACATACACAAGGAAAAGCCACAGTCCTCAAGGGCGACTGCATGGCAGCATCTACACTCAAGCACAGCATGGTGTAGTGGCTGGAAGAAGAGCAGATCAAGACAGTCAGCCGTTTACAAAAAGCCTGTCAGCCACAGAAGACCGAACAACCCCAAGACACAAGACTCACATGATCTGTCTGATTTTGAAAAAATAACTATTACAAAACAATCAAGGGGCCCTTTGCCACCCCAAGAACGCCATTCAGATGGTAGAGACACCACCGGATCCCGACATCCAAGAAAAGACTCACACAGCTGCCCAGTGGAGAACTGGAGATGACTAGAGCAATTCATGAAAAACAGCTGGTGCTACAGGAGAAGCTGTGGAGGGTGGAGGCAAAAGTAAGACAAAAATCCAGAGAGCCAGAGATGATGCTGCTCAAAAGGATGACTATGACCAGGGACAATCAGAAAGGGGGAAAATTCAGACAAAAACCAGATTTTTGGAGCAGCAGAGGAGAGAACCAGTAGGAAGCAGAGGGCTGATGATACAAGACAGAGGACAAGAGGCTGTAAAACAGCAGATGATGAGGGACAGGATGAGACATGCAGATGAAGAAGAAAGGGCATGGAGAAGAAGAGAAACAGAAGTTGAACAGTTTGAACGAAAAGGACGTCAAGGCACTCATGAGCTCACAGTTCGTAAGCAAGACGTGAGAGGAAAACAGAACCAACCGAGGTGGGACAATGTGAAAGAGCATACCAGAAGAAAAGGGAGCTTTGAAAGGGATGACGGCAATTGGGGGAAAGAGATGGAAGGTCAAAAGAGAAGGCAAAAGAAAGGCAACAAAGTACTTCTCATGGTGATAAAGATTGGACCAGAGAAAAGAAATATAGGGAAGACATGCAAAGGGGGCTGTATAATTCAGACAGAGAAGATCAAATACCTAGAATAAATCAACACAAAACTTCTCATCAAACTGCAACACAAAACCACAGAGGTGGAGAGAGAAACCTGTACGAGGAACAACTGCTCCCGCCAGCTTCTAGTTCGTCTTATTCCAGGAGACAAGAAGAACAGGAGGTCAGCCGCACAGACGGCAGCCCCCAGCATGTTCCTTGCAGAGTATGCAACCGAAGGTTTACAAGCCAAAGGTTAGAGACGCATGTCCTAATCTGTGAGAAGATTAAACAATCAAAACGCCCAGTCTTCAACTCCTTCTCTAACAGAACCAAGGGATCCGACTTAGGGGAGTACCTGAAGACCCACTACAGCTCAAGAACTCCTGAGGTAGGTCACTAACACTTTTAAAGCAGAGGTTTATCTTAAAGGTGGACTGTGAAGTTTCAAAGATCTTTACCTTCCACACTCTGTCTTTACATTACCTTTTATAAAGTATACGGCTTGGCTCCTACTTATTTTTTTATTAAGGCTGCGTCATAAACTGGGATGTTAGGTAAGAACAGTATTCAATATCTGGGGAGAGTTTAAAGAGAAGATGCTACCTGGGAAAAGAAAAGTAGCATTCAGGGACCAGATAGCTTGGCCAATGTTTTGTCAACTTCAGCTAT